GGGAACATATCACAACATACTTCAATACAAATCACTGCTCTTTCTTTACTTTCCAATAATATCATTCACAGACTATTGAAGTCAGACTCTTCTGTTTTGGCCTTTGGTTACCTTGGATTTTACCTGTAGCATTTATGTGGATTGCAGATCGATGCCAGTTTTGTCAGTAGATATGACAAAAAGGTGTCATGGATATGAGGGTAAATGTTAAATATGACTCACATAAGAAAATAAATCTTAATTGAAGTGTGTACATATATGTGCAAACAATCTGAAGAATAAGAGGACATGAGGGCCCAAGATCTTGATCAAGTCTGAAAGAAATGATAAGACAGACAAATGTATCATTTCTCCAACAGCATGTGTCCAGGCTGGTCCATTCATCCTCGTCATGTCACTGTCAGAGCCCCTCTGCAGACGAGTGATGACCACCCCTGTCAGACCAGCGCTGTCTGTCTCTCTCTGGATGATAGAAACGTAGAGAGTGTCTATACGCAAGGACAGATCAATTTCTTTCACTCTGTCCTCTACGTCTCTGCACTTTCCCTTGTCATACCTTGAAAATCACTGTAATGTCTCCTCTCAAATTCAAGATTTGTACACATTTTTTTTCTCCCATCACTATCTGGATCTTAATCCACAGCTTTCATACACCGGTACAGTTTAGAGTTTGACATCTGTCCCTGCTCACTTTCTCGACCTTTTCTCTCTCCATGTGTGTGTGTGTGTCCATCGTCTCTTTTGTCCGTGCCTGCTGGCTCCGGCGATCATGTGTGTGGCGTGTGTTTACTTACGGTTTGATACAGGAGGGGGATCGCCATGCTTCAACTTGAGGATTGCAGTGAAAATGTCATTGTTTGGTTGTGTTCTGCTTTACAACGCAGTTTATACAGCAGTGATGATTTTCTCCCCCCTAGAGTGTGGCCTCATGCTTCGTCTGCCCAGAATCAGTAACGGTAAATAAGTGGTAATGGGAGTGAATGGGAGGGAGGGGGGGGAGTCAGCCAACGTCTTTCTGTCATCACTTTAGAAGGTTGCGACCCCAAAGCACGGTGGCACAGAGCTGCTAAATTATTCAGGCTGTGTCTCAAGCCCTCGATCTCTGGAGAAGACAGGCCTGTGATTGCTGGGAGCGGACTGACTGACATTTGCACATGAAAATCGCCTCTGTTTCCCCCCTAAACACCCGTTCTGCTCAAAGAAAACAGTAGAGGGACCCTGGTTCTGTATGATGAGGGCTGCGGTGGGTAGAGCTGGGCTGTGGGATGGAGTTGGTGGCAGAGGTAGCAGCAGTTTTCAGATCAGACTCACTGTTTGTTTCTTCTAGTTTGCGAATTGAGCTAAAAAAGTTGTGGTGTGAGGGGATGTGCATTTCAGGGCAAATGAATATCCTAAAAGTGTCAATATAATAAGCATAAATGCAGCTTTGAAAACGAGAGTGGCAGAGCGGGACCCGGGGGACTGCCTGACTCATAAATCATCTTTCTGAGTGGGGTCAAGGGCCATTTGGCTGAGACATGAGCAGAAATATGATGTTATATGGGAATATTTTCACAGTAATAATGTAGTATTATGGCATGCATATCCGACTATCTATATTGATTAAACGCCAAAACTGTGTGAACATGTAAATTCCAAATGCAAAGAAGAATCAATGTGTTTCCTTAGACATGCTATCGTAATCGAATAATTGAACATCTCTTAAATTATGCATTCCATTTCTACTGTTTTGTAAAGCCTGCCAAGAGTTTAACAGTATTTTAATTACAAAACAAAGTTTTCCCTTTTTTAATTTATGAAAATAAATCTTTAGTAGATTGTTGCCAAACCAGTCCACAATCCAAGTTGTTAGATGTTATCCGGGCAATTAGAGCTGGAGTGCTTTTGATTAATCAGCCTCCTTCCAGAGTGCAGTTAAAGTGAGCGAGCCGGAGAGAAGAGCGAGATCATCCCTCTGTATGCTGGACCATGTCTCTGAGCTGAAGGCGAGCAGAGGAGCCAGGGGTGAGCAGGAGGGGAGGAGGCAGTGGTGGGGAGGAGGTGCAAGGGATAACTGGCCCTGCTGGGAGGGAAGGAGGGAGAAAGAGAGGGAGGAGAAAGACACAGCTAAAGAGAGGGAGGGGGTTGGCGAGAGGAAAGGAGTAGGAGAGGGTGGAGCAATTGGACAGATGACAAATTGTGATTAATAAATGTGGTTCAGGACAACAGTGTGGAGGCTTGTTATTAATAGAGAGAATTAGAGTGGCTGTGCAACTCAATCTGCACACTGTCACTCTGCATCAGGCCCCATAATCAAAGCCTAATGAAACAGCACAGCGACAGGATGTAGACACATCCACAGCCGTGCACTCTGCCTGCAAATCTACACTTACTGTACAGTGAACACACACGCTCACGGTGGGTAAGTGTGAGATATTATGACATCAGAATATACAAGAGGAATTTTACTTGTGGACGAAGAACCTGCATTAACTATCTTCACATTCATTTTTGCTAAAAGTGACGTATTTTAACAAACGACCTTCTTTTTTCTACTTTTTAATTACATTAAAAAAACCAAAGGGCAGATTTGTAAGGGTCTTCTTATATACATTTAATTAATCACTTTAACAGCGCGTTTCTATTACAGATCAGACATGACTGCAAATTTCAGGATGTTCCTCAGGATTCCCCTCCTCAAATGTGTGGCTGTGGTCAATTCCCTGGTTTCATTCATGCCCCCAAATCACCTCTTTACATTCCTAATGACCTCCAAATTGATTTACAGGGATAGTAATCTACATAGTGAAGAATGGGAGCTTGATGGCTGGATTTCTGTCAGTGGTAACTGTACAAGACGTGAGCAGCGGCCCCCAGGGAATGACGGCCCTCCGGCAGCTACATGCCTCTCTGGGACAATATGTCATCATCCCTCAGAGCTGATGCTCAGTACGTATTGGTCACACTCCCTGCACTGAGGTGTTTTGCATGTGACAGCGAGACCATCTCAAAACAAAACAATATGTCACATATATATGTCTACTCTTTTGGGGAGTGAAATGGCTGAGATTTCTGCAGCACTTACTACTCAAGCTGTGAGACCAGCTTGTTTTGCACCATGTGTGTTTATAAATAAAGCATACAAAGTAAAAAAAAAAAAAAAAAAAAAAGAAAAAAAGAAACGTCAGTGGCTTCACTGAAGAATTAGTATGTCTTTAAGAAACAATGCAGACAAACAAGCAACAACAGAAATAAATACAACATGAGTAACGCAGCCATAAATAAGTTTCTGCTCCTCTCTAACTTGTTTACGCAGAACAGGGAGAAAATACAGAGCTGGAATTATGCAGGCGTGTGCACAAAGGACAGATTTATTCTTGGTGTGGCATAATATATGAAATTAATAATTAAACAAACTAATAACTCAAACAGCCCACTACTGATTCTCCTGTGGCCCCTTTCCCCTCTGGGTTGCAGCGGAGACAGTCCAAGCAGGTGACATGATAAAGCAACTGCATAAAATAAGATAACAGGAGATAAAGATAGCATAATGGTGACATTTCAGGTTAGTGTGAATGCTAAGGGAGGGTAAATGAAGACAATGGAGAAAGAGAGAGAGACAGACAGCTGAGGACATGCGCATATTTCAATATTAATCACCTCAGTAATATTTTAACAGGCTTTAAAAATCCAATCCTGAGCATATTGCCTCAGTCTGTTGGCAATGATTATCTACCTCATGCTGCTGCTCAGGACCTCTGAGCACTGTTTCAGCAGACCAGACTGACTGACCCGCAAACTGTGTCTGACACAGCGTTTAACCCATCTCTGGGCTCCTCGGCTAAACCAACATTTCCCAATGGAAATATCTCCAGCCTGCCACCTCAATTTCCCACTAAATCCAACCCATCCCTGGGAAAACCATCTTAAAACTCTGCGGTTATCCTCCTTTTCATGTCTGGGGGGATCAGTTCAAGCGATCCCTTACATTTCCAGACAGTGGTCATCACATCTGAGGAGAGAGAGGTGGAGGAGGTTGGTGGTTGATGAAAAGGGAGTCATCAATACTGTATGTAGACCTATTCCCCTTTCTGCCAATGCTTCAGTCATTAAACTTTAAAGACGCAGATTTGCGAGTTTGCCTGTCAGACAGGTGACACAAGGCTCGGAAGAAATGATGATATGAGCTAAAGATGTTTCTTAAATGGGAAATGAATGTGACTAAAATATTTTAACAACCGAGCCCACATGACATCACATTATTTCCCTGCAGCCTTTGCAGGGATGAGAATATGTTATACAAGAATACAAAATAGCCCCTTTTATTACTAATGGTGGAAAAACTCTGTAAATACCGGCATATGTCTATGTGTGTACATGTATGTGTATGCATGGCATGCGTGTTTATGTGTGAGTATTTAGGTAAGGAAAACGAGCAGCACAAATGTGTTGGGTAGGGTGTCTCACTAATGAGGCTTTATAGCAGTGGGATGCGAGTCACACACACAGACAATGGTCTTGGGAACATTTAGTGTCTCCTCTTCATTCCTCACACATCATGCTGAGGCAGCTTTTACTTAGTCACCCTCCTCTGTCCTCCCCTCTCCCGGCAGACACAAGATGAAAACATCTGCCTTCGTATTGCAACACTTTATCAAACATTTTCCCAGCATAGAGTTTGCCTCTAACAACAGGTGAATGTCAGGCTAACGAGACACAGATGGGAGGCAGCGTTCTGGTTTAGTTCACAATCAATCAGTGTAGCTATGTTGGAATACAAGAACCAATTTTTGAGCTAAAAAGTAAGGGCACAAAATACAGCTTAAAATATTATAATAAACCAATTGGATAATACAACAAAAATCAGTTGAAAAGAATGTGTGCCCCCTGCCTGCCAGAAATATCGTCATCCATTTGGCTGTGGACTCTAGTTTTTTATTGGACACAAAGGAGAAAAAAAAAACGGTATGATGTAAAGAAGTAAAGAGAGAGCGAGAAAGGGGGAGAGAGAGAGAGAGCGAGAGAGAGAGAGAGAGAGAGAGGGAGAGAGATCTAACAGGTGTCGACTAGGACTGCCCCTGGTCCAATCGCTGCGTAAAGGGATACAGTGGACAGTCACTCTGAATGGGAGAGTCAGATTTCCGCGCGTCTCCATCGTTTGGAACCGAGTGAAAAAAGTGTCTATTCATTTTTTTTTTCTCGGCTTCGTTTCCTGTGAAATTGGCGGCAGTTGTTCTGCGTTTGCTACCTGGAAAGAGGAAAGGAGATTAAGCGCTGATTAAGAAACTCTCATTACTTTCCCGGCATCTCGTGCGCGCCCGTCGGCTCTACGGTTACTCATTTGGCACAACGGTCCAAAGTCTGTAAATGTTTTTTCTTGGGACGAGGACGGAAGGAATGCAGATTAATTCGTAAAGGAGAAATGATTTCGGATTTTGAAGAGGAAATGGTGAGTTCTTAATCCGTTGTCTTTTTTTTTTGTTAAAGTTTTATAGGATCAGTCCACGATATCAACGCTTTGCAGACGGTGAAATTTATCAGAATTAATTCAGAATTGATCCATAAAATCTTCACTTACGGTGCATAGGAAAACATTACATTTAAGAAACTGCACAATAAAAAAAAAGTTTAAATTTATGTATTAATCATTGCCATTGTAATTTTTTAAAATAATGCAACTTTGAATTTGATCATAAAACTGGTTTAAAAAGACATCAAACATTTAGCATTTTTTGCTCTTTTTGCTCATCCATCCAGATGCAGATATAGCCAAAGGAGGGATCTATCAAAAGCAGCCAGGTTGACAGTGCTACTGGTTACCTGAAAACATCTTTCTGACGTGGACTGTGGAGACGGGACAAAAGTTGGAATCTTCATCTGATCATGCCAGGAAACTATCTGTGATGAACTTCTGTTACTTGCAGTCATGGCATTAAAGGAGCTCTCCACATGAGGTGATACACTGTGCTCTGTAGGGAGGCTGTGAAAGAAGATTTCTCTGTAAATCATACTCATCCCAGATAACAAACAAACCCACTTCGACTTCAATGAGCTGAATTTGGCTCCAGATCTTTTCAGCTTACTTTTAATAAGCTTTGCTTTCACAACAAACCCTCTCAGTGCCAATAATGATGTCTGTCTGATGCAAAAAATAATAATAATAATAACTGAACTGGAGGACAACAGGGAGAGTCAACACAACTTAACCAGACTTCATTAGAAAATTAGCTTCTTTCTTGTGTGTCACCACAAATCTAATGGATGCAAATATTTGTGTTTCCCGTGAGCATCGTGGTGTGACAGATCTATTTCCTTAACATCAGATTTTAAGATAACTTATCTCAAAAATATAGGGATCTTTCTGGTTTCTATCTATTCTTTTGTTCGTTTTTTCCCCTTCTGGCTGTCAGTCCAGTGATACCATCTGACGATCCTCCACATCACCTTTTTACTCTGTATTGGTTCTCTGAGAGGCTTCAACCTGGCCGGCACAATTCCAGCCAAGGGGGAAGAGGACTTCCTGACGCTGGCCGCCTCGCGGCTCAGCCGTAGGAAACGTGTCATTGGAGCTGCTGTAGGTGTGGCCATGGTTCTGATACTGTTGGTGGCCATTCCCCTGCTGGTCCACACGACCAAAGGAAGAAGCACTGGAGACGCCGGGAGCCGTTATGAAATGCTTGGAAGCTGCAGGATGGTATGTGACCCTTATGCCACTGGTCAGCCTGGCCAGGAGCTGACAGCTGTGTCTCCACCGCCCCAGGATTACTCTGGGAAGAAGATTAAGTCTGGGCTGAGAGGGCCTCCAGGTATCCCAGGTCCTCAAGGAGAACAAGGACCCCCTGGAGAGCCAGGTAAACCAGGGCCACAGGGGCCCCCAGGTCCAGGTCCCGGTGGCTATTCTCCTTCTCTCTACACGCCCAAAATTGCTTTTTACGCAGGGCTACGTAAGCAGCATGAGGGAAGTGAGGTACTGAAATTTGATGATGTGGTGACCAATGTGGGGAACTACTATGAGCCCAGCACCGGCAAGTTCACCTGTCCTCTACCTGGCATCTACTTCTTCACCTACCACGTTCTGATGAGAGGGGGAGACGGGACCAGTATGTGGGCAGACCTGAAGAAAAATGGACTGGTTAGTAAAAACATTTGTGTGTGTTTTTGTGTGTGTGTGTGTGTGTGTGTGTGTGTGTGTGTGTGTGTGTGTGTGTTTGTAGGGACATTAGACTATAAAGAAATAGGGAACTGAGTGCTCATTTAAGGAGGGTCCAAGGACAGAAACAGCTGGAGTTGAACTGAGACCACCATTAAGAATACCTGTGCAGGACGATAAGAATTTCTTGCCCGGTCTCTGTGTTTACCTTTCAGGGTGTGTGCAGACTAAAGATTGTGTAATATCAAGGATCCTTATGTCTGTGTTTGTATGTATGCACACACACGACCGTGCTACAGATTTGTGATGATCCTGTGTTGCCATTGACTCACATTCACCTCTGTAACATTGAGCTCTTCACATTCAGAGCACATTTCACTTAAGCAGGCAGCTACAAACAGTCGAAGAATGAAACAGAGATCTTTCTACTCATTAAGGGGAATTCATGCTATACCGTCTGAAAATCACAGCCACAGATATTTGCATTCCCACATGTACTCCAGCGAAATGACAAGTGGCAGAATGCAGCAGCCGCCACCAAAAGGAACAGTCTAATTAGTAAGTATCATACACAGAGCTTGATTATCGCCTAAACAGAAGTGCAAAAGAGCACTGGAGACATGTCTGTCAGTGCGCGGGCCAGTCAGTTTACACCTCAGCTAAATAAATAATGAATATAAAATTGACAGTCCACTCATCCACTCCCACATTCCCCAGACACTAATTAAAGACAGAGGGGCTGATGGGTAGGGGGAGACGGGGAGACAGGGAGAGGATAGAAGGGGTGAGGTGGGATAAATCACAGGAATTTCAGCGGAGGACTCCAAATTCAGGAAACATTCTGCAAGTTGCTTTTACATTCATCCATTCATTCATCAAGGACTGCAAATGCAAATAGTTTCATATCAGACTTCTGCCCCAGACCTGGAGTGTACCAAGGACTATTTTAATAAGGGCACACAGGCTCGTACATACGATTTGGTTCATTGCAAGAGTCATAAATAAAAGTCTTTTACTAAATCATTGAAACGTGGTGACATGAGAAAGTTAGCGTGGAGAATAATTTTGTTTCATTTTATTGTGGTCCGGAAAAGTGAGTGCAAGGCTACTTCTCTGTGTCCTATATTGTCATTCCAGTCATCTTAGCCTGCTAAATAATTTATACATCTTAGATTAGATCCCTGAACCCCTGCTATACTTTCCACTCCAAACCCCTCCCCAGCTCGTCCATTGATTCTCCATTAATTATCTTTTCACTCAACTCAATCATTTAACATCACCTGGGTCCATTTGCCACCTGTCAGGTGGCCTTCTAAAAACTTCTTTTAAATGGACCACTCAGCTAACAGGTTACTATCCAAACAGAGCCACCGCTGGATGAAACGGAGGTGTAAATGAGTTGCTGCAGAATGCCTGATCATGTCTGGAGTTACTCAAGCCCTGAGGCAGACGGACACCCTGCCTGTCAGTCAGTGGTGAGGGTTTAGCAAATGAGCACTATATCTGAAAGGTTGCATTACTGACTGTAGAATCAAACAACCTGTTGTAACATTGCCGTAGGTCCTGAGGCTTTATTAGATAGTTTGACTGCCCTGTTTTTTAGTTTTATTTATTAATTTAATCCAAACAAACAAACAAACAAAAAAGGGATTGCAATAGCCTCAATTTTTCCTTCTCCTCTCTGTAACTTTTACACTTTAACAGATCCAGTCATATATAACCTTGAGTTTATTTGGCAGCCATTTTAACAGATTCAGATTTCAGACAGGTTGAGCGAAAACGAATGAAACGATTGAGACTCAATATGACAGGGACATGCAGGGCCGTCCACCTGGAGACACTGAGAGGAGGGGGAAAACAAGACAAGTGAGTTGATGTGAAGATCAGGGGTGGAGCAGAGGAAGATAGATGACTTAATGGAGTTGTGGAGACAGTGGGCTGGTAGACGAGGCATCAGGGAGGCTGCTGGTGAAGGCCAGGATGAGATCGGGGTGCAATGACCAATGGACGCCCACTAGACACGTCTCGGCATGACAAGTGATCAAGGACGGGGTGAAAAACAGAGAAAACTGTTTTGAGAAAGTGTGTTTACGCACCAATAACAGGTAGAGGAGGTTGGAAAGTGGCAGAGAAATGAATTTGGAGCATTAATAGATTTTCGCGATGAAGATCGGCAGCAGCTGAATAAATGCTGATTAAATTGGCGAAATGTTCACTCTGTTGTTTTCTCACTTGTGGCATGTGACATGTGAGCGGTGTAAAGTGATGCCAGGATCTCAGGAGGATGTGCTGACTCTGGCAGGGCTTCCATGGGATTCCTATAGATCCGATACCTATTACCTCCACTAAATCCCCGCTCTCTAAAGCCCACCTGCTCACACCTCAATCTAACTTTCACAAATCATTGCAGCATGACAGGGCTTCAGAGGCAAGGGGATTTGTGATTGAAGGGGGGTCACACTTGAGTTGCTCCCCTGTTTGTAATTGAGTTACAGTACAATTATTACAATGTATGACGGGACTGTTTGTCCAAGTCTGGGCAAATGATGGATCCATCATTGTATTCTTAAGATTGTTACTGAATATTGATTTAAACTCATAATTTTATCAGCAATACAGCTGTAACAATCCTGTTTAATTACGTCTACTGCTAATTCACCTTCAAGGTTATATCTCTTGCATGGTACTTATCATTCCAGTTTGCTATGATACGATATTAAGACGGTCTATGCTAATGCTCAGATGCTTTCACTGTGAAGGATGGAGATGCCTCTTATGTCCTTTAAGACAGAACTTTCTTTTTATTATTTAGTACGTTATCTGCATACCTTCTTATTTATAAGCCCATACTGCACCACACATATATATTTTACATATCTCCAATACAACAGATCCTCGCTCTGCTTCCATTTAGTCCCTCTTGTTTTTTAAACTCATCACAGACTCTTTTAATAGCTCAAGTAAAGGTCAGGTTATCTCACAGAGAAATGTTAAAATGTCATCACCTGCTGTAATGACCATTACCTGTATTAAGAACAGAGACATATATATGCTACAGGTGGAATATAATTAGTCTCAGAGCAAGGGGTGAGGAAGACATATAGAGCAGCTTTGGGTGATAGAGAATACATATCAGATGTTTTCTTTTTAGACATTTATTGACTTATTTAAACAATCATGGTTTGCTTTTAATGAAGGAGTGATAAGAGTCAGCCTCGTTCATACTGTGTACAGGTTAGTGGACTCTATGCACTGAAACTCAGAATGGCAGGTTATAGCTATCCAAGGTACGGTCCAATGCCACAGCGGCTTGTCGGCATGTAATCCCCAGGCTCCCAGAGGAGAGGGGAAAGCCTATTCAATAAATATTCTATTTCCACAACATGCCCCCCCACCCCCCATTCCCCACCTGGTCCCCTGCCCTCCTGCCATGTGCTGGAGTCCCTTAGGTAAGTTTAACAGCTACTTTTCTATTGTCTCCGCTCTAAGAGGTCAGTATATCACAGTGAATGAATCCTGTCACTTTTATTACCAGTGGAGCACAGCACCACGGATAAAAACAAGACTTCATATACCCCCACATCTCCCCGGTCTCACAAAATAGCCTCGCTTGATCAGTCTGTTACTCTAGCCCCTCTCCCCCTCCCCTGCCCTCCCATCCTCAACCCTCAGGCCCTTGTTTTTTTTTTTTTTTTTTTTTTTTCTCTTTTTTTTCTCTATCCTTGTCTGTCTTTGGCACTGCGGCTCCACTTGTATAGAAAATGACACCACAGCTGCTCCTCGCCACCACTCTTCCCTCCATCCCTCCCTCCTACTCGCCTGTGGCCCCCTCTGCTCCCAGGCGTGTTTACTCGAGGCCCTATAATGAAAGGCCCAGGCAGAGACAGAGATGGCCACAGGCGAAACCCTGGGGGCCCAATGTGCCTCACTGCTCACAACCCCTTCCAGCTCCAGGATCAGCTCGGTGTGCTGCCTGGTTCACATGGATCAGACTGTGTCCTCCAGCCGTATCCATCTCCTCTGCTGACTTCCCGTCCTAATCCCACCCCAGTTCTCCTTATGCCTCTCTGTCACCCATCTGCATTAATGGATGGCTTGTATTATTCCTCCACGTGCAGGGACATCAGCTGAAGCACCAATTCATACATCATATATTGGCAAAACAGTCTCCCTGCTGAGTGATGAATACAAGTCACTTGTGAAGAATCCAACTTTCACTTTCATGCATGAAGTCATGAGACCTGAAGAGGTATTGGGGGTGGGTTTGGTGGGGGGGCACCTCTGTGTGTCTCCCTCTGTTACACTGTTTGGTCAAAATAATGAGCAGGATGACATATGCCGGTGTCGATAGGCAGTCACAACAACAGCATCACTGTCAGATGAAGCCAAAGATGCAAATGTGATATTGGCTGTCACTGCACATGTCAAGCAGAGCAACAATATAACCTTTACAGATGACAATAGATTGGTGTCGTTACTTGAGAGATGGTCTTATGAGAGCCCAACAAAGGGTAGATTAGGTTTAATTAGACTAATTGGGCAGTCTGGGAAAATGGTGTATGTGTGTGTGTGTTTGTGTTTGTGTGTGATGGGTGGGGGGTTACATTTTAAAAATAATATTTTTTTGTGAGGCCAATGATAAAACTAATTTTAACATCAAAATTGAATTAATTCAGTTTACGTTGTTTATGATAAAATGTTTTTGTGCTGCAAGAAACCATACCTAAATGATTACTTTTTCCCATTGTCCTCTGCTAAACCAGTGTTTTTAATTACCAGTTTAGGTTAAACTTTTCATACATAATTTGGTTTGCAGTGCACACCTATCCCAAATTCAAATAACTGCAGAGAGACACGCAGAGTATAAAACACCCCCTGGACTACAAATCCTGAAATCTAATGAAACAGGATCGTTGCGGTAGAGTAACAATAGCGATGCTCAGTTTTACTGTGTTGCTGTTGAACTGAGAAGAAGCCTCAAGAGATCTATCTCTCTGGTCCCTTAATCAATTAGGTTTGGAGAGGACAGTGGCGTGCTTTCCACTGGTCACCCAACATGCTTCATGGTGGATGCAGCATCCATGACCTGCATCTCATTTGAGAAAAAGAAAAAAAAAAGGGACAGATATCACCAAGGAAATTGACTCCGGGATGGATTGATGGTTGACGGTGTGTGTTCAGATGAGAGCAAACTGAGGTTGGATGCAGGAAGCATATTTTTCAGTTACTGTAATTCAGGCTCTGTTGCTCAGGGATTGATGGTTTTCAAATTGATGCGTGCTCGTTGGGGAGAAAGAGGTCGCAGTGATGGGGATGACATGACGGTAGTTGAGTTGCAGATCATATTCTGTGGCTGTCATGGAGATGTGCGTGGCTTGTCTGGCTGCTGACACAGATTGAGTGCTCCCACCGTGGATGGACACTGAGCCAGACACAAGGCCACTGATGGCTGACATATGTCTGATGATTGGAGCTGCTACACCAGAATTATTGATATAACCAGCTCAAAAAGGTTTTGGAAATGCTACACAGTTTATGGACAGACTCTCCTGCAATTTTCCCGAGAAAGTTTCCATCTTCAGTAAATCTGTTTATTAGTACTTGTATCTTTGTCTGTTTGTATTTAACTAACAGGAAGACATTTTTGCAATAGACTTAATTTCATATATTTTTCTAGACCTGAATAGTTAAACTACTATCTGTAAGACTCTTGCTTGTACATCCAGCTTTAATAAAGCATTAGAGTGTAGCAATACATGATCACCAAGCAGGATTTAAAGAATCGACGAGGGAATTCATGTTTCCTTTACCCTGTAATCCAATCGAGGCATGTGTATTTAAATGTCCACAATGAGTAAACCCAATTAAATGTGTTAACAAACAAGTAAAGATCCACTGCCGCTGGGTCAATAAGAGCAAACTCACACACAGCATGCAAATGTGAAACTGTCTGGCTGCGGCATAGCCACTCAATATCATGCATATCGAGCTGGTCCAGGATCATAAGCAACAGGTCAATAGCTGGTGTGGATAGTGATGCTGTTACTTGGCTTCGCTGGTTTCCCCACAGACAACCTGTTGTCCCCGGTGAGCCTGCTTATCTGCACGACCCAATCAGCCCTCCTTCCTTGGCCTTTTGCTCAGAGGCCTCCCTGCTTGGGCTGATCAATACAAGGCAGAGTGGATGTGTTCTCAGTCCACCCCGGGGTCATGGGTCACCACCTCATCCATCTGTTAATCCAGCAAAGATTTCGAGGTGATGTCATAGTCATGAAGGAGTGTTAATAATTGATCCTGACCCAGCCTGCAAAAAAGAAAAAAAAAAAAAAAGGAAAAAACAAACAAACAAAAAAAAAATAAAAGTGATAAAGGAACGATGTGAGCTATTGAGATTGAGGGATTTAGTTTAAAAAGCTGTGTTGTTCTGGGAGCTTTTGAGTAATTTGCCTTGACATTTGCAAGTGTTTGTTCACTTTTGTCCATGTTCTAATTGTCGATGCGTTTGTCCTCCATGGGTGACAGGTAAGAGCCAGCGCCATCGCTCAGGATGCTGATCAGAATTACGACTACGCTTCCAACAGTGTGATCCTGCATTTGGATGTGGGTGATGAGGTGTGTGTGCAGCTGGATGGAGGAAAGGTCCACGGAGGGAACACAAACAAATACAGCACCTTTTCTGGCTTCCTCATCTACCCCGACTGAGCCTGCGATCCTTACTCACTGGGAATGAACACTATCACACACAAATAAGAACAAGTCTACATTTACACACGTGTATGCACACAGAATTAAGCAGAAACACAGACAGATAAACACCAACTTACACCACAAATGTGAGCAAACACATACGCACACACACCCTGGGATTACACCAGACTACAGATGTGTGGATCAAGTGAAAATCCAAGATAAAAAGGATGAAGTTGGGTTGTGAGATTCTGAGCCAATCATCATGAGCAACTGCATCTATTAATGCCCTTTGTGTGCAAATATAAATCTCAGAATATGTACAGTATAGGTGCACATAACAATTGCACGTTGTGGCTCTAAAATATCTAAAATATGTGTTGCATATTAACTGACATTGTGAGGACTAGAATTTAACAAACACCATCAGTATAATTGTTTGTAATGCAATAATGGTGTTGAGGGTGCAATTAATTAAAAAGACAGAGCTGGAGCAATTACTCGCCAACTGTATACCGACACAGTATTTATCATTTACATCTCTGCTCTGCAGATTCAGTGACCTCTGATCAAACAGCTGCATATGCATTGCAACACATCATTGAAGGAAGAAAAAAAAAACCCTTGAGTGAATTTCAGCCCCCCTGCTGTGATTCCTCTACATTTGAGCAGTGCTGATTAAATTAAGGCCATCTGAATAAACACAGATGCTTGACCTTTTGTTCCTACAGGATATCATTCAGCAAGATTATACTAAATATACAAACATCACAAGGCAACACATCATGACATGTTATGGGAGGCAATTGATGTGTGATGAAGTCTTAGTGCCAAGTGCATTATTATTGTGTGTGTGTGAGGGTGGTTGGGTATATCAGTTTGAGTGTACGTGTAGATACTATAAGATAAAAAGGGAGTGAAAAGTAATGAAGGCACAGTTTTATTTATGTCAAGATTATAATATACATTACAGACACGTTACTGTAATTAATTACACTGCCATACCTACTTTGTTCTATATTTTTGAGGAACCCTGTCAAAGTATCATCATATGTAAACAGAAATCCTGGGAGGGCTATCTAGTATGTTGACTAGGTTTGGTAGAAGATTGCTATTAAAACATCCATACCTATCTTGTTTGTGTTCTTGCCTGATGCTTGTGTTTATGTTTGGAGTCACCACTCACACTGACTGTGGATGTATCGGATGTATGACATGACTACCTGGATTTAACAGCAGAGATTGAATCAACAGTGGCGGCCCACAGCCACTGCCTGCTACAGCATGGATTTCCGATATGTCTCAAGACAGTCTAAGATGCATACATTCATACTGCTATATTGATCGCAGCCTATAATACACCCAGGATCTACAAAATCCAGCCTGTGTATACGTTTTAAATGTAACAATAAGGTGATCGATTGTACAAACCGACCAAATTGGTTGAGTGTTCAATGAGGCTTGACGTTGTTTATCAGGGTTTAAACTAAGATAATTTGTAAGGAGGCAAACTAATAACAATACACCAAGGGAACTGCTGAAATCTTCCTCAGATAATATCTGAACATTACTGTGAATGCACTGATAGTCCTGCAGTGAATTCATGTAAGATATGCTTTTTCTCTCTCTTTCTTATACACAGACACCCACAATCTCTTTGAATGAATTTCAGTTTCAATCTAATTTCTGCATAAAGTGAATCAAGAACACAAATAATCAACCTTTCGATGTTTTCGTCCGGACAGGAGCTGCCACTACAGACTGTTTATACAGTACATCAATCAGCATATTGAAATTCTCCTCAATCTATAAACAGACTGCTCAATAAAATGCTCAAAAAAAAAATAGATCATGCCTTTTTCAGTTTTCCAGGGCACAGGTTGTCTTTTACAAACGGCTGGTTTGGTCAGACTGACAGCCTGAAACTCCAAGACACGATATATCAAAACATCCCGATTCAGACAACAAATAATCTCTTGTTTAAATTCTCACTTGTATTTTTCAAGCATTTTTGCATCATTTAAAATACCTGAAATGACTATTAAAATAGATTTTCTTTTTGGATGCAAACTGAATTAGTGTTTCTTTTTTTTCTTCTTCTTTTTTTTTTATGTAATTAATAGAAAAAATCCATATATGTTGTTTTCCTTAAGTTATTCTTTAGATTTGTCTTTGGAAATCTCAATTTTTTTTGTTCATTTGCCCGTTATTCATGGATGTGTATCAAAGACAGCTTTCTTATGATAGAAAACCTCCGTCTCGATGTGATAACACATCCTTCACTCAGAGAAACAAGTACACTGAAACACTGTCTTCTGTCAGATCCATTATTATGCTAAAATGCACAACTTTGTGGTAGCTAATGTGGAAAAATTTCACAGTCATATCAAACATTGAAATGCCGATGAACTCTGTATTTTTCATTCAAGACACTTCATCAGTCCTAACTGCAGAAAAAAAGGATGTTTTCTGGTTAAAGAGAAAGAATCTTTATGTGACTGGTGAAAAAGAAAGTGTCTGATTGGAGCACAGAGCTGCTGGCATCCTGGATTTAAAGGATTTGGTGAATCTGTTGCTCCTGAGTGGAGAAAGAGGGATGTAGCCGAGCCGTGCCCAGGCCCAGCCCCCGGCTCTCCCTCCTGGCAGATTCCAGTTGAAAGTTAATTGGACGGGGAGAGGTCTGAGACAGGCTGCGCTGAGGCCCATTAGTGATTCCCCTGTCGAATGCAGAGCCACGAGGATCACAGACTCACAAATAGGAGGATTAAAATAATCAATAGCCTTGACTTCCATCGACCACACATACACACACACTGAGTAATTAGTGGACAACCTATTCAGCAGTGGACTATGACACCCTCCTGAACCTTACCCCGCACACATAAGCTCCACACTCCACTAGCTGTGGTACCTAATGAGGGGAAATAGTTGTGGCTGCTTGTGAAGAAAATGAAGAAAGGTCAGGAAGCCACCAAACAGCCTTCTGCTGCGCATATCCTAGTGCTTTATTGCCAGACAATTTCTCTGAAAAATTGCCAGCATGGCCACAAGATATTCAAGATCAAACAGGTTTTGATTATAATTCTGGTGGGCAGCGTCACTAAACAGGAGTAACAAACAGGAAAATTACCAAAAGAAAAGATAACTATCTTTTTGATTTGTTATGAGTATGCATCAAAAGTGGTTTAAGATATTCCTCCTGTATTGTACACTATGAAGACAATAAAATGACTTTTTTTTTTTTAAAGAATAAGATGTAAATAGCAACACTGCCCTCTTGTGTTGATAGATAAACATTGACACACTGCCCAGAACCTCATAAGACAAATCACACGAAACAAACAAACTCAAAAAAGACAAAAGTAGTTCTTCAGGAAAACTTTTTTATTTAAAGGCAGCAACAAAAGTGGAATAGTTTTAAAAATGAGAACCCATTGAAATGTCTTCTTCTTTTCCTCATGATAGTATTGCTTTAAAACACCTGCAGGATCAGAGGATTATGTCCCTCAGTCACAGCAGGTTTTAGCTAATGATACAGTAGGTTGCTGATAGTTTTTACATTATAATAATGTCCAATTCAAAGCTTACAGTATATCATTATCAATTAAAGTGGTCTTAAGTGCTGCATCCTGGAATGTTATTGCAAACCACTCAAGCACAGAGACTCCTGAATGTATGGCAGCCGTGTTCAGGTTTATTCATGGTCTTTTCTAGGGAATGTAAAGGCACTTTTTAAATTAAATGTGGAAAACTACTCGATGGAAAAGGCAGAGGGGGCCGTTGAAGCTATCTGCAAAAAGAAGTTACACGATACGGGGTAAAATAAAAGATAGGATCCTCCTCGTCTTCACCCATTCATGACCATCCTGACCAGCTCTGTGAAAGAGACAAGAAAGAGACACAAGTCAGACTCGTGGACTAGATTTTGGCAGAGACCGCCTCCAACTACAGCATGTGGCACCATGGCCTCCTCCTCCTCATCCAGCTTTATGAGCCTGGGCAGGAGATGCTGCATTTGAAGGCAGGTTCCCCATGTTTTGCTCACCCGCAGGGGGGAGTTGAAGATGGTAATGTGGGAAAGAGGTAAGATAATCGTCTTTATCTCCTATACAGCCAAAGCATTTGGCCATGTCTAAGATCCAAGAGGTTGCTGGTTAGAGAAGCCATCGTCGCTGTTTGCTTTCCTCTAGTTGAGAAGCAGGGGAAAGAGGAAGAGGATGAAGAGCTCTACAGTCCTGTCAGATAGCGGGCCAGCTAAAAAAATTCAGCTTCCATCAGTACAGAGGAGAAACAATCAGCACAAGAGCAACTCATTGCAATTAGTAGAAAAAGGGACTGGTCCACTCTTCCAAAGCTGGTGGCTTCACTTGAATGTAGTGTGATCTCCTGTGTATCAATCTGTATCAGAAGCACCTCTATCACCAAAACAGGAAAAAGTATATGTCAATAGTACCAATGACATGCAAATGAGGTAAGAGAGGAGCTGTTTTGTAACCACACCCATCGGCTCAGATAACTGGACAGAGGCCACCATACTTTCCCTGAGTGAAACCAGTCTCTTCCCTGTGTGTCCACAATATCCCCTTCTAAACTGAGGAGAGTCCCAGACACATGCAGAGGAGCATGCTGCAGCCAGGGGCCAAGACAGAGGGCTGCAGGAGAGAGAGACAGGACAGCAAGAGGCTACACATGAGTCAAAGCCTCAGGACTAAAGATGAGAGGGACGACCAGGCTTTCCAACGGGGGAACCTAGAGGGTCGAATCTACGTGGTAAAAGCACATTGTTTCTGTTTGCTGCAGTGAAGAGGACAACTACAGCTGATTAGTGTTAGGAGGATCTGGTGAGGAAGGATTATTTCAAAACTAAAACACAGGAAAGCCTGGGGGTGCCTTCTCATGGTATACCAAAAGCCCGTACCGGCCCTCAGCCTGACATGATGTGGCGGACAAATGCTGTAGAGGAAGAAGAGTTAACAGACTGTCAGGAATTGACATTGACATATTTCCTTAAGATCACAGGAAACAGATACATGTGTATAGACCCACCGAACCGAAAGACTAAATCGAGCTTTACTTTTGTTACCATCTCAAACATAACAATGACAGGCTACTTCCAAGTATTTCCCTGAGATGACTTGGATTTACAGAAAGACATGTATGTGCAAAAGTATGTTTTCAAAGTGGCTTTTACACATGCCAACACCACACAAAGTAACTGGGGGTTTCTCATCACATTGCAAAGGCAGAGTGTGAAGGAATAGTTTGCATTTCCAAGGCGACGAAATGGTTCCATGCACCATAATCCTTGAAATAACAATATTCCATCCTGCTGTGGTTTCTTACCTTCGTAATTGATGCAGCCGTTTGCATCTTCATGTCCTGCCAAGAGGGTCTCCACCTCCTCCTCTGTCATTTTCTCCCCTGCAGAACAGACAAAATCAGTTTTCACTTTGGAAATCTAAGTAAACCCTTAAATATAGGATTAAAAATGCAATTACCAACCTGACGACGTAATATTTATTGGCAAACATTAATAAAATTTACTTTCAAGGTATGTAAATGACATTTTTCACAATTTTTTTAGTAATTCAAGATTTTTTTTCAAAATAATTTTCAGTAAAGATATAGCGGTATTTTTCAGGGGAACAAAGAATGGTGAACACAGACTTTGACAGTTTTCCTATCATGTATTTTTGACAGGCTACAGGGATATGACTTGCCTAACGTGGTGAGGACGTGACGAAGCTCTGCTCCCATAACTGTGCCATTGCCCTCTTTATCAAAGACACGCAGTCCCTCCACAAAATCCTCCATGGAGCCTTGATCTTTATTCTTAGCGATGGTCTGGAACATGGGCAGGAACTGCTCAAAGTCAAGCATCTTGGTGGCCATTTCTGCAGCAGGACAAAAAAGGAAGTGACGAGCCACGCCTCAGAGATTTTTCATGCTTTTCTCAGCACCAAGAAATAACTTTGATGAGTCATGTGCTAAAAAAGAAATATTATTGTCCAAGTTCAATTTTCCTTCCCACCTTCGGGCTTGGGGTTCATCAGGACCTTCATCACCTCAGCGTTGATAGGATTTTGTCCAAGGGCCCGCATGACATCTCCACATTGATTGTAGCCGATCTTCCCATCGCCTGTCCGGTCGAACAGCTGGAAGCCCTCCTTAAACTCTGCAGGATACACAAACACACGCCTAGTTATAGTAGGAATGTAAGGACTTGTATGGAACAAGCAAACATGTACACTTGAATCAAACGAGATAAGATACACACAGGAAACAGATGAGAAGAGACAAAGCAGACATGTTGAAAGGAAATAAGAAGAAGCAGGCAAGTTAATCTACCCAGTCTACTTAAACTATTAGATGTACACATCACAGGAGCACATCTATTGTTTTTCTTTGGTTGGCGACACCGCTGGAGCTTCCTCAACAGAGTTACTACTAACTGTTTGTGCCATCAGATCAGTATGTCACTCCTTTGATACACATTAACAAGAAGGGGGTGCAATTACTTCACCAATACCGCTTTGACGACTTTGCTGACATTTATACAAACACTTTGGGATTCAGTTGCCAAGAATATGAGACATCTCTGTGCTAAAGAAAAAAAATATTTTAAATGTGCAGGGGGATCTATATGTCAAAGCTGTGTGCAAAATGGGTTCAAAATGCCAAAATAAGACTAAAAGTGAAGCAAAACTGTCTTTGATCCTAGAATTTGTTGCTACAGGTCTTAACAGAAGTAAAGAAATTTAAACAGAAGCTAAATAATGAATAAAGCTAAAAACTTTGCTTTTAAGTCAAGTATTTTAAAATTTCTTTTAATATTCATGTTTTTTAAGGCAAATTGTCAAAACATTAGAGATTTAGAAGACAGACTTTTGAAAAACCAGCCAAATCTGAATCAACCTGCTGTATTTTGGGAATTGTAGTATTGATAAAAAAAGGATAAATAAAACAAACATAAATTATTGTTATTGTTAAAAGAGGCCTTAACTAAGATAAACAATAAACTAAATTAATAAATCAAGTCAATCACATGCAAAAATATCAAACAAAGGCTGTCCAGTCAGAGCTAACTATGCAAATTATGCTGTTGTTCAAATGTTGTGTATCATTTAAGGTCCACGTATGTTTTCTGTGATTTTCTATTCCTCATTTATTTTCGCAAAAACATAAGAGGTTGTGTCTGTAGCATATACTTCAGAAACTACTTGGCAGTGGAGCCTTTTCAGTGGGCTGGGAAAGTTCACCCTATAATGCCATGGGTATCATATATGATACATGCATTTCTGAGACCAACTGCATCACTATATGGCAAAATCTTAGCTTAAAACCCTGATGTTTACAATCTGATACTTGTCTTCTGCCCTCTGGTGGATACAACCGTGTGTAATGCCTGATGTTTAAATACATTACATATATGCAAATTGTTTTGAGTTTATTTTGATTTTGTTACATTTTATTAAAAGGGTCAAATAAGGACTTCAGATTAAAAAAAAAGATTTTTGTTCGTTATTCTTGCTTCAGGCATTACAGGGTTAATAAGAGTAAAATGAGCTTCTAAGTTTTAAACATTGCAGTTCAGGGAATATTGCCAGTCGTTCCTAATTAAAAACTGCCTTGACTTGTTTGACTGTCAGCAATAAATCAAATATTTGGTCTCCTATTAAGGCTCAAGAGCCGAACAAGAAGGTTAGCCAGGATTCAGCAAAGAGGGAGACATGCAGTCGGATTATACAACATCCGGGCAGAAGTCTGGGCTTAATGTTATGGGACAGGCTATTACCCAAAAAAGCCCTGCTAGTGTTGTTGAGTTTTTCCTGTTCTGAGGAATGTGTCTCTTCCCTTCTGGCTTGTGAGCACTTTTCCCCAGCACCATATTTGGTATTAGAGGAGTGGAGGAAAGTAGGAGGAGAATGAGAGAGAGAGTAGCTGTGGCCTATTATGTCAACGATGATTAAACAAGCCAGCCTTAGGACAAAAACCATCCACCACGGTATCCAGCACCAAAAAAGGGCACACTCGTGGAGATGAGCCGTTTAACGATAACAGGCAAATTTCATGGCAAACTGACACGACCAAGAAGACATACGAGAACAAATACGAGCTTAGCTTATGATTCACTGTGTGAGTGCTGCTGATGTATGACTGAGTGCCTTCAAAAACACCAGCACGGTCAAAGCTGATAATTACGTGCAAAATATGACTGAATTTGATGTAGCACAGAATGCGATTATTGCTTCACATTTTCACAGTTCTGGCTTTACAGTAACCCGCATGCAGATCACACCCTAAACACTCACAGATAACAATCAGTTTGGATCTTTAGGAGGTCCCTGTTAACTGACTTACCATGAATCTGTTCCGCGTTAAATTCAATCTGGAAAGGACAAGTAGTTGCAAGTGGGAAGTGGTGAAACAGTGAAGGAGAAAAAAAAGCAGGAAAAGTAGCCTATAACCACGATTACAGTGACAGGCGGGCAGAGAGCAGGGTGATGGTGGAGCTACAGGGCAAAGTGTCAACAGAATCAAGCAAAAATGAAAGCATGCAAAACAAAGGATCTGGCAAAAACACCCAACACAAACTCTAGACTCACCCATGATTTGGTCATCCGTGAAATCAGACTGTTCAAGAAAAATAATAATTCATGAAAATGGTTCCCCTTGCAGGGCAGCGCGAAGCTAGCTCAGTTTACTGTCTACGGCTATTTCAGCATGTTTTAGAGTTGATAAGTTTAACCCAAACCACATTTTCTTTAACTATTAAATTAGTAATGATTCACATTCTTGTAAAAACGTCGCCGACATTAGTTTTATTGTCTTTATCTCTATCTACCGTGTAGGCTAATGTTAGCATCTCAAAAGTTTGACTTCCGCTAGTAACCCGCACTGAGCCAATTCCGGTATTCAAACTCATTTCAGTGTCTTAGCTAAGCTAACCAAGTTTCTTTAAACAATATACCTATATCAGAAACTATCAAACAGGTAGCTAAAATTGAGTGGTACAAAAAGACCCACCATGGTTGGTTGCTGAGGTGTGTCCGAGGTGTCGGCAAACCAAAGAATGTGTGACGAGTCGAAGCAAGGGACGGGTAGGGCAGGAAAACCAACCCTACGAGCAGTGCGTCATGACGTAGTACGCACGACGCTCAAACAGCAGGGCTAGGACGAATAACCGTCCTTTACTGGAAGGTAAACCTGTGTATGTTTTTTGTCATTTTCTCTTAACATCGATGAATATATATATATAGTAATTTCTCTCTAAATATTACATATTAAGGGTAAAAGCTAACATTTATTAATAGCAGACCTACACTGTCAAAAAACAGTTAAGGTCCACTCTGACAAGTTCACTTGATGGGTCTACTGTTTAAATAGTCATAGTCCCTGTTTGTTTAAAAAAATATCCTGCTCTTGCTGTACTGGATTAGCCTTAATTTTAGGTTTTTGGTGAAATGAAGGAATTATAACAAGCACATTTTGGTCCCCATGACTGATTCTTCAACCTTAACTTAGTACGATAAGATAAAAAGAACTTTATTTATCTCCAAAGGAAAATTCAATAAACAAAAACACTCTGACTGACAGTGTCTGAATGAATTACTCTAAACAAAGCTTTTGAACCATTGTCATTGAACTGACTTTCTGACAGAATTGATTAGTTCAGTTTTCCCTTAAGAATGTAGATGTCTGACTGTGCAGGAATGATCATGGATCAGCTTAGGTCTGCCTTTGAGATCAAAGTTTGATGCCTCTTCTGACAAACCTCTTCAAGGTGCCCAGCAGTGACTCTTGTCTCTTGTCATGCCTGTGCTCCAACGGTGAGCAGAGGCAGGTATCCAAACATAGTACATATACAGTCACCAGCAAAATGGGATGGACTCTCAAACAATAAATACATTTTACAAATCTAAAAATACAAAACAAACAAAGAAATAAAACAAAATATCATGCCGTGAATATAGTGTGACACTCACAGTGCATGAAGATGGAAGCAAAGCTTAAGTGCAGTAAAGACAAAGTCTAATGTGGGGATCAGCATTGTTTAAGATACTAAGTTTTGTCAACATTCATTATTGTCTCATTGACCTATATTTGCTTTTTATTTTTGACACAAAGGTGAGCCCTCAAAACAAACTCTTTAAGAGATATAAAATTAAGAAACATTGAAGTGGATTTGCACCATTATCTTAAAAGCTACGGTGACATGCAACTAACATGCTAAATATGTTACTTTATAAACTTTCAATTGACTTTCAATTGACAAAGTCGCATTTTACTGATAGGGTTTGCATCCAAAATTTGCCATCACCATGATACTGTACTTTTATAAGATATATCAGTGATAGCCAGTTAACTATGTGTCACAGATTGATAAGGTTCTTTCTGTGGATCGTCTTAAATTCTGTTTCATCAATCTCAAGACAAAGTGTGAGTTAATCTTTCTGGTTTGTTGCCAGTTTCTAGTCTCAGTTCAGTGTAGCAGAAAAAGGGGGAAATTCTTCACTTGCAGATTGACTTATGGTTTGAATTTTGTTGTTTTGGTTGTTTTCATAACCCTAAGGAAAAACGCAGATCATTTAGTCACCTTACTAATCAAAGAAATATCATATCTTGAAGCATGACAGTCTTTGCTCTCTAAGGAGGCCACTGACTGACTCACTGACAGCCTCATTTTCACTGCCCCATTTCTTTGCTTGCTTTAGTATCAGCCTTGCCACAGATTGATGCTGTCAGCTATGTCCTTTTTAGTAAAGTAAAAATGTAAAAAAATGACAGAACTTGACATCCCACACGGTATTTTTGTGTATCTCAAGACAGGTAATTATTTAGAATATCCAAAATGATTAATCTTGTAATGAAAACATGATAATCATAAAGTTCTGATTTATGACTTCCCCACATTAGCTTTGTCATAAAAACTCTACTGTGGTGACACCACTCACCTCCATAGTGCTGGGGTCAAATGGGGCATCTGAGGGACGCAGCATCCTGGGTTTCTGCTCCGGAGCCGGCTTGGATGTTGGAGAAGCTGCAGGGAGGCAGGGGTATGGTGGACCCAGTCTGGGTTGGCTTGTCTCTGACGGGGACTTTTTAATGGAGGGTTCTCTCTTAGGAGACATTCCTATAATCCTGGAAAGACAACACTTAAAGTCAGTCTCCTGCACCGGCTCACGCTCTGGCTTCTGAGTGTCAGTACTGAGTGGTGAAATAGAGTGTGTGTGTGTCCTCTGTCGGTAAGGGAAGTGGATAATGATGATGGTGATTAGGATGATGATGCTCAGGGGCATACAGATGATGAGGCAGAGGTGGATGTATGGAGTAGCATGTGTGTGGGTTGTATGAAAGAAAGTGTAGGAGGAGTGTAGTTGGAAATAGCACGGAATCAAGAGAGGGATGGATATAGACGAAAAGAGCCAAGCTTTTATTTAGGTCAGAATGATGCTTGAGTGAAGCAGCAATACGAGGTTTCTGTGTCAGGCTCCACACACTGATTTTAGCCAGAATTACATCATCTTAAGATTGACAAAAGGTGTTATGAGGGGTGTTATGAATCCTGTGAATGACTAATTCCCCGTTTACAGCTTAAGAGGTTGTTCCAGCATTTAGACATGTCTCTTTTTAGTGCTTCTCAGATAATCTATCTCTCCTGTATCTAACAGAGAAGATGATGCTGATGATACATGCTCAGAAGCTGAGGAAGAAAGTAGGTATACAACAGTTAAATATGATGAAACATGAACAAGACCTAATTTCTCAGAGGAAAAGATTAGCAGAAGCTTTTATCTGCTAAAATAGATAGAATAGAATAGATGATGATGATAAATACTTGGGTAAACACAATACAAGGCACAGTTAGGATTGTTATCAAGGATAAAGTGTCAGTGATAAATGTCTAGTATGAAGTGTTAGTGTATATCCACTATATATTTTGCATTAAGTGTGTGAGTGTTTGTGTGAGGGATAGAGAGAGGTGATTTGTTTACCTTTTAAAAGCAACAGATTTAATGTGTATTTCAAAAACACATAAATATTAATCAAACTGTATTAACTGGTGCTTGATTTATTGCAAAAATAACACATATAAACAATTTACCAGTATTTTTTAAACATATATGAGTTTTATAAAAGATGAAATACAATCAAGTCTTTAACTGACACTGCAAGGTAGGCTTACAGCCTTAAGAGACTTAAGCATTTCTGTTGAACACTATATAATACCTCTACTTGACCATGTGAGTTTCATTTTTGTGGTATTTTGTGTGGAGGAGTTAGGACACAAAATCAGAACATTTCATTTAAAATTTGTATTATTTTATAAAACATTGTCAATTATCCAGCATAACAGCATTAACATACAAAGGCTCTTTATAGTAATTCACTGAAACAACTACTAATTAATAAAATAATCAAACATCTGCAAATCTTATGTCACAACATTTCAGTTCAATTCAGATTAATCCTGATAATTCTTTTAATCCCTAAAGGGACATTTAGTTCAGAGCAAATAACAGGGCATACAGATAAACAAAAAAATAATAAACAAAATACTCTGCTTAAGCAAAGTCAGCACGTGTTTTAAGACTTACTGGTTAATCTTTTTAGCTTTTTATACACTAACAGCACAATGTAAAGCCATTACACTTTAGGGAGCCTGCGATTTAAAAGTTTACCGCTAGATGTAGCTGTTACACAACATTGAGACATGAGCCTGTAAAGTTTGACTCAATTTGCATTTACACTGTTGATGAGATTAAATCAGATTAGATTAGATAGATAGATAGATAGATAGATAGATAGATAGATAGATAGATAGATAGATAGATAGATAGATAGATAGATTTTTTTTTCTAAATATCATTTATTTATCATTTATTAATTTTGCTTTTTGAGTGATCGGATATGTCCTCACTGAGTGGTTCAGTCGACATATAACCCTGCACAACTCAGCGTCCCGTCAGCCTCTCCTCCAATAATCGATGGTTTGCACTCGTCAGCCGATTTCTGGCACAATCCATCGGGCGCTCAATGGGCCTTGAAATCACCGTTTATGTGGCTGCAGCGTCAGAACAATAGCGACATGAGACCCTCGCTGTGAGACCAACGGCACTTCTGGCGCTGGGATAGCGGATCGAACACGCAAACTGAGGGAAAAGGACCCTCCACAAAAGTCTGTCTGTGAAACTCTTTTTCAAAATAACATTAAGACAGAAGCACAAATAAGCAAAGTCTGGCGTTATTTTATTTTGAAATGTCTTTGGATCCTGTCAGCCTGTTCACTTGCCAGCTGATTGCTGATGAGTCTGCCGAGCAGACAGCTCAGTGTCAAGCACTTTAAGAAGATTAGCAGTGCCTCACGTTTTCCCCATCATTTGCAGCAATAATCCATCACAAGGGGCTAATAATAACACCGAGAATATCCCATGTCTGCCTTCAATCTAGATTACCTTCAATATACACTGTAATTAGGAAATTGAAATATGATCCTCCCTACAAAATAAAAGTGTCTGTGTATTTCTTAACACGTCCTAAATTGATTTTAGAAATTAGGTGCTTGATTGGGAAATTACCAAAATTATTTCCCCTGTCTTTTAGTTTTGTTTTCAGTGTTTGGAAAGAAAATTCAATTACTCAAACTTAAAGGAAACGTTTCAACAGATCCTTTGAGGTGCCCCAACAGACTAATGAAATTATGGCAGTTTTCCCACCTAATGCCATTCAAAGTCCCCCCCACCCCAGCAACAGCAAATCTCCAAACCACCTGATTTATTTTTAATGATATTACACCCCTCAGTCGGCTGTGTCATGGTAATAATCGGGGCTGCTCCAGCTGCCTCTAGATCACATTAGCCGGGCTTAATATTGACAGTGCCGGGCTCACTAAACAATAAGGCTATGGGGATATGGAGCTTAGAGGAGGCCTAGCCATTGGGCATACTGCAGGAGGTAGAGAAGATGCAGGCCAGGATGCTCCAGTTCCCTATGCCCTAGAGGACTGGCATCGTCATTAGAAAGCTTTTTTTCAGTTTTCCTGTGGAGCTAAAGCCAGCAATGACACATCCAGGCCCCACCCAGGTCCCAGACATCAAAATCAGACTGACAGGGGACCAAGAACACTAGTGGAAACTTGATTCCCTGCAAGTCTGTCACCGGATGGAGAGACCAGCTTAGAGGTTGCACCTTGTACATCCCGCTGTGAGTCCTAAGACGGCTGAGGGTGAACTTTTCTGCAGCTTTCACCTTTTGACAGCATGAAATCAGCCATCTAAAGAACACTAACAATTGCACAGACATTTGCTCTCGGCTTTGGCTCCTGTGTAAAGAGACCAAGTCCACTTTCAAATTAAAAAATCTTATTTAAAACACAGGAAAGAAAATCTACATTTCCCAAAATGAAAGAAAGGGTTTTTGAAATCTGGTTTGATCAGAGAAGTGTTTTTATCCGTTAGACTAATTTATGTTGCGGGCTTGTCTAGTTACTGTATTTGCATAATGGTCACACTGGGAATCGGACTAGGCCACTTGTGGGACACTTGCACCTGATCACAGACACACCATGGCGCTTTGCCAATCACACCTCCACACTGGGTTCTCCCAATTAAAAATCACCTGTATTTGTCCTTGGATTTTTCAGGTTGTTGGACATAGGCTAGATGTCCCTGTATGCTGAAGGTTTCATCTTCTGTCCTAAATTTGTTGTTTGGATCGGAGGGGATTTTGTATGGGGGCCCGCAGATTACCGCCGTTGATTAGTGGTTGGGTGTAATCCTTTCAGCCCTTCTCTCTCCAAAACACCCCTGGGATATGCCCGTCTCCCTGAGGACCAGCAGTACGGCAGATGGATCCTCCTTCCCCCCTCGCCTGCCCTCCTCTGACAGCACACCCAAAAACACTGTTGATGTCCTGGGACGGAGGCTGTAAAGTATCCTGAATATGAAACCACAGGCACCTTTGTTTAATGGCTCTCTCCCCACTTAGTGAGAATTGCCCTCAGGCATGATTCCCATTCTGTAGCTACATTTCTGCCTGACTGGAATGTCTTCAAATCCATTAACCTAAAGGAGGAGGAATAAGCTGCAAACAATCTGCTCAGACTGTCTGGAAGGAAATGCGGTTTGATTTTTATCAAAACTAACTTTGGGAACCAAAACACTCTCTAGGTGTTGACATTGAGACTGTAAACTATACGCCAAAAATGTGGAGGTTAAAGAAAACACAGGATTATATTCCAACATTGAGAGATAGGAAAATTGCCAAATCTGTCTGCATCTGTCTACTCATGACTTTTTGAGTCCACAACTATCAAATGTTATTTGGGCTTATGTGTAAAGATATGTGTCTTCACTACAGGTGGCACAGTGGAAAATTTAATGCAATAATATCCAAAGATTAGTTTGTAAATATAAAAAAGGGACAATTTGTAATAAAAATAAAAGTGGGACTTAACTTTAAATGATTCAACATTTAGATTTCTCTTTAATCATGAAACATAAAAATGAACATATAATGTAAAGTTATCCTCGAGAGATTTAACTGCGGTAAAAAGTTCATCATTCAGGATTGTGCATACGTCTGCATGTGTGTGTGTCTTTGTGTGTTTATGTGTGAGAGTGAGTGTTAGACCGCTGATGTTCCCCTGTGTGCAGCAGAGTCAGTATGCCTGTCAGTGTCTCCCTCAGGAAAGTCTGCTATGTAACCATATTCAGGCTCAGTGAGCAGCAAATGGAGAGAACTGAGCCCTGGGACTTCTTAACACACACTCACATGCACGCACACAAGCACACATGCACAGAGGCACATGCAGGAGCAAAAACTAAGTGTAAAGCATGGTAAAAATTGAAACATCTCAAAAACAGTTCATAGAATCACTAGATGTGCATGATTTACTAAATACTAGTCCAAAACAGGCAATGTTTTACTATTTATTAATCAAGTACTACTTTTGATGAGAAGAACAAATGAAAAAAACTTTGTTTACTTGCTGACTATCAAGTCTGTGGTACAGCACAATCTAGAGAACAACCCGTGCAGCCACAGGGAGCTGACAAGAGAGTTAAATGGTGTCACCGGTGTGTACGTTTCTCACTGTTTCACTGAAGGGTTACACTATTTCATCTCACAAAACATGTGCCTCAGGTATTCTGAGAGCAAAAAAAACACAGTGTTGAACCTTTTAATGTTTGGCTGAAGCAAACATTAGCACAAATAAAAAATTGAGTGCTGATTTGAAAACTGTAATTAATGTCAGATTCAATAAATGACCAACGTTTTGTTGTTGTGAAGACTTCAACAGTATGCTGGGCTGCATTCCGACCCTGATGTTTTCTCAACACACATTTGCAGTCTGACCAACAATGTGAGTATGCTTAGTTTGATGGCGCTGTGGCTGGATGAAGGCATGACAGAGATGTGACTACATGTGTGCTCCACTTGAAAAAGGAGTAGTCAGAGCTGTTATTTGTTTTTGTTTTGTGTGTTAAAATATGTGATTTCAGTTACAGTTGGTAAGTATTGAATATTGATATATTATGCATGTTTTGTGCAGTGCTATAAGTAGTGCTCTCCCTATTCATTTGCTGGTGTACCATGTCAGTAATGAATTAGTATCATGTTCTAAAATCTATACAAAATACCAGTGGACAATAATGATTTTCACAACTTACATTCATTGAGAAAACTACTTAAGTTAGTCACACAAATAAAGACCATGTGCATCTCTTCATCAGCATGCTCCTATTTTCCATCAGACTCTATTAACAGTAGGTTTATTTTCTTTTAGTTTCAGGAGAAACAAAGCATCGTGTAATGCTGTCAAAACTATAGTACTACATGTGTTAAGTAATTTAGGTGCAATCATGAGTTGCGAGAACAAACTGTAATATGGAGGGGATAGGATACCAGCTGGTAAAATGTCATAGTACACTAATAAGTGACAGCACTGCAGACTTGTGCAAATTGACTATGCGTTTTAAAATACAACAATACACACACACACAGACACGCATACACACACTCACTCACACACACACACACACACACACACACACACACACACACACACACACACACACACACACACACACACACACACAAATTGTTATCAGCCACCAGGAGACGGTTTCATTGTATTGGCTTAAAAAGAGTATATCCCTGAAAATCGCCCATACAAACTTTAAAAAGCAACTCTAAAAAGTTAAGCATATGCAGTGTTTTACATGTCACAATAAAGCCAAATGTCTGACAATTTCAAAGTTTTGTTTTTGCTGAGAAGAAAGCAGTTTAATCTCACCACCCTGTGTAACATCACCCCCATCACCCCACCCCTTGCCACACCAACCCCTCTCTCAAATCCACGCTCCCTCCATCTTGTATAATCACTACAAGGGGGCTCAGCTTTCATGAGCGGTGTAGGGAGCATGTGTGCGGAGCTTTAATTCCTATTGTATTCGTCCAGTCTTGGTGTGTGTGAGTGTGTCTGTGTTTTAGCGAGAGAGGGCGAGGGAGATAGAGATGAAGAAAAAGACAGGAACAAGGACCCATCTGTCAGTGCAGCGCGTGAATCCCTCCCATTCCACTCAGGATCCCAGGGGGATGAGGACAAGAGACAACTCACTTGTGGCAGCGAGGAAGGGGGTAACCCCATCATTGGCAACAACAGCACTCAAAAAGCTAATTCAAGACTGGTACTTTTTTGTCAAATCTAAGAACAATAAGTTATTTTACGCAGCTCAGTTGCACATGCATGCTCACAAGTCTTAGCCACAAGACAAAAGATACCCACAGGATTGTTTTCATGTTTTCCACACAATAATATCTAACATTATGCCTCAATACTGAACTTTATAACTACTTAAAAAGCTGACATGTGTTTTGTTTGTAAGAGGCATCATATTAACATCATGCAGTCAGAAAAAGTTGCTCCAGATCACGTGTCCACCATGACCTCTTCCAGAAGGCTGCCTGCATGTTACTCCTGCAATGGGAGCAGATAGGACACAATTCCCCCTCCGTTACTCGGTCATTCAGTCATTTGGGAGACCGAAGGGGACTGTGGGAGACTGCTGGGCTCAAATTCCCCACGCAGGCTGCAGGTGTGGTGAGGGCCTTGCTTACACTCATGGGACAGGGAAAGAGTATGTGGGTGTTTGTGGGGTGGGGGTGCATATACCTGGGGAGCTGCATCATATTAGTCTGGAGCTGTGACCGTACACATGCAATGTCTTGTTTACATGGGACACACACGCACACGCACACACATGGCAGTGCTCTGACCAGGAGTGATTCGGGCCGTTAAAGCGAGGTGCACAAATGCTTTTTCAGCACGAGACATCATCTCGGAGTGACGCTCGCGCACCCAAGCAACAGATGCCCCCACCCCCCACGCTTCCTATATCCAGCCATCTGTTAGGGTCTGTTCAATAAATCGTTGGATAAGTGCCTGTTTTACGCAATGTTGCCGATTAGCCACGCGATCTCCAGACGTGGAAATATAGCCTGTGCACGCTCACGAACAGGAGAGGCAACAAACGCTGTTGGCAAAGTTCAGTGTGTCTCCGTCTCGAGCACAGCTGTGCACAATCGCGCGCACAATGGGATCAGTTCGGGGGCACGTGCGACTCGCGAGACCCCGGCTGTCAATGGCCAGTGATCACAATAGACCCCCACTGCGCTGCGGCTCGCCACGCACGAGGGCAGGCGGGCGTTTATTGCACTGTGGTATTTGTTTTGAAAACTGAGGGAAATACTCAATATTGAGACCCGATTATGAACAAAAGAAGACGAACAAAAACTTTAAGACTCACGTTGGGCTAAAAAAAAAAAAAAGATTTGGGGTTTTTTAGGAACAGTCAAAAACAAATTACCTAATTAACTTAAAAATCAAGACAAAAGTGCACTAAAAATATAAACTGTTATGTTCCTGTAGAAATGTATTTCTAGTTAAAAAAAATAGTTTTTTGGCCTCCTAAGTTCCTTTGCCACAGTTACTAATGAGCAGGATACCTGCCCGTTCATCATTGCAATCGATTCAACGATCACACTCATCCATTGGCGGCACAAAATGACGCTAGAGATGCAAGAAAACAATTGAATAACCGGCTGAACAACGCACACACCTGCTCTTTGCACAGTAAGCTGTCAAAATCACTTACATACGCGCACATAGAGGAGCGTCTCTTTACGCAGCGAACACCAGGCACACACTGCGTTTAATTAAGTGGAAAAATCTTAATCCAACCGACTAATGAAGACAATCGATTAAGATAGCCTAGTTAACACAGCAGCTAAACTGAACGGGTAATTTTCATGCGCATGAGAGTATGCTATATTTGCGCCAAAGTTGCACGAATGGGTATACTGGTGCGTAATTTCTTCCCGATATAAGGCTAATATCCAATTTAACAACATTGCACAGAATAGTTTATAGGGCAAGAAGCAAAATAAAGTCAACATCTTATAACTACTACCAGAATTTCTTTGGTAAACTTTCAGCAAAAATAAAAAAAAAATAATAAAATAAAAAATGATTTAAAAAATCGACGCATCAAAATAGTCTTTTGAACCTATTAAGTTTCCTGAAACGAATTCGAGATAGTAAAGGATAAAACTTGCCTTTCTAAGAATAATAATGTAGAATACCCAAATGACTTTTTTCAATATCTCTATGTTATGCAGGCTTCCGTGACATTCAGATGACCAAGTTTGATTCAACACATAAAAAAATCTTGATGGGTTACAAACCGATCATGTTTGTGAGTTGAAGCATCACACTTTCAGCACGCCATACTGTCGTCTACTGACCACTTTTATCAGCATCACTTTGCTCTGCGGGTCTCCTTGTCTTATAGAAGGTTCATTTTATCAACCACTGCCTTTCTAGTATCTAAGAAACTCCTCATATATGCAAATACAGCGTTGTTCACGCGTGCACTCGTGGACAAGCTCTCTCTATGTTCGTCAAACATTTGCTTGAAGAAACTTCTGGCCACGAGCCCGCCACGCGCGTTTGGATGAATTGATGGTGGGTGGGGCACATGAAGGAGGGGCTTACCCGACTAAAGGCGAAAAAATCTGCCTTGCTGTGCCATTTGGAGATGATAATTCAACGCGCACTTATGGCAAACTGAGGAAGGAACAGAGTTTGGATGCACCAAGAGAGAAACGCAGGGACCGTGGACTAATTACTCCGTTTCTCATCATCTTCCGTTCGTTAGATTTCTCCTCTACTTTGCACTGAGTGGGCTGTGAATCCAAACCGGTGGGTACCATTTTCATTCACAGAAAAAAAAAAAAAAGATCGAAACTAGATGCGGGTGCGCACAATTTGGGAAAGTGAATTTAGTCTCCTTAGCGGTTGCGGTGCATGTTTAAACTTTTAGGTCATAAAGAGACAAACATATTTGGCTCTTTGAATCATTAAGCACTGAAATAAGTTTTTTAATACGGTGTTCTTGATGGCTTGGTTTGTTTCCCCTCTTTTGCGCATCTGTGCTTAATCGGTTAATGAGAAAGTCTTATTGGAATCTTGTCCATTGTCCTAAAAAAAAGACACCAATGCAGAGAAAATTTAAAATGCAAAGGGGAGCATCTTTTCATATATATTACATAACATCAAAAATATAAGCAGTATATACTTGTACATTTCTGTATCACTATTAACAGTATTCGTGTGGCTTGACCACATTTGTTTGAGATGCATGTCCACTATTTTAATCTTTGAGCTTTATATTCAGAGTAAATCCCGTCATGTCCCAGATTGACAGCGTCTCTGTGGCGGATACAGTCTGACAGCAGGGAGGCATTCAGTCACATTATTCTAAAACAACCCCCCAAAATATCCGGATATTACAACAAAATACTTTTTTGAAGTTTTTAAGGTTTCCTCGGTGTAACTTTTTAGTATGTACACCGTGCCAGAAGCTCTTGAGGGGGATGAGTGAGCTGTCCACACTGAAGTGCTGAAATGAAAGCACTCATGGTGGATTTCAGGGGAAATGAATTGTTGGTTGTTGTATCTCAGGAACATCCTGTATTTCCTTCTCCAATTATCACACAGTTAGAGGATTTTTATGTGTAGTTAAGTTGTATCCTGTTGACTAACTGTTTCCTATTTGATGTTTCCTCAGATCAAAATGATGACCAAACCCTTTGGAAAGAGCAGCGATGTGAGTGAGCTGGTGAGCTCTCTTGGCTGGCTTGAAGAGGACGGCAGCTCTCAGGATGGAGATGAAAGCCCTGACATGAGAGGGCAACACAGCCTGACAGTAGGGAGCCGGATCCACTCCTGCACAGAACTGGGCAGTGAGGACATGGATGAAGAAGAGGAGGAGGAAGATGATGAGATTGGTCCAAATGGTGAACAAGCCCCAAAAAGAAGAGGCCCTAAAAAGAAGAAGATGACCAAAGCTCGACAGGAGAGATTTCGTGCCCGGCGGGTCAAAGCCAACGCCAGAGAACGTTCACGAATGCACGGGCTGAATGATGCTCTGGATAATCTGCGCAGAGTGATGCCCTGTTACTCCAAAACACAGAAGCTGTCAAAGATTGAGACTCTCCGGCTGGCCCGCAACTACATCTGGGCTCTGTCTGAAGTGCTGGAGAACGGCCAGTCCCCAGAGAGCCACGGCTTTGTGGAGATGCTGTGCAAGGGTCTGTCTCAGCCTACCAGTAACCTGGTGGCCGGTTGCCTGCAGCTGGGACCCAGCCCCATGATACTCAACAAGCTGGAGGACAAGTGTGGAGGCCCCGGGATTGGTGGTGTGGGGGGTCAGGCCAGCCATTCCCTCAGCTACCCGTCTCCAGGTCTTCCAAGTCCCCCTTACGGCTCCTTGGAGGCTTCCCACCTCATCCACATGAAGGGATTCAAGGGGCCTGTGTACGACAACCCCTCCCCTAATGAGTGCAGCAGTGGCACTCCACCCTATGACGGGCCCCTCACTCCTCCTCTCAGCATCAGTGGCAACTTTACCCTGAAGCAAGAACCCTCACCCCATGAGTCTGAGAGGAACTACACACCCCACACTGGCCACCATGCCCACTACCTCTCATCACACCATTACCCCTCATCCACAGCAGGGGGGCCTCAGGGCCACCCACTTTTTCAGGCTTCACGCTATGAGCTGCCCCTGGATGTGGCCTTTGACTCCTTTACTCCTTCTCACCTGATCAGCTCCCAGATGGGCGCAATCTAAAGTGGGACCAAGAACGGTGAAGAGGAGATTTAACTGTTCAGGAGGGAAACACTGCTGTTTGATGAACCAATGTCAAAAACAGCCTCTGTGGTTCTTACTGTACAGAGAAACTAGTTTGAATTGATGTTTTCAAGGACTTTGAGAGAGCACTGAAAGCTCAGAGACTCACCAACTCAACTCAGTCTACCTGATACAAACATGCACCCATAACTTTTGATATTTAAATTATTTTCTTTCTTTCTTTTTTTGTAATAATACATGATTTGGATTAGATGAATTACTTTAAAAACACCCTGTTAGTTGTTACAGTGACTAGAGGTGATTTCAGAAATCTCTCACCGACACTTGGGTGTCTCATTCATGTTGCTGTGAAATAATTGGGTTTAAACAAAAACACATGAACTTTGACAGATGATCTGCATGTCTGCATATCAGAAAAAAAAAAAGATTTAAATTGTGCACGACCAATGCCCCCCTCTGCAATAAGAATAGAAATGCATTTATTTATATCTGTATTTAATATTTATTTTGATAACATCTCGTCCTTTTTTATAATTTTCTCAGCACAGTTTTTTTGTTTCACTGTCTTCTGTTTTTTTGTGAATCACTGACATCTGTACTGTATTTAATTTATTTATTGGAGGTCTTTCAGGTACTTGTTTATTTGGCGTCACAATTTTTGTCACACTGTACTGTTGTAAATATTTGGCTGTTTCGCACTTGATTGAATAAATATTCTTATATTATATGCTATTTCTACAGTAAAAATACTTTCCAGGTTTGTTTTCTTTAATCATGTTAAGTCCAGTTATAAGAGATCTTAAGTTTTTAAAATAGGGTACTTTAATGCTGATACATATATCAATTTATTTAGATATTTATTCACACTGACAGGTTTTCATTAGGAGTTGAATGACTTCCTGTTGATGTGAGAATTGTTTGTAAAATTTGCAGCCTCACATACACAGTAATCTGCATTCATTGTAAGATATTTTATGAATTTACATGTTAGGAATTATATCAAAAGTTACAGGTCAGTGTTTGAGCAGTTTTTAGCACTAAATGAAAATGGAATCTTAAAGAAAAACAAAGAGTGTCCCCCACAAACACTAATACGGCTGATCTCATATAAAAACAAGTTAAATTTTGCAGGTCAAAAATGCAACATTAACCGGGGCAATAGAGATCTGTTGCAGTGAGAGACTGTGTGCTTGTGAGTGTGCTTTGGGGGTCTATCAGGTCAGGCAGCAGGGCTATTGGGGACCATGGGAAAACAGCTCTCAGAAACAGGTGAATGTGTCACAGAGTCTGTTTCTCTCCCACATGCCCCATTTTCCCACCCAGCTCATGCCAAAACACTGTGGGCTCAAAGCTTGTTTTGTTTTAAAAGTCTATCTACTTTGGCAGATAAAGACGTAATATGAAAGATTCGACACTTAATTCTCGCTTTAATCATATTTGGTCAAAATTCCCAACACATTTATATCACTCATCTGATGGTAAGACTCACTTTTGACTTTAATGATGTGTTTAAGAACATGATGGCACTTAAGAGAAACAAAGAACCAAGAGGTGGGAGAGCAAGAGCTGGTGTGTTCAAGTGTGTTTATTATTGGGCATTTTTCACAATTGTATGAAGAGAAAGGTGCCTCTGAGGCTGTTGTCAAGAGGGCGTCCCTCCACTTCAGCTACCTCTCGAAAGGTTTGTCTTTTCCAGTTTCGACAACAGCTCAGAAAGGACGAAGGAGAAAAGAGGAACGATTGTTTTAGTGGGCGCCACTGGCCCATTGTGAACGCAGCCTGTTCTTTCTCTTGACCTGTGACCCGTATTGTTGAGCAGCTTCTCGTTCGGGGAGGGTAGACAGCTGGGGGAGCAGCGGGGGGCTGATGGACAGCTGGGCCAATTTGGAAGGAGAGAGAGAAAAAAGAGTGAGAGCATGAAAGAGAGAGGGATGAGAGAAGGGAACTTGTGTTTTAGGGAGAAGGAAAGAAGAGGAGAGGGCAGGAGAGGTGATGGGGTCCTTGCTCCCTCATTCACATGTTTGTCCTCTTTGCTCCTGCATGTCAGGCCTGGACCAGGAGTGACACATAGCTTTACACTCAGGCAGACGTTTGGCCTGTGAGAAAATGCTGGCAAAGTCAACTGGCGCACTCCCTCTTTGTGTCTTTGCTGTTTTGTTTCGGCAAAAAAGCTATGGCTGTGGAGGGGGGAGGCGGGGTGTGTGGATTATCCTCCTGAGTCCAGATACATGAGTGGGTGGATATGGAAATAATCCAGGTAAATTAACTTTGGATACAAGATTACAGGACATAGAGATGGAGGACAGTCTCTGAAGATCAGGGCATGCTGCAGTGAGACTGTCTGATAATGACATCGAACTGTTTGGAAAGATATGTGATATTTAAAGAGGGTATGGTAGTTTCAAATATGTCAAAAATAGTTCAGAATAAATTTAATTTTAAATCTAAAACACAGGGAGTAGAGATGGGTGCAACAAAAAAGTTTATCTACTAACTTCCTTTACTTCCTAGGAAACTGTTCAGCTTTGGTAAATTTTGTAAAGTTGTGGTCCAGGGTTGCAAAAAAATGGTGTTTAGGTCAGAGAGGGGGAAACAGAAAGGGTTTAAAATAGGCAAAATAAAATCTTATATACTGAAAAAGTAAGATACAAAGTTGAATTGATTGAAATTAAATAATTTTAACCTTTGGATTAAAAAAAAAAACAAACTTTATACAACAGGAGACAAACAAAGATCGAGACTGAGTGAACCAAGTGGCTGTCCTCCATGATAAGCAAACAAGGGTCTTTTAATGTGAAGGAAACACATGCTCTGTAAAGCCATCTCGGCCGAGCTGACAGGCTGCAGAGCACGACCTGTGGCCCAATCCCTTGGGAGAGAAAGGTCATATTAGACGTCAACCCTTGGAAAAAAATATGCAACAGTTTTTTTTTCACACTTCAGAGGTTTGAACTCTCAAATATGCTACAAATAAATGACTGAAATGGACCCTAATGGTCAAAAATAAAGTAAAAACCCCAAACTTCATTGATTTTTGCAGATAACCTTTGCTGGAAGAGTTAGCTTGCTGTCTCTTGCATATATTCCAGTTTCTTTGGACGGTACACTTAATCCACTGGCCAAACAAGAGTGGCTCCTACTAAAATGAAAAGGTCCTGATCCATAGGAGCGAGATAGAGGGATAAAGCATTGTGATTAAGATTGTATTAAAGGGGCCATAGGAGGCTGGAAGGCTTTAATCAGTGTCTGTGTGCCGGTAATCCCTCAGCCTCTAAGCTTGGGGCAACACAGTGACCACCCCCCCATTCGGCTCTCAGACCACAGAGCGCATGCACACTCATGAACACACACATATACACACAGTCACGCCTCCTCTGCGGGGAGCGTAGGGGATATACGAGCGCTCAGGTTGAGAGGTGGAGCACCCTGAAAAAAGAGACGGTCTTGACTTAGAGGAGCAGCTGGTGGAAGAAAGAGGAAAGGACAGAGGGGATGGATGGAGGGAGAGATGTGGGAAAAGAAAGAACGAAACAATGCAGGATGGAGAGGATGGAGCTGTGAGAAGATGCAGGGGCTGGAGGGAGGGAGAGTTTGAAAGAGGATGATTGGCCTGGTCATGGTCAACATGGTGCAAGCAATTTAAAATAGATTAATGAAACTTAAACGTTTCATGACTGAGATTTTATTACAGCATGTTATCGGACTAGACATTCAAAGGGTGAACTTCATTCAGACATGAGTCAAATCAATTCCAACTTAAAACACAAAACTGTTGCTCCTGTAACGTTTTAAAGAAAAGTTCAATCAACTTTGTTTCAGGTTTTCTCAGCTGTTCTCATGTGGCAACTCTCATATGTGAAAAATCACAACATTTCAAATGCTTGAGGACATTCAGGCAAATTAATCCATCTAGTTTTACACTTTGTGATTTTTCTTCTCATGTTTTTGTGATCATAGTAGTTTTTTTACCTCCTAATTCTCTGAACTAAGTTGGGATTTATAAACCGTAAGGTGTCGCAAAATTGATAAAGAAAAAAAGGCTGCCCATGACTTCTTGCACTTTTTTGTTTTTGCTGGTATTCAAACAATCGTTTGAGTAATTTTCTGTAGATTGTGGTAGTGGGACTTCTTTTTTTTCTATAAATCTATTTTTTTTTACCCTTTCTTTTTAAAAGGAGAAAATTAGGCACTGAAACCTTATCCAAGAGGTTCAACTTGGATTCACACTGCAGCAGCACTCAGTGTAAGAAAAACAATAGCAAATATACGCCCTGATATTACAGAATACAACAGAAACTTGATATTTTTATAGTAATAGTGTTACTGACACAGAAATGTCATTTTAAAATAAACACAAAAAGGTTTAAGGTAAAAAAAAAACTGCATTATGCATGTTGAATTTAAAGGTTGCTGAATGTATAAGCAAATATTTTGATGGATTGTTATTGACAAGAAACCAAATGTTTTGAGAACTGCCCCAAAGAAGAGAGAAAACTGCACCTTGGTCCGATATGATTGTTCTAATTAAAGGAACAAAGAAGGAGATATACAAGTTAGGGGAGGAAAGAGGGCAGCTCGCACACTCATTACCTCAGGGATTGGGTGTAAAAGGTGACATTGTGCATGCGGATAAGGGGTGTGTCTTCTCCTCCCAGAGTCTGAGAGTATTAGGGTGTAGGAGTTAAAGAGCTTCTAATGGGATCTGGATGCTGTCGTGTTTACCCTGCACCCCCCTTACCCTCCCACTCTGCTGCACGCCCACTGCATTGTGGAAGTTTCTGGGCTTTGGGACACCACAATGGGGCTGAGTGTAGGGACAGATGGAGGTCCCCTTGGAAGAGGGCACAAAAAAAAAAAGAGAAAAACAGCCAAAGGTAGGAGGGCTGTGGTATCAGCCGGCATGCCCTGCTGCCAGTGATGTGGGGGGAAGAGAAAAGTGAAAAGGGATTTGAGAATTTTCCCTACTTATCATGCAAAGAAGAATGTCCCTTTGCTTTGGTAATCTGCTTGTAAATTCAGTGTGATATTGACACATTTTGTGGCTTTGGTTCAGTCTCACTGAGCAGTTTAAATCTCATATACCTGCTAGCCTCAACACACAGTATATGCCACATACATCCTCCCCTTTAGTCGACCACCATCTTTACTATGTCAGTTAATTTTGTGTTTTTCAGCTTTTTCGTGTGAGGGAATCATAGATGTTAGTTGGCATTACCACAAGTGCACAAATCAGATCAGACATTTCTCGAAGAAGTATGTACTCTCAGCCTGAAAATCAAAGCATTGCATCAAGAAGTATGCAGATTTAGCACTCAGATATGCCAAGAGACTCATTTAGCCTTTGTTTATCAACGGCTGAAACAGGTCAGGCAGGAGGTCAAATGCTGATGTCATTAATTTAGGGCTGGCGCAGTCAGTGAATGGAGCATCAGTATCTGCTGATAGATGCTGATGAGGAGTGAGGAGGAACACTGGAGGAGGACAAGAGGGAGGTACCAGGCGCAGGAGCAACAGATGGGGCCTGTTGGAAAGCTCAGGTTGTAAACTTTCTGTTAGTAACATCTGTCCGTTTGTCCATCTGCTACGCTCGTTGTTTACAGTTTGTTTAGCTGAAACACATCAATTAGAAAACTGCAGAAGAGGCCTTTGTCACAGTGTGTTAATTACATCAGGTTTATTCATGTGCATTAGTGCGCCACAGATTTCTATTAGCTTAATGTCCCATTTCTAATAAATTTTAGTGGATTTAGGGTGTATTAATAAGTCTGACTAAATGGGATGGGAAAAAAAACATATGAAGCCCCCACCAGAGGTATGATCCAATCAAATCATCAGCTTTGCACCGTTCTCACAGATAAGCCCATCTATCACATCTGTGCCACTCAGGGACAGGAGTCTCACCATGCTTTTCTCTATGTTCATTTTCTGGAGCACACAGAAATAAGTGGATTGACATGGATGTGGGTATAAACCCTGATTAGAGTTACATTAGCAATTACTGTAAACACTCTTATAATCTGCGTACTCATGCAGACAAATGCCATACCACTTAACCTAACAGAGCATCAAATCTCATTTCTCACCGTTGACTATTTTGGTAATTATAATTGTGCATTTTCATGGATGTTTCTCTCCATAGGTGACAGCTAAAAGTTGCTACAGTGAATTTTCGGCAATTGTGATGGAGTCTGAATGTGTGAGTGAGTATCTTACAGGAACATCTATGACAGAATGTAAGAAAATTCTCAGAAAAAGTTGAAGCAAAGTATTTTTTTTCTTTTATTGGAAATGTTAGATCACTTTGGCGTATTTAACTTTTTTGGCTAAAAATATTCTCTCTTCAATTTGTCCTGCAGTGAGCGGATAAAGAAGAATTAAGCAGCTGATCTGGGCTCAGTGTCTAGAGTGTTACATTAGACATTAATCCACAACAGGGGAAGGTTGGAGGGCTAGCAGGTTTTAATCCTGCACTCAATGCAGCCAAGCCTCCCATCAGACTCAGCCAGAGATTGAGAACCAATATCCTAAAGTCTAAAATCTCAAGACTCTACTTTGGCAAATATTAGTGTTAAACTCTTGCTTCCTAAAGTGTTAAATAACAGGAGTGAAGTATAATCATGACATAGAGCGTCTCTGAGTCTTTATGAGCACCTTAACCACAATCTCCATTGTCTCTCTGCAGCCTTGTTTGGTGTTTCCTAAATCTCAGAGCTCCTCATGGGGTTAAGCGAGTGTCCTGGTGAGCCCTCTCAGAGCGCACTGTCCCCCTATATGTAACAGATGTTACTGGGGCAACAGTTGGTATTGAAAAGGAGGGGCTTCAGGCCATCTGTCCAGGGTCAAGGTTTGAAAAGGGGTGGTAGAGATGGTGGCACGTTCAAGAAAATGGCAAGTATTTGCCTTGGAAAGAGGGAATATAGCCCACATTGTAATCCTGCTCAATGTGTGCTTTCATCTTAGACTGCCTTTGTGAAGAGTTAGAGTGAGAGACTGCAGAATGAAGCTTTGAGGCAGAGGAGCTCCTGCTTCAGGGCAAAGGCACCACCTTGTGGTCAAAGACAAATATACAAAGTGAGTGTAATAAAAATAAACTTTATTAACATTTTAGAGTCTACATATTCAAGGATAATTTAATGTAAAATCACGATACACTGACAAATTATTAACTTCACTCATATGGACTTTAACAGAGATTTAAGGCTCTTAAGTGTTTGGTCTTTTCTTTCCTGCAAACACGCCATCTTCTTGGAGCAAACCTTTCTCTAGAAAGAAAAAGAAAGAAAATAAAAGAATCACATGTGTGTTTTATTAAAAACCCCACAGTATTATACATAATTCAGGGTTCCTACTCAGTTGGAATTTCCATAGTTTTCCATATCCTACTTTTTAGAATTATTTTTGGAAATACCTACTTTTCTATTTCAGAAAACAGTATTTTGGAACTGTGGTAATAGTCTGGAAACATAAATATTTTTCCATACTTTATTTTTTATTTTCAATACTTTTTAAGACATGGAAAACGTTCAAATTTATTTCCATAACTGTCCATACTTTCAATACTAGCATAGGAACCCTGATAATTTAAAGGGATAGGAACACTCACAATATAGACTTTGAGCCTCTCTTTTTCCATTTGGTAGTATTCAGCCACAGTCAACTCAGTGAAATCCTTCTTCATGGTCAAAAATCCACAGTCAGGGGAGCGTCTTATATGTTCAGACCTTAGTAGAGGATGTATCATGGAAGACAAATAAGACAACTGTTATTCACAATCAGAAAAATAAATTCTGTGAAGCAAAAACAAAACTGTGCAAATCATCTCATGTTCTGCCTCAGTGTAGTTATCAAAAGAGGGTGAATATTTATGAGGTGGTGACTGTTCACAGACTGCTTATGAAACTCATGATGGTGTTTATGTAGACAGGGGCAAATGTGATGCCTGGCATGGAGGACAACTAGAAAGACAAAGATGACAGTAGAGAGCAGGGCTAACATTAGCTCAAGTTAGCTAGCATCTAAAAGCTAGTATTAGCTGCATAATTATTCTGAAATCTCATGATACTGTTTAGTGGCGACTGTTTACAGCATATGAATAGATTTCAGATTTTTGTGGTTTGTTATTACGTTTTAGAAATATTTGCCCAGTCAAGGAACTTATCGAGCTACAGTGATATAAAAAGTCTACATAAAATTTTCAACTGGGATTATAGTCTTTTTTGTAACACGATTATTCAGTTTTGTTTTCAAAAACCATTGAACTGGTATTAACAAAAGGGTTCAAATTTGGCATTGAACAGATTAAATTTATATCCACTTCACTAATTTTTGGTGATTAATGGGCAAGAAATCTTTACTATGGAAAATAAAAACATGTTTTGAAATAGCCACTTCTCAAACTAACTTGGTAAAGTAAATAGCCTGGATGCAGAGTGAGATCTAAAGCTGTTCTCGTCATTTACACAACTATATCTATTTTCATCGGAGTCGAAATCTAAATAAAGGTCGGTTCAGGTGACATGATTTTCTAACCAGGGGTCGTCATCTGGCTCCCAGCCCTCCAGCTCGATCAAGCAGAAGAAACAGCAGGCAACATCAGGCTCGTTCTCACTGGGGCAGTGTACAAAGCCAGCTTTAGCCATCTGTAGAGACAAACAAAACAGAAAAAGATTACTTTTAGACTACTGCAAACTAGAAATTAAGAGTTCATTTAAGGAATTTTATGAGCTGATAACTCAGTGGCTAAGATGACAAGTACAACTCAAGAACATAACTCCATGAATCCGTGAGGATTAGTTTGAGAGTGAGACCAGTGTTGGTTCATCTTTTGGATTGCAGGGGTTAAGAGCTCATAACATGGCATCACTAAGTGATGTGTCAGCAGCTCATTTATCACGACATGAGCAGAGTGGGCAAAGGGTTTGTGCATGGGTCACCTGATGCTATGAAACTGAATCTGGCACCTGCTTAGGCATACATCACAAAGCTGTCACATCCTTGAATTTAAAGCTGTGGTATAATTTAGCTGTGTAAACAAGGATCAGATATCCCTTTAATGTTTATCACCAGCCATTATCATACTAGGCTAATGATATCTCCTTAGTTTTCTTTATATATTGTCAGTTAAAGCAGGTGGACAGAGTTTTCATTTTCTGTTGATTTTGGCGGCCACTATGGACAAAAGCGGTAGTGTTTTAGCGCATATTGTCGTGCACTTCTCTGGCTTGTAGGGCTCCAGAAACTAACTTTTTTTTGTGAGCAGTTTGAGGCAACTTACTTTGTAAATGTATTTAAAATGGGAAGCGAGTCATGTGCTTGTGCTCATTAGACAGATTTGCTCAGGATGGCTACAGCAATTTACTGATATTAGAAAATGTAATTTTTAGTTGTGAATACTTCAGTACAACGGATGTATTGAATTATTTAAGCGATATGTGTACAGATTTGTACATATCAAGCCAAACAACGCTAAATTTGGCTGAATTAGAAAATGTATAAGTGGTAAAATAAAGAGCTGTTCAGGAGCCAAAAGAGCCGACTCTTCTTGGTGAGCTGTGCTTAATGGTCTGGCTCACTAAAAAGAGCCGCAATTCCCATCACTAATGCATTTTCAGAGCAAAATAAAGAGAAAAAACACGTGTCATCTCTGGTCTTAGAGCAGTAAATTGTTTTGTTCGTGGTCCCGACCTGACCACTGGCTTCTGTTTTCCCCGTTTTCACTATTTAGAAATAGCTTATGTTCACACAGATGGGCTCATTCACTGTTGCAGGTGACAGGGAGACATTGGCAGAAACAAGAGATTCTTTCAAATCTAGTTAAAAGTTCCCTACACAAAGTTTAAGCTGTTTTTAAATGCTGAGCACTTTTACAATCAAACTATCAAACACAATTTATAAGCATTTATATTTCCACAAGTGATCTAAAGGCCTCCAACAAAGGAGGAGAAACCGACTTACCTTTTCTGGGGTGCAGTTACATTCCTCTCTGAACGGCCAGTCTACAAAACTCTGTTCACGTAAATCTTGAATGTACATTTTATCAAATGAGTAAAACCTGCTTCTCAGTACATCTATGCTGGCCATTCTTTTGCTATCACCACGTGGTTGTTGGATGCTTGTCAACTTCCACAAGTGTTTTCAGTTTTGCCTGATTGGACAGTTTTAAAGTTTTAAGGTGGGTGGGGCCATTAAAGGTCACCTGACCTCCAGTAGAAACTTAAGTTTCTGATCAGATTTTTAGCTCTTCTATGAGTCTTATTAGCTTGGTTTTCTGCACTCATTGGTTTTTACCCTTTTCATATGCCTTGGTTTGTTGCATCTTTTGCACTTGGCCTGTTTCCTGGGTTAATGTCCTTTAGCTGAATGTATTCAATTGTGGAGAAATGTGAGTGTATACTTTATATAATGAAGGGATAGTTCGCATGTATTGTGCCTAAAATAGCACTAAAAAAATAGCAGTGAACAACTCTAAACACAGTTACAACAACACTGATGCTGGGGTCAGAATTTATTGAAGTTAAATCGCATGGTACAGACACAAGTATCTGCAGCAGTAGATAGCCTGACTTCTGAGCTGGTTCTCCACCTGACTCCAGAAATTAAGAAGCTGACCAGGATCTCACCACAGCAAAAAAATACATTTAAATCCAAGAAACATTAAGAGGGAAAAGTCTACCCTGAGGACTTTAACATGAGTCATCTATAATCCTATTAACTATTAACCATACTTTGAGAAAATTATTTTGCACGAAAAGGACTAAACTTTTTCGTCACTTTCACTAATGCGACCTCAAATTTGTATAAAGATCAAATTAACTCATGATGATATCCTGTGTTTTTATGGGCTAAGATTGTATCAAGTCATTCTATCAACACAAAGGTCTCACAAAGAGTGAAGTTTAGTCCACATTAAAACCTGACAAATAAGAGAACTCAACCCCCCCTGTTGGTCATTTAAGGGTGGTGTTGTGTTGATGAACTCTTCCAGTCTCTTCTCTGTTAAGCACACATGCATCAAACAGAAAAGGCCTAACGATCATGTGACAATTCTGTTTTGTCAATTGCTTTCTTGAAAAAAAAAAAAAAAAAAAAAAACACAAACACACACACACACACACACACACACAATGTTTAATTATTTTTTTTTAATTTATTAATGTGGCATCTAATTTAAGAAGATGTGTTTTATAGTGGAACATGTGATTTAATCTTGAATTTAAATGTCCTCTTTATTTCTTAAGAGGTGGCCTCATACCCAGAAATTCATCTGTTCAGTTTAATGGTTTGTGATGTAAACCTAGCCTGCGTGTTTATGACTGTGAGAGACAGGGACAGTCCTGGTGTGCGGCGAGTCTCTGTAACTCTACCCCTCAGGGCCTCTGGGTGCTGAAATGTGCTTACAACTGTAAACTGCTGTTCTTTTCCCCTCCTAACCTTATCTTCCTGCAGAGTGCTTAAGGGGCACTGAGACACAGCCTGCCTGCTTGGGATAACATGATTTTTATATTACAGGTATCGCTCTGTTATACTCGGTCATCCTTTGAGAAATTATTCAATTTTAAGGGCATTTTGTCAGCATTTTGTTCTTCAAAGAGTGTTTTAAATAGTACTCTTATTATTGAGCAGCTGACATGATGAATTGAACTCCTGCTGCACATTCATGTTACTGTAGGAGGCCTGTACTGTGGGTGGCTGCTTTGCTGCAGTCAGTGCAGAATAACACAGACCTCTGAATTTACACATGCATGTGCTACTTTTCCATACTTTTCAGTTGTTTTTCTTAACTTTTGCTGCTCTGTGGGTTCAAGTTTTAACAGTTTGCCCTCTTTCGTGCCTGAGTTTTGTGCCAAAGTTGGTGATGTTACAACAATGAAGGCTCTTTACTGTTTTTATGGAAGTATAATGAATACTTTTTTCTTTTCTTTATCTCTTCTTTCGGCTGATTCTTTCTCACAGAAAGCATTGAATGTGTTTTGGCTCTTAGAGTATTTGTGCCATGCCTTTAATGACATTTGATTCTTCACCCCTACTATTGCTGTCAAATCTGCCGTCTCCTTGTGATATAACTACACTCACTTATAACATCAGCTACAATTAGCTGAAGGAATCTCCTGCTTCTGCTTTGTTTTTACACAGAACTGAAAGTGACACAGAGAGAGGGAGGAGAGAGGATGTAAAGAGGTGGAGGGGAGGTGAGAGAGGCAGTGTTTGTGGTCTCTATTTCTACATGCCCTCTACAAAGCCATTGTGGACGTCAGGTTGAGTTGTTTGCATGGAATCTTTTCGAATGAATGAGAAAACTTGAAGATCTTTCCATTTTTTTTCTCTTCCGTCTGGCTGTTTTTATATTGGGAAGGATTTCACAGAGGAAAAAGTAGTTTCTCTTTGTGCCTGTTAAGTGTTGGAGACTCACTCAGAAAAAGCAGCAGGAGAACCAGAAGTGCAATCAATGTGGAGCACAGGTGAGAGAGCAGCTTTTTACCATCCACAGCGACTATGCCTGTCTGCTTCTACCTAAAATGATGCATCACTGTATCTGCACGGATCCCAGAATGCATGTTTTTCTTTGCACTAGTGTCTATTGGTATATAAGCTTTAAGTTTGTGAGTTGTTGTGTGGTAAATATGCCTTGTTGCACTCGAAAGAATTTACATTACTTTTATCGGATTATTTGTCAAAAGTTGTCTCTACACTACTGATGTTGGCACCAATTCTTCATCCCCTGCTCAAATATATCTGCGTTTCCTTAAAGCTGACAAATGTCCTGACAGCCCCACCTGTCTCCTGCTGCTTTCACACCCAGACTGAAGCCTGCACATTAGTGCATATATATGAGGTCAATGCAGGGCAGATGGATTTCTGTTTTGAGACTTTGTGAATTTACTATGCGCCATTTGTACCTTTATATCCAAACAAAATACTGTATAGATTATATGTTTGTCAAAAGGGTGTGTGAATGAGACTCTTCAACAGCAATGTATTGATCCTTGACCTCTGTTGAGATCTTCTGCCACATCACTCTCAGCTGAGGAATGTCTGAGCTTTAAAAATAGACTATGATTCAAGGCAGAGATAATTACTTTAAAACTCTTTCTTTGACGTCCGTAATAATGACTTGGGAAGTGTTACGTACAGTACTGAGTCGAGCAAGAACAGCAGAGCAGCAATTTTTACAGCAAAGGTTCAACAAATACGAGCTGGATACAGTAGAGGGATCAGAATGTGGTTGGAAAGAAAGACATCCTGTCCTCTGGTACTGGTGTAAAATGTCATGGAGGTGCGAGAGTGTTACAGTCAACATCTACATTCTCCATCTCTGTAGGCTGGTCAGGCACACCCACCTGTGTACACACCCATATCCATGGATCCTAAAAAATCCTGCAGTCTCTATTTATTTTTCCCTGGCTGAAGCTCTGTTGACTGACTTTTGAACAGGAAGCATGTTGAAGGATACACACGAAAGATCAGGGAAATTATACGTTCAATGCAAAGCTGAAAGTAAAGATTGTTTTCATAATTTACTGAGCTGAATAATCACCAAAACACTTAGAGACAATTTATTATGAAAAACTGTACGTCCATTAAGTTCAACCATTTCAAGAGTCTGGAAGTTTTGTGTTGCAGTGTGACTTAGAAATGATTCCTGTGAAAAAGTGTCTCGCTGGTTTTTAAGTTTAATGGAAATCACAGTTCTTTGTTTTCATAAGAAGAATAAGAGAATAAGAAGAACTTTATTGATCCCCGAAGGGAAGTTCAATTGTCTGTTGTCTCACGTAATACAACTATAAAAGTTATCTATTATTTACACAAGAAATGGGCAGTATTGGACAATATTCTGAATACCTTGAGACAAAAACAGGAATTTGTTCTCACTAGTTGAGTGGGTTTTATTGTATACAGGTGTATATTAATGTGCTGGCAATAAGGTGAAGAGGGTCTTTAAAATATTTATATCTATCAAAAGTGTAGTTCCTCAAGTGTCCACTTGAGACTGGCTACAAAAGCTAAGAAATCCCTATTAAGCCCCATATTAAAATGTTTAAAGCATAGAGAGAAAGACAGACAAGCTGTATTCCACAAAGGCTAAGAATTAAACACAAATTTGAATGTGATTAAGTTGTCAAACAAAATGCTTTAAAAGCCTTTCTCATCTCCGCTTTCCTGTCAGTTTGTGTTGAAAGAAACTCACATTGAGTCTGTACTCATGATATGATTTAGTCCATGACTTCTACTGTCTATGTATAAATCCAAGCAAAGAAGCAATCTTTTTACCTGAAAGACTGCAACCATGACCATTTTCTTGTATAACAGCTTGAAAAAATGATTCAAATAGATGCTGATAAATATTCCTTTGATCAGTTACAACCTGAATTAAAAGTATTGCACAGTTAAAAACAAGGCAAAGAAAGATTGAGCCTGTGACAAGACTTGAAGAAAAGTAAAACTGACAAGCAAGGATTCTTGTTGCAACAAGAAAAATAAGAGCCTAACAGGAATCTTGTCTTTGTTTACGGCAAGCAGTTATATAATACCATGGAGATTTCAGACATAGTTTACATTTTTGTATGAAACTGGTTCCCCATTCTGTTCGATTTTTAGCCAGCTATTCCTTTTCTTTTTCATGCATGTTTTTCAAATTAATCTTTTTTTTATTTAAACAAATAACTTAAGTGTGTATTTAAAGCACAGTCTATGCATTTAAACTGATAATGATCTCTAGTCCATCTCCTCTCGGTTTATTAATCCCTTAACCATGTCAGAGGGGGTTTTAAAACCTCCGAAAGCTTGAATATCACAAATAAAACAATTTAAAATGTATTTACATGAAATCAAAACACTTTTGTCTTCATTTATGACAGCCACTCCTCCATTAAAGAGGAATGTACTGTACAGCTGGCTACATTTCCTGCACATATCCACACCTGATCAATAGTCTAAATATAGTGAGATGATTATCCCTCACAGTTGCAAACTGATATGCTGAACTGTCAGACTTGCAGACTCGGGCCAGTTCAAGGAGAATGTAGAGGTCCCTCCATTCATCCTGAGCTGGCTTACTTATCATGCTCTATTTACTGTAACTCTCACGAAGCCATTAGATAGTGTGTACCATTACAAGGTGTCTCTCTTTTTAAGATTTTACAGTTTAATAAGCTGTGATTTGATATCTGCTGCTTTAGTAACTGCTTTTCCACATTATGAGCTGGTGTGCCTGCCTGCTCCCTCCACCTTTGACCTTCATGGACAGCCTCTAAATTCACCACCACACTGCCAGGAGACACCTCAATCATGATATATGACCGAGGTGTGAACCCTATATCAACAAAAATCTTTTTCTTTACACAATGCAAAACCCTGAAAGAAGACAACCCCCCATTCAACGCACACAAACTTACATCCCTGGAAAGTCACACAGTGCCTGCAGGCCCAGGCTCATGAAATATGACGGGAATTTATGATCAACAGGAGTTGGGTTTTGACGTTGCGTTTGAATGGTTGTGGGGAAAAGTGAGTTACAGCCTGTCTGGATTTCTGGGTTTTTCCCCTACAGAAAATAATAAGAAAGACAGAGTTGTATAAATGGAGGAAGGTGATGCTCTTTCCTTCAAGCTTGAGATATTTTTTGAATTTGACCAGCTGCACTTTGTCTAATTCATCATTCAGCGGATAAAAACAGATTCAGTAACGACACCTGCCTACAGCTGCTTTGATAAATTTGTAGTAAAGATGGTTCTCTGCGTGACAAAGATATATCTGACATGCCATGAATACTGTACCAGCTGTGCCTCATGTTTCGTCCCCTTATTTAACCCTGTGTGATACGGTTCTGGGAACATATTAGCCTCTCAGTTTACAAGGCGTTATGTTTCATCATGGAACTTTTCCAAGATGCTGTCTAGTACCAAGGTGACAAAAGCAGGAATACTCAGATACATTCCCAGTGTCTGTTTACCACAAATTGAATCTCTGTTGACAGGTGTACACCAGCAGAGGGCAGCAAAGATTTAAATCCAATCCCCAGCTAGAGTATTGAGTCCCCTCTCATATTCCCTTCATGCGAGTGACTGTTTAAATGTGTGGGCATGTAATTAATCACACTATGGGTCTACACCTCTAGAGAAAGCAGATCCCTGGAATATTAGGTATTTATTGTAATGTCTTTACAATGTTTTGTTTCCATAACCATTTCATTCATATATTTGTTGAAAAGACTTTATTTTTGTTACTCAATGTTTATTTCATGCACAAATATGCCAACGGAAAATGCTTGGAACCTTTTTCTGCCAAAGCTACTTTTGTCTTGAAATGTCTCGCAAAGTATGAGGCATAGAGTGGGTAAAATGTCAACACGGGCAATAAAAACAAGTGTGGGTATTTAAGAGTATCCTGATACCTTGATTTCCTTCACCTTCCCGGCATGTTACTAGGACCCTGACGTGCAGAACAAAGTAAAAGCAATTCTCCTTTGAACAGAACCCACGAATAGTTTTGCTATGAAATTCAGTTGGTGAACTTTGCTGTCACAGTTTGTCTTGTATTTTATTTTTGATGTATATTTATTATCATATAGATGTGGACTCAGACACTCAGGTGTATGTACAAACATGAATATTTTTAATTCTTTCTCTTATGTCCACTTTGCCTTTTATTTTTCTACCTAACTAATCAGAAACTCTTCCTTTCAATTAATGATTTGTTTTTGTGTTTGGCCATTAAGTATAAATGATTAAATATATATAATCCTTAGTTTGAAATTGTGTTATGCCAAGATAAAAAGGAAAAACACACTTGTGGGGCATCAACAGGTTTGTAACATGTTGTGAACTGGACTTGACTAAAAAGACCACTGCAGAGAGGCAGTGGAGCAAAAACAAGCAGCTGTGCAGTCATTAACTTTTTCAGAGAAGACCTTAAAAAAATACAGCAAGAAAAGACCAAATGATATTTTGCATGTGTTACGACAGCATGGCTCTGTGGTAGAAGAGTCCTGATGCCAAACTAGTCAGTCCACATTCCTTGTCACCAAGATTAAACACTCAGCATATAAAGATTTTAACAGCGTTCCTTCTTTTTTGGAGTTTTTCTAATACTTTCTTAATGTCCTCAAAAAAAGATATGAAACAATCAATTCATCGACCAACTCTGCTAAATTGAATAATGCAATTATAGCCACTCATTATTCATTTGAAGTGTCCCCCTTGTGACCACTTAACATGTGTCCCATGATTACCACCCATCCGTGGGTAATAGAGGTCAGCACATCATCTTCAGGATGATTGATCTGTAGCCAAGGGCAACCGAATGGACCTAATAACCTGATTGCCTCCCCAGTTTCCCCTGGTTCTTTCTCCTCCCTTCCTAAGATCCTTTACCTGCCCAGTTCTACCATCTGCCTTCCCCCTAACTAAGTCCCTGTCTCCTCCTCCTCTGTCCCATCCTGCCTTTAGGTTTTTACCTTTGGTTGATACAGGATCTCCACGCTCCGATTTCACCCTCTCATCATGACATCCATTAATGTGGCGCTGGGCCCTGGGCCCCCATTGGCCCAACAGCACATTAGCACTCGGCCCATTGAACGCCAACAAGGGCCAGCTCTGAATTATTGATACCAACACAACTAATGAGGGAACCCTATCTCAGCTCGTTTTTGCTGACACACACACACACACACACACACACACACACACACACACACACACACACACACACACACACACACAGAGAGAGAGAGAGAGAAAGACCTGAACGCAGAAAAGTATTGGTGATGACTTTTGTTCCAGCAGCTTTTTCAAAAACAAATATTCCTGGTGCTCTATATCCTCCAGACACAGCGCATTTGTGTGTGTGTGTGTGTGTGGGTGTGTGTGTGTGTGTATTTTATTCAAGGACCTGCAGGCTTAAACTCCTCTTCAAATCTGTCTCTTTGTCCTTAAAGCGTTTGTTCTACATCAGAAAGGTCACTGTTTCATTTGTATGAATACTTACTCTAACTGCACTTGCAGGTGTCAGATGTTGGTGTTGTTTGTTTCGGAGGGAATCTCCTGCACTTTTGTAAACAGTGACCATATGTCTCAAAGTAGCAGCAGCAGCAGCAGCTTCAAACCAGAGTGGATTTTTATCAAAACTAACAATCTGTTTGTGTGGGAAGTGGTGGCCCCTCATTCTGCCAATGTTTACATACAAAGGGCTTAAATGTGTGCAGTGAAGCTGCTGTGCAGGGAGGTATTGGAGGTGTCAGCCACCCTCCTTAGTATTCACTCCAACACCCTGTGACTCACAGCCTCAGCCTGAGAGCGTGAGAAGGGTGGGGGTGTGGAGAAAGAGAGGAGGACAAGACGAGGCACTATGAACATCAGGCAGCATTTTCTGTAGCCCTAGGCTCACGTGTTTGTATCTGTGTGTTTGCAAGCATGCCCGCCCAAGGGGATTAATTTTTTGACAGCTTAGTTAAGCTGTCTCTTAGGCACTGAGCTTCTCAATAACACTGTCACTGGGTGGTTTTCAAAAGTCTCTTTTTAGCTATCCAGGAAGAAAGGGAGAAAGAGCGAGTGCGGGGCTGGGACGTGACACCAGACGTTTGTTTGAGTGGCTTCTTGGTGTAAAGGAAGTGGACCGTAAGAAGCAGGCTGTGAAGCTCCTCTTCAATTAGTTGCAGCATTGCTTTGGTCCACAGTTTGAATTCTCTGCAGCCCCTCTCCTGTGTCCAACTCTGTCTGTGTCTGTCTCTGTATTCTATCCTCCCGGTCGTCTCATCTTGTCACTCCACATCTCTTCATCCCTCTGTCAGTTTGTATTTGGTTTAATCTCTGCCCCTCCTTCTTCTGCTTCCTCCGCTCTGTCGCTTTCCATTTCATCTCTCCTTTTTTGCTTGCCAGCCCCACGCCCCCATAACTCCCAGTCCAAATTCCAAACACACAGTTGACAAAATGTGTAACCTTGCCCGGGCAGGTTAAGAGATAGAGGAGAGAAAAAAATGGGGAGAAGGACAGCAGAACAGATGAAAGGTTAATCCTTTAACAAGTCCACGTACACATGGAGCCAAAGGACAGGGAGACAGAGGAGACGAGAGGAGGCAGTGTAAGGGGTGGAGGGGAGTAAACAAACAGATCTGACCATGAAGCCCTGCCTTAGGGGGGAAGACAGGTGAGAAGAATATGGACACCGAAAGAGAGAAACAGTAGTTTGGAGGGGAGAGATGGCATTTTCAGTCAAGCTCTGTCTCTCCTTCATGACTTCCACTCTGCATGATGACAGGCGTCTGCAGCTGTTCCTATTGGCTGAGGCTGCCACCAATCAGAGTGGAGGCATGTAAGGTGCCTTTAGGTTATACCCAACCCCAAAAACAAGAAGCAGAGAGAGGGAGAGAGAACCAGGGAGGGAGAGAAAGAGGGAATGTGTGTTTTTTCAGAGACAGAGACAGAGAGCAAAGCAGGTACAGACTTTACACTGAAGATTTCTGAAGCTGCCTCTGATATTATCCTGTTTTGAAGAAACTGCTTGTCAGCTGTTTGTTGGAGACCTCTGCAATTCCTCCTGACTGCTGTGGAGAAGAAGAGCTTGCTTCTGTAGCCTCCCCTTGTGATTGGCTGTCACACTTTAGGCTCCCCCTCCTCTCTCTCTCTCTTTTTCTCTCTCTCTCTCCCTCTGACTCCCCTCTTCTCTCTCTCTCTTCTCTGTGGTACAAACCCCCCTCCATACTGTCCTCAGGCTTACCTGAGCCACAACTGCAGAGACGCTGGACCCCCCTCCTCCTCTGTCTTCTCTTCTGCACACACACACACACATACACACCACAACACGCCGTCTCTCCCCTCTCTCTCTCACACACACACACACTCAGCTTTTCACCTGGAGAGGGCAGGCGCAAGAGACGGCATGTGGAGCAGCAGCAGCAGCAGCAGCAGCAGTAGTGTGTCCTCACATCCAGCGCTGCCTCTCTGAGTTGTCTCTTTCTGGAGAGTGGAGAGGAACTCTGAAAAGACATTTTGGAGCCATTGTTCCCTTATCGAAAGCAGGAGAGACGGGGGCAGCAATCCAGGGACACCAAAGGCAACACTCAGCATGATTCTGGGTGAGTTGTGGCTTTTTTTTTTTTTTTTTTTTAATGCATGGGATTTTGAAGAGGTCAGTCATGTTGTTGGATCAGTAATCCCTACTTAAAGTTGGCCGCCAGCAGCTCTTTATTAACAGTGTGATCTGCCTGGTGTCCTCTGCACATAGACAGACATCTGTCCATGCTAAATGGCGGGATGGACCTTTAAATTATTCTTAGTGCTTGTAATTCTGTTAATAGTGTGTTGTTAATGTGCCAGGTGTGAGTGATGACAAGGAAGGTCAAAGTGTTTTCATTATGGCCTGTTTGGTCACATGACCAGGCTCCACTGTTGTCATGTAAAAGGAAGAGGTGAAAGTCAGGGATGGTTCCTGATATCAGACTCACATTTTATTTATTGGTATGATAATATCTCATGTATTTATCTTTTTTTTTCTTTATCGGATTAGTGCATTTTTTTCACCCATCTCTCTCTATCACACCTGTCCCTCTAACCTCATTAACCCTTGACGTGCCAACAGGTCATTACACAAAAAAAACCCATCAAAGATTCAGGCCTGACTTTGCAGCACAGTGCAGCTTTAAGTTATTATACAGGCTTGCTCTGTTCTGAGTCAGCCAGCGTTTTCTTCTTTAGTATTCTGCTCTCATAGTGGCCGTGTCTGAGAGAGGGGATTCTGTGTAGTCTCTGTGCTCCACAGCTACACTCATGCAGAGGATGGCAGCTTGCTACTGTAAGTCCTGTAATACCACTGATCTTTGATGTGTTATGAGAAGAGGACAAACTTGTGAGTGTAAGTTTGCCTGTGAAAGTGGTCCAGAGTTGTCTAATTTGTGGATGGTTGTGTCCGAGTGAGGTCATTGTGTGTGCATTTGTTCTAGCTTTGTGTAGATGTACTATGTGTATATGTGTTGCTATGTTCTCTATCGGAGAGGCCACTTTGTTTTAACGCATGCCTGGGCTGATTCAGGCGCAGCTCTGCTCCTCTGCCCACCCGGCAGGCATGTTTTTCAGGCAGACATCTCTAATGATTATAGGGAGTCATGTAGTCTGAGGTGTGCGGGTTTTTGAAGTTTGCACATTGAGGAGTCTGCATTCCTGTGAGCTTCAGGCTCTGAGCAAGTCGGAGAAATTCATGTTGTCTCAGAGAATGAATGTAATAAGGGTAACTTTTTCACTAACTCAAGTTCTTTCTTGTTTGTTTTACTTGCAGGTTTTTTTCCTTTTTGAGTCTGTTTTTTTTTGCCTGGGCTTCTTTCTGGGTTGTACCACTGGACAAATATGAACCTTTCCCTGATGTTAGCCCCATTTAACAGTTAGACAAGCACCGTCTTGACCAGGGTGCAGGTGGTAGCAGCTCCCTGTTGTAAATGATATTTGGCTGGGATGTGTTAGCGGCAGCTTTAACCCTCAACTACAGCTGTCTGCTGCAAAATAACACAACTCATTCATCAGTGCAATGGTTTTAGCTCAGGGTAGTTATTATAGCGTGTGTATTTTCAGTTTGGCACAGTTTAAGTGCAATAAAACATGGAATGCGACCTCTGTTGTGCAGAAGTATGAATTTTGCTTTTGCAGACACGCCGAACGCGTCACTTTTGATGAAGATTTTTTATGGAGGATGAGTGATATTTAGTCAAAGATGGTTTACTGGGCCTTTACAGATACCAAAACTGTTTGTTCACATCCCATCTAATCACTCAGATACATATCTGTAATAATTTCTGGGTTATTCCAGTGCCTAAAATTCTGCTTCATTTGCGTGATGATGTGACTGCTGAGTGATTTGACATTTCTGGCTTCCCTCCTCTGAAAAGGGTAATGTCATTGTAATGACCTTTACAATCCTGATGCATGCTGATGTGGACCTCCAATCAGCAAAAACCCTGATTCAGCTTCAAGATACAAATCTGCAAGGCTGGGATAACATCTCTGACAAATGACGATTTACAGTGTATGTAATGTTTAAATTTTATTTTAAAATCTGTTTGTGATATGTGTTCAGTGTGAGCATAAGTGCTAAAACCACATGCAGTACCAGCTGTGTGTGTAGCTACTGTATTCGCTTTTTTTTCTCTTATCCTTTGTATGACCTTGAGCAACCAACCCCCTACCCGCAAGTTATGCTTTGTCCTCAACGATGTGTTCACAAGTCCATGATAAGTATCGTCGCAGGCAGTCCGGGGCCTTGGCAGAGGTCTTTTGGCCGCTGTGATAGCGATGACAGTCCTGATACTGATAATGGCAATGGACGTGTGCTTGTGCCGTATACAAAGCTGCAGCCAGCCAGCTTAGCTCCCTGCCTGTCATGGGCTCTGCACCAAGTTAGGGGTAGGCATGGGGCTACTGCTGCTGCTGATGATGATGTGTATGGGTGTTATTTTTTAAAGTGTGCGTGTATTAACTTGGCAGAGGACGGAGCGAGGCTGTGCGAGAACAATGGCGGGCTACTAGAGAACATGATCACTGAGCTTCTCCATGACTGTGGCGTCATTGTAATCAGCCGCCATGTTGTCTTAAAAAAAAAAACCCTGCACTTTCAGCATCCTGATGCCCAGAGAGAGCTTAGAGTGTGGAATTGGCTTTTAGATGGTAAATAGTTACCACTTTGGCTCAATGTCACTCAAAATCCCATCCAATTTCAATGACATAAGATGATAAATGAGCTTTATGATAAAAAAGAAAGTCCTGAAACAATGTAGAAAAAGACCAAAATGATAATAAGAAAAATGCCTCATGTCTCAAAAGGAAAGGTTTAAAGACAGTAACTCTCATGCTGAGCTGAAGGTCAAAAAAGAGACTGAGTGGGGGACAGCTGAACATGAGGAAGCAGAGCGTTCAAGAGCTTAGGAGCTGCATCCAAAGACTGCAAACAACATGGACTTCAGCACAATGGAGGTCATTCAATGATTTCTAAAAAGGTGTTGTGGAGCTAAAAAAAATGGTTGCCATATTGGAAATACTAAATCAAACTCAATTCTGCTACTGCTCCAGAAGCTAGCCAAGAGGATTTAGCCGTCTTTAAATGATCAACACAGAAGAGCTATTAAAGAAAATACAGCTTTAAATGATCAACACAGGCTGTAAATATACTGTATTTATTTCAGCTGTGAAATGGCTCTGTCTTATGTGGGCTCTAATGGGGATTCCTGGGCTTTTACAGCCAGTCTAAAGTGGACACTTGAGGAACTGCAGTTTTCTTTTCTCCCTGCACTGGCTTCATTTTTAATACCGAAGGCTGCCTCATGCCAAAGCCTGAGAAGACTCACACAAAATGCTGCATAATGGCTGTTTAATAGGTCTTCCTGGGACACTCCAATTGTAAACTGCATCCTTAAGTTTTTTGGACAGTCTCAGTCACAATTGGTTTCTGTTCGCATGTTGTGTTACTTCTCATCTGTCCTGTCTGTGTGAGTCAGATCTGACCTCCGGAGCTCAGGGCTAGGCGGTCTATCTGTCTCTTTGTCTTTGTGTTTGTACGCCCACACCGACCTCATCTGTCTTCATAAAGTCTGTTTCTCTGTTGACCTGTCTGCATAGCTATTGCTCATTCATCTCAGCTAGCCAACCCCTCCCCCTATTTTCTCCGACATGCTCACCTGATGCATCAGGTCAACTTTAAAACTCACACTGGACACATGTCTTTACGCTGATCAGCATTTTTTTTCCTCCTGTCATTTTCTCCATGACCGCTCTGCTCACTTTGTTTATGTCAAAGTGACAGCAATCATAAGTCCTTAATGAGCTCGATATTTGGTATGCATTGCACAGCGTTTCTTTCCCTTAGGCTTCTTAGCAATACCCAAGATATGACTTGGAATGCGTCAGCGCAGCTACAACTCTGCAGTGAAACATGCTGAACAATCTTTGCATGCCTAATTCTTAATACTTTGGCAACACTTAGATGAAAATTCTCAAAACACGCTAAGTATCTCTCCACCTGGTCGGGCAAGGTTGCACTTTTTAGCTGAAGGACTGTTCACTTTGTTTTACCAAGTTTACCTTGAAGATAATTTCCCACTTAATTTACACTTATAGTATGCTATGGTAAATTGACCAAGATTACAATGATTTCCATCAGAGGTGAGACCGTGTTGAGTTCTGGCTCGGTGGATGGGCAGAGGAAGCAGAAGTGTCAACAGTCTTTCTCATCTCTCCTCTTCTTCTAAATTTAACTCACTCCTTATTTGCGAAGAGATACTCCTCAGTCAAAAAGCTACTATAACAGGTCTCTCTCCTCCTTCCCCTTTCCTCCTTTCCTCTTCTCTATAGCTCCATTTGTTTATGCTAGAGTGACTGTGTGTCAGCAGGCTGTCAATACTGTCTGTAAGAGACTCTAATGAATAGGCCTGTTATTGGACTGGTGGGAAGGCGACCCATTGTGTCTGTGAGTGCATCTGTGAGTGTGTGTGTGTGTGTGAAGCCCAGGAGTGTGTGTAGCACTGCAGAGGGTGCAGAGGGAGGTGGAGGTGTCACTGCTTCATTGGCCTCACTGCAGTGCCCTCTGTCAAAGAGTGTTCACCAAAAGAAAAGGCCAGAAGCCCGCATGATCAGAGTAATGAGGTCTTTCCTCACAGCGCTCAGTCTAAATGTAAACATGAAGCTCTTTCCCACAACATACATAAACCTGGATTAAATGTACACTTTAAAGTGACGCACACTGGCACCAGCAGTCACCCACAGCTTTCTGCGGCTGACCGATGAAGCACAAAAATGCACCTGTGCGTGATTATGGTGTCACATTAGTGCATTCAGTAAGGAAGCCCAGCTGACTGCTTACTGGGAATCCTGGGGCTACAAGACACCTGGGAGTTAAAGCTGGAAAATGTTCTGTATGCTTCAACAGTCACTCTGATCACAAAGTGGAAAGAGGAACAGATGATTCTTCACACTGCAGCTCTCCAGTGTTTGCTAGGAGGAAATGTTGCCTTTAACATATTTCACATTTAATGAAGTCTCAGTTTTCTTTTAGTTAGTTATTTTTTTTCTTCTTCTTGAAAAGATACACATCATTCATTTTCTGTGTGAATTATTTGTATATTCATTCTACTATTATTCATTCTAATGGGGAACATTTTTTACCAGTATTACAAGGAGTGAAACAAGTACAACAAAATTATAAATATATATACAGTATATATATATATATATATATATATATATATATATATATATATATATATATATATATATATATATATATATAAAACATTCTAGAAAAATGTACAGTGCATAATACTGGTCAAAAGAAATACTTAAAATAAAATGACAACTCAAAAACAAATGTATACAACATTTTGGCTAAGTTAAAGCTCCTATAAGATTTTTTTTAAGAAATGCATTAAAACTCATATTTATGTTTTTTTTTATGCAATTCAAAAGCAAGCAAAACCATCTTGGACAAGACTGATGATTTTAAGATTGTGATTTATAACGCCTGAAATCTGTGTGTGAGGGTAGGTGTCAGTCAAGTAGCTAAAGAAACATTTCAGCTCTTATAACTGTTCACTGATTTAATACACACACTTGACTGTCAAAAATCAGCCGCATTAGATCTTTCAACAAAGGTCACTACTCAAGTATGTAGAAGACAAGATAAGCAAAGACTGCTTTGACCACAAGGGGCGCCAAAGTTAATATAAACCAAAAGAACATCACAGGAGCTTTAAGTATGCTCTTTAAAATGAATAAACACCAATGATATATTGATATTGGTTCATACTTTTTTAGTTTGAACTATGAGAACTGAAAAAGCTGAACTATATTACTTGCATACAGAATACCTGCACCACATGGCACAAGTACGTACTTTTGGTTACACAGGTGTTAATGTGCTAGGGTTCTGATAGCAGTTAAGGTTACCTATGTAAAGAGGCTATAGTCATCATAATAATGGTCAATGGTCAGACCCCTGACCTCAACCCTTTTCTGCATGTCTTCTCTCACTCTTTACTCCCCACATTTCCTGTCTCTCTTCAGCTGTCCTGTTTATTAATTCAATCTGATAAAGGCAAATATGCCTTTATTTAAAATATATATATTTACTCTCTATAACAAAACTCAATTTTTTTAAAGCTGCAGTTATGGGTGCATTAGCTGTATTCTATGACCGAAACAGAAAACTTAAAACCAAAAATGTTTTTCTCTCATTTTGAGGTAAACAATATCATTAAACTTAATAAAGGCTACACTGACCAAACCTTTGAATCGTAGTCATGATGTTAAAACAAAAAGACATATTTGAGTCTTGAAACCATGTGTTCATGACAATAAGTTTTAGGAAACATAAAAAAAAATTGCCTGCACTGGCAGCCATTTTACTGTGCTGACCCACAAACAGGTTCAGGATTTTTCATGAAATACATTTTAAAAAAGGGGGTTTGTCTTGCGTTTCGGGTTTGGTAATTATATGTCAAAATCTGTCACAACAGACAGAGCCACTTATCTGTAAAGTGAGTGTACCCCTCCTGACTGAGTGCAGCAGTGACTCACCGTGCGGTGCGGGGGAATGAAAGATGGAGTGACACGGTGAACTAAAGTTACACAAAAGTGGGACAAGCCAAGTGACAAGTGAGGCAGAGTTATGAAACCTTTCTCAAGAATATGGTTATCAAAGCAGTAGGATAACCAAACAATCGTCAAACAGCCGAGGAATGTGGTGTTACAGAGTTTAGTGCTCAAAGATAGTGAGCCTGGAAAGTGAGAAAGTCACAGAATTCCTGAATGACATTAAATCCATTATCAGACCTGTCATCCATTTGATAATCATGATATGATATGATTATCAAATTACTGATGCCTTAACTGATCCATCATCATTTACATGCACACCTGATCATATTTTCTTTTGTTTAAGTGTGATCATTTTAATTTTAAAAGAATTTTAGAGTACATTTTTTATCATTTTTGTAAATTCAAACTATTTTCTCCACAAAAGAACAAGATTTAATCTTTATAAAGTATATATATATATATATATATATATATATATATATATATATATATATTATTTATTTTTTTTAACGCATTTATTTCTGAAAACTAATCTTGAGAATGGGGTGTCATCTAAGAACGAGGGTTGTCCTGAATTGTGACTGATATATTGACTCAATATTTGATGAAGTCCTTTTTTTCCCCTTTTAATATCTTGAGAAAGAAAAGTACATCTGAAGACATCAGGTCACTGTGACTTATCTTCAGTGTAGTGAGATATTCTGACCAGTAATGGGACCTTATTTGAGATTTCACTGAGTGCTGATTTTGCCTACAGAAACAAGTAAAACTGAGAAATTCTCAAATACTGAGTCAAAAACAGACCAAAGCCTGAAAGCTTATGAATAATATTCATAAAAGTCATAAACTGATTTAATATAAAGACATAAAAAGGAATCTAGCTCTAAAGCACCGATGTGTAGCCACATTTTAAAAGTTTCATATTGTCATTTTTTACTGTTGTGTATTCCTTTTATTACACCCACTGATCTGCAGCTGCAGAACTTGACAGTGTACGCAATAACAACACTGCATATTAGGTTTGTTTAGATACAAGAGATGAATGTTCAGCCAGTGCCGAATCCAGCCCTGTGTTTTCTTTCAACCAACCACACTCATCAAATGAAAAAAGTCAAACTGTTTTATTGATCGACTGACGGGAGAACTCAGTCACAGCACTGACAGTCGCATGAATAATAATTTTCCCCAAGCAGCAGCCTGGTATAAAAAGGTTGAGCAAAGCTAACGTTTGGCGGCGATGGATGTTGCATTAATCATGCCTGCTCTATTTCCGTGTGCTCACAAGAGAAGAGGTTTAGAGGAGGAGGAGGAGGGGGAGAGAGGGAGACAGAGAAAGAGGCAGACAGATAAAAATGGAGTGAAAAAGTGTCCTCATGAAAGAGAATTAGCTTCATCCAGCTCCTGGGGAAAGGGAAAAAGGAAATTCCTCTGAGTGCAGTTGAGATAGGGTTTCACACAAAGACCAAAAGGGAAATCAATTCTCCTTGAGATGCAGCAAGGTCAGTTCACAGGGGCATGGCTAGAGAGGAGAAAGCCAAACGGGAGGAGGAGGTGGAGGTGGAGGAGGAGGAAGTTGATGAGGCAACCAAAGAACGGGGGAGTGGGATTGAACGAATGGTGTAGGAGGAGAAAGACTTAAGGGAGCAGTGAATGGATAAAGGCAGGGAGGAAATGAACACAGCTAGATGAGCCAGAGACTGGATCTGGGTTGGGGTGACGATTTTTGAGTTAAAACTTGCCTTCGGGGGGAAAAGCGATGCTTCCTCCCCACAGGAAGCATTGAGCTGCGTTCTCTGTATCATCTGACTCATGCAGGGAGGAAACGTTAGCTGTACATCTGGCACACTTCTCCCAATCTGAGTGAACTTTACTGATTGCCACAAGGACATCTCCCGTCTCTGTGACCTCATCCATCTAAAGAGCTTTCTCTTTACAACCACAGGGTTAGCCAGGGACGCAGACTGAATGAATAGTACTAGCTGTGGCTTCCAAGAAGCCCTGAGCTAGCTTTTAATCCTTAATGTTACATGAACGGCTCAAAATAGCCTAAATCTCCACCCCTTCTGCCTTTCCCCTGCTAACTGACTCTTCTCCAATGTGTTGTAATGGTGTGCATAAACACTGACTGAACACGGAGAGGCTGAGTAATAAAAAAGTGGTGATATGTTGAGCTCAAACTTGCCTTTTGTGGCGCCTTGCCCATGGACAGAAACTGTAGCTACACCTAGCATAAGGCCGCTTTGGTTGAGGTTTTAGTGTGATGTCGGAGGAAGCATGGAAAAGCCTCACTAGCAGGTAGTTAGGGGATCCGCGTGGTGCAGGGCTTAGTGCAAGCGTCTGGTATGCACACCTGTCTCTACACAAGTTCTTCCCTGAGAATGCAGCTCTGCCCCTTAGAGACAGAGAGAGAGGGAGCGAGAGAAGGAAAGAGGGAGAGAGAGGGAGGGAGGAGAAGGGGCTCTGCCAGGACCTGCACCACTTCTCCCTGCCCCTGCCTGAGGGGGGAGCCAAGTGGGGGAGGAGGAGGGAGGATAAGGAAGGTGAGGTGCCAGAGGTGTGGATTAGAAGGCTGAAAGGGACACATGGGGAATGTGGTATCTGAGGTCATCCATTTACAGTTTGTTAGCGGGCGGATCATTTGCTGCGTTCAGGGCTCTTGTTTTTATTAAATTAATCCAGTGGAAAGATTTCTGTGCTTGTGGTATACAAGGATCAATGAGCAGAGCCTGAGAGGAAGAGCAGGGGTGAAGGAGCCTGCACTTTTTTCTTGTCATTGTTATTTTTATCCATTTTGAAGAGTTTTGATCAAAGCATTATATATTTTTCCCAATAACACTTAATACGAGGAGGCGCACTCAAGCATATACTTTGCAAATCAAGGGACTTTGACCTGATACAACACTAAACCAGGAAGGAAAAATACAAGAAAAACAAAGTAATTCAACAAAAAAAAAACAATAATACAAAGACAAAGATGTTTTTGACCACTTTAAAATAAAAAAAGAAGTTAAAAAACACAAACTATTACATGCAAATGTTAAAATACACTAGAACCCTCCCTGGCTCTGCATTCACTCTGCCACGCAGACACAAAGCATTTTCATTAATTCATTTTACGGTCTTATTAAATTGATCGCAACACAGTGAACAAAACAAAAATAACCAAATAACCGCACAATAAGACTTTAAATAGAAAAATAACACCTTCCTGGATTTGATGTCACACAGGACACAATTACTTTAGAGGTTTTGTAAGTGACTTAGAGTGCATAAGCAGTGTGAGCTCTCTTAGTTAACTTCATTTCCACCTCTATCTTTGTCTCTCAGTTTGTCATCTGGTGCAGAACCCAAAATACTTTTGTGGTGCCTCTCAGATTTTTGGTGACATGCAGCTTTGATTTCACTCATCCTCTGTTTTTCTTGGAAAGCATCACCGTATCAATGAACTGAGGTCAAGAGTGCATGTAGTGGTCAGGTTACGCTTAGAGTGCTTTCTGCTGGATCAAATGGCATACTAGTGATGTGCTGAATATTTATAATAAATTTGATTGGCTTATAATGATATAGTGTAATGATATTTAATATATGAAGAGGGCTTTCCCCCCCTTAAGTTTGAATTTGGACTGGAATTTTTATATAAAAAGCAACAACCCCATACAAGCATCCTATAGTCACAAATGATACTTTAAAATAGTCGGAAACATTGTAAGGCAATACATAATAAGTTTAACTTTCTCCTCTTTCTTAGCCATGTATTGTCTGCTGCGAAGCATACGTAATGTATGTGAGAGCTCAAAGATAAATCTTATAATATATCACAAGATGTGTTTTGAGTTTATGTCGAATGGTGGTGCTCATAGCCCATCACATGGACAGTGCGAATAAGCTGCTCTGTCCCCAAGTATCTATTACAAAATCCAGCATAAGAACCATAACTGCTGCAAACAGCTGTATGGTCTGCTGTTACCTCCAGAGAAAGTTGACCTTGCTTACTTATTACTTCTATAGCTATAAACCCTACAGCAGGTCTCATAAATATTCCTTTTCCCCTCAAGGAATATCAAGCTATCTTTTTTTTTTTAACAAGGTAAATGTTTCAAAGATGCTGATTGCACAAATCTGCTCTTGGTTCTTGTGCCTTTGTCACTTTCCACTGTCAGTTAGAGTTTTTGATAAAGCCAAAATTGATGACAAAATGAAATGTTTTGAAATGTTTTGTTTGTGGGGCCTATATATGTAGAGAAGTTGAACTGCAATAGAGGTGATTTGCAGACCATGGCAGTGGCTTTGAATTTTAAGTACCTGAATCCAGAGAGGTAAAATCCATGCTAAGCATTTCTTTGTCTGCTGCTGTAGCTTATTTTGCCATGCTGTCGCAGTCCTTTTCATGGAAAACATGTATGGAGAAATCCCTGCATGTAGCTCAGACTGAAGCTCAAACAGTGGCTGTTGTTGTGGTTCAAGAGAGCACTGATGAGATGTAATAAACGGAGGGCTAGAGAGGGAGGATGGAAAAAAAGCATTTCCATAAAATTAGCATAGTCAGTGCAGGGATAACCGCATAAACATACGCAACTTCACATTGCATTCTTCACATCTGAATAATGTCAGTTAATGTTTGGGCTTGTATTAGGATTGCTTATAAATGTTACATCAGGGGTGTAACAGCATGTCTGAGAACAGCACATACAGGTTTTATAAGCTTGCCTCCATCCTAAATGTTCTTCTTTACGCTATTATGGCTCGTGTAAATGTGAGAGCTTGTATTTACAGTAGGACCAGGGTTTTCTCTTCTTGCCGGACCAATAATCGCCCTGCAGCCAGTGCCACAAATCTTCATTAGAGGATTAGCTGATAGGGAGACAGCTTGTGTTCTTTTGCTTTTATTGTTGGACCTGCATCCACTGTTTCCAGCCTGCGGATCGTTCTGTCTTGTCTCCTTTGCTTAAACTTGTGAACGTTGCCGCAGCTCAGTATCACACACTCACAAACACATTTAGACCACACACACACTTTTTTGTTTTTTTTTAGATTTGTTTTGTCTCAGTCTTCTGTCTCCTAATTCTATCTCTTTTTATCAGTCTTTCTCCCACATATGCTGAAACCCGCATGTTCATAATGCTCACACGTCCTGTCACTTAGTCCCCTTGAGGTACATCAGCTGCCCACTGGGCATCCAAACTCAAGACAGAACAAATTAAGGTCACAGTGGGGAGAGCCGAGCCAGTAAAGGACAACACATTCTGCCAACTGTGTTTGTGTGTGTGTGTGTGTGTGTGTGTGTGTGTGTGTGTGTGCTTAGGTTTTTTTGTCTCGTCCGACCTCTAATCGGTGGCAAGGCTCCAGAGAGAGCCGCTGTCCAATGGCTCCTGTTCTACTCAAAGGAAAACTGACCCTCATTGCAGCATTTTTGCAAGATAAAAGGTACCATCACGTCCCTTTGAATCCAGACTAGAAAACAGGGTGATGAATGCTCCTTTGAAGGCGCTTTGATAACACCTGGGGAAGGCTACGGGACTCGATTCCCTCTTGTGCCTGCTGGGAGTTTTGTGACTCATCTGTGGCTGTTATTAGCCCATCCATGCTGTTCTGGTACCTAAGGGCTCCTGTTACCACTCTTTGGTTAGCAGCAGCCTTAGATATTTAGTCAGAGCTAGACTGACATCTCTGTCAAAAGACTAGGAATTGATGTAGATGGATCAAAACTTTGACTCTATGGGCTTCACATCTGCCAAATCTCAGAGGATACCATAGCAGTATCAAATAACACTATTCATATACATTCACACTCACCACTATGTCTAGTTTGGGGTTTAGTGTCATGCAGGGGGAGTCATGGAGTCGAGTGTAGTTAAGTCTGAGACTTTTCCGGGTCAGCTCGAGTGTTTTTTACGCGCTTCTAACTCTGTAAGTCCATGCGACACAAACTGAAAACTTCCATACAAAACCCCAGACATCCAGACATTTAAAGGATTTTATAAACTCCCTCGGACAAAGCCAGACAGCCCCCACAAAAAAGAGGAAATGCCTGAGTAAAAGAGGACATATCATCACCCTAATTATTGACAATAACTGTCTTTTTAGAAATTGAAATATTGATATAGCGATACAAATATGAAAACGTTGAGATCATAGTGATTCTTTACACCGGTTGCCACATGTTGTAAATGTGTGAGGGATGAAAAAGAAGTTAGCAGCTCACTCGCTGGCCTCTAGTTAGTCAAATATTCTCTTAGAGATAATCAGACATTTAAAAAAAACTGAAATTCAAATCCAAAACAAAAACAAAGTCAGAGTGTGTGTCCCTTCGGCTCACGATTCAATTCAACATTCATATTGTGTTTCTTTAATTGTTTTTTTATTCAGATCCAAAATTTCTGGGGAGGCTAATACTTCAAAATAAAAGATTAATTGTACCATGTGGGGAATGAAGCAACCCAAAATACAAACAAAACAAAAGCATGACAAACAATCATTTTACGGGGGATTGTCTTTCCCAAACAAGTTTCAGCCATAAAATCGCAAAATAATCACACAATTTGAACATTATTATTCTTAGGATTTGAAAAATGATGTCAAATGATGTCAACTTCATTTATAGTTTCATAGTATTCCTCTTTATAACTCAAAAATGATCTGTGCATTCTGCCTTCATGGTTACTAGTAGAGTGATACACTGTAGTTTACCGTATAGTGAATCGATGAATCACTTTAGTCATGATGGACAACAAACATGTTCGAGACTCACAGCAGAGGGTGTCTCCATGTTCTTGCTTTTGTTTGAGGTTAGAGTTGACACAGAGACAAGCTGTCTGACTAACACCCACTCCCACACTCCACACTGAGTTGTTGTTCTGAATGAGTTTTGTTGTTTTTTATCTGGAGAAGATATTCTTGCAGTTAATAGAAGTAGCTGTGACTTTCACATCATCTTAAATCCTGCCACTCTTTTTTTTTTTTTTTTTGCTTCTGCACTGTACCTTTCAGTTCCTTACTAGTAGCAATGTTAATAATTCTTCAGTCCCAGTGGGGTCCACAAGAGGCAAAAGGGCTCTTTCCTGCCAGCCAGGGCCTTATACCTCCCCCTCAAGGGCAATATCGTATTCAGCCTGACTGTGCGCCTGTGTAATCCATCGCTGCAGGGAGGGTGACCTTCACAGCAGGCAGCCCCACAGCAGGCTGCGACATGGGCACTCAGGGAGGAGGACAGGCTGGGCAAAAAAAAAAGGGGGTGCTGGGGGCAGGACAAAGTGGTTCTTATAGATGATTAGCCTTTCATATTACACTCTCTGTGGTTGTCCTCTCTCTGATGCTGCAGCAACGACGCATATTAAAGTGGAGCGTCTAAGAGTCTGTTTAAATCCCAAGAGAGAAAGAAAGATAACATACACTCATTTAATATCTCTGAACTGTTGTAGATTCATTTTTTATACATTTTTTAATTTACAAGCTAAGATTTTTTTGTCCTTTAAAAAGTCTTCTACATTTGTCATTATGTTTGCTTCATGATTCCTAAAGGAGAAGAGCTTGACCTTGAGCCACTCTTCCTGACAAACCAGCTTCCAGCAGCTTTTGCTCTCCATCTCAGAAAGAAAATTCCCTTCATCATGTTGCATTAGCGGTGTATTCAGTGCACCCTGCAGTCTGGGTAAAGGTGAAGCCAGAGCCAGAAAAAGTTATTGACAGTTATGTGAGGAGATGACGCGGCCAAATAAGTCCCCCGCTCATGAATGATGCATGTCCCCCACCGGCCCCTGATGGAGAAAGCGAGCGAAGCTGGATGACAGCTGGGGTGCTGTGTGTGCATGGTGCAGAACAAGGTGAGACTCTTTGTAGTACAGCTCGGCTCCCTCTACTCTTCCTCTCTTTTCCGCCTTCTTTTTCTCCTACCCACTCGCTCAAAAACCCCACACACACAATCAGGAGCTCTGTGTGGAGCTGTTACTCTACAAGTCTCCCCTGAGCCTGCAAAGCCACATGATGACCTTAGAAATGCTCTTCAGCTCTTATGCAGTCTTTGCCTCTACCTCTCTCCCACTCTGTCTGACACCCTTGGACTACGTCTCCTCCTCTCCTCCTCTCCTTTAGTGTCTCTCTCTCTCTAAGCCCCTCTATTTTCGTCTGAAACAATCACTGTATTTTCCGACTCAGTGCCCTGTGCTGCCGCAGTCTGAGACTCTGATAGAAGGACAGGGGGAAGAGAGAGAGGGGAGAGAGGGAGAGCTGGGAGTACAAGGCGGTGGGCGTGGATGTGTGCAGCACGCAGGGCAGAAACTGGAAAGGCTACATAATGGTTTGTTGTCGTCGTCACTGTAGCGTCACATCTGTGTGTCCTTTTAGCTGCAGAGGGGCAGCAGCTAGCACAACACAGTCTGCATAGCCATAGCTTTTCTACACTGTGTGCAGTGACATATACAAGCATATGAACTGCGATGCACTCTTGTGGAGATGCTCGAATTAATGCCACAATGCCCTTTGGCACTCGGTTAACCATGCCAATAAAGAAACCCAAGACTCAAGCAGGAGGATTGTATTTTTCCAAGCCATGAATAAATCTAAAACTCTTGTACCAGAGCGGTGTAAAGGTGTGGTCATGTCAAACAACAAAAATGAAGCAAGCTTGTACACTCACTACATGCCTCAAAATATCATCATCACCGCAATGATTCAGCACCACTAGACTCGTTGTCAGGTAAATATTTTGAAAAAAAAAGGCAACCACACCTTAAAGATAACGCACACTAATGTGCGAACAAGATCTTTGATGGGAGGTGAGGTTAACCATCTACAAGGCCTTAGGTGACAAACACACAAAAACACAGATAATTTACAGTACAACCTCCCTTTTGTTTCAAGCTGTGGTATTCTAATTGTTCAACATACAATGTTAACTCCTCTGAGTTCCTTCATCTACAGTTGTGTCAGTCAAGAGGTTGAAAAAGATTAAAATAATCACCTCATTCTCTCCATAGCCTGATTTACTTAGTGTTGATGTATTTGAAGCTTTTTTTCACACCCCTGAAATTTTTGAGAAGATGCAAAACTAATGGTGATAAAAAAAAAAAAAAAACTGCCAACATCACATGACACAATCAACTTATAAATTTTATGAAACAGGAATGATTACTTTCCGATGAGCAGCAGCATATGTTTGGCTACCTTATCGTCAAAATTTGATTTATGTTCAGAAGTGGGTCGGGCCTGGGCAGTGTTGGCAATAGGGCTGGGCAATAAACTGAAAATGAACCGATACCAAAATTTAACAGCAAACATCATTTTGTGCATGTAAATATATTCAGTGTCAAAAAAATAAATGAGTAAAAGTTGGTTTTGGATGTGTGTAGGTAGGCTATGGTCTCATGTCCCTTTAAGATGCTGTCCTACGTCAGAGACGTGACTCCACCCTATCCAGGTTGAACACAGAGGTAAAGACAGGTGAGGAGATGGAGGACGGTTCACAAGTTGGAGCGGCTGGAGCGGCGGCTGAAGTAGATGAAGTTAATGTGGGAGGGGGTGAGCAGCTTGTGGGGTAGTTATCGTCCATTTATCGTTATCAAGGTGAACTCCTCAATATATCTTGATATTGATTTGAGGCCATATCGCCCAGCCCCAGTTGGCAATCACAGATCCCATAGTATAATGATTGGAAACGATCATACTTTTGAGCAGAACCTGCTTCAGTATTTGCATGAAGACTGCGCCAGTTGTGCTCTTGTCAAATAAAGGTCGCTCAACACATGAGTGATATAAACATCACAACCCCTGCCCACTTAATTGCAGTGAATTTCCTCAGCTTTTTTCAAGCTGTCTACATACATTGGCTGACTTTTTGCAGGCAGGAAAAACATCAAGTAAAGCTGGGGTGAAGACTTAAGCTGTTTGCATTTCCACACGCACCTCACCATTACAATCCTGAGAAAATTTATGTGTTCAGTGCATGCGTGCAAAAAAAGCTTTAGCCAGAGGGGCTGGCTGGTGATCGGATTCTGAAAGTAGAATCTCACTAAAAACTTTAATTGCCACCTTTGGTACGTGCTGACATTTAAGCATAGTCCACAATTCTAAAATAGAAACAACTCAGCCCAAACCATGAAGAGAAATTGAACTAATGACAGTTATTTGCTTCTTCCCTGCGGCTGTTTTCATCGCTGAAACTGCTCCACAGGATGAACCTTTGTGTCCTTTCTCTAGACACATCCAGTCGCATGCATACACATATTTTCATTTTCATTTCGTTGGGTAAACGTGAAACTCAGATTTATCCCTGACAGACTACAGGGGCTACTATACTAGAGGGTGACAAACTACCGCTTCAGACCCAGCTGTATTGATTTGGTCCGAGCATTTGTGTAAGGGAAAGTAACAGTGATGCATTCCAACACTTTACCAGCTGACCGAGCGTGCATTTGAATAGAACATTTAGTATGAGAACAACACTGTTGGGCAAAGCCATTAAGGCTCTGATTATTAGCAAGTGGCTAATACAGTCAGGCAGTTTGTAAAGCTTTAGAGCTCTGCACCACTCAAACACACACATCAATCTCACCAACAGTGTGTGTCAACACGAGCTACGATTACCATACTAATCCCACAGCAACACACAAGGGACCACATGAGATCATTACAATTAAGCAACTCAAATGTATTCCTTTTCTACACAAACAATTGCTCCTTTTTTCAATGTGCAGGGACTAATAAGATATTTTTAACAATCAGCAAAATGTAGACGGCTGCTGAAACCTCAGGTACATGTGCTATCATAGTTAAACACTTACACTTCGCTACAGATGTTATTCAGGCAACAATTTTATAGCACTTTAGTGATAATGACATGCAAATGTGTTAGGAGTGTGGGAGATTTCATGGTGTGTCAGTGGAGGAAGGGATGCCTGAAGGGATGTGTGGATACATGGTATGTGTGCATGAATGTATGTGTGTTTGATTGTTATCAGGGCGTACAGTGTTATGTAAAAAGGCAGTTTTAGTACAGCAAGTATACATGTGCAGAAAAGAGGAATTATTTATGTGTATTGTTTGGTGGTTGTTTCTCAGAGGTGACAACATGAATGTAATCTGGATTAAACTGGTTTACACTTGTGTTTGAAGTGTTGTCAATGTTGAATGAAATAGAAAATGATATTAGGTTGGCATTTTCTTAAAATCTGTCCATAAAAAAGTAATGGACCTGGAAGAAAAAACTAAAACATAGAGCCTGTTATACCATATTTTTAGGGTGATAAGGCGCACCAGATTGTAAGGCGCATTGGCTTATTGATTAGTTTATTGTTGCTAGCGCGTACACCAGGCCCGGGCTGCCTTACATGAATGCACTCTTAGCTTAGAAATTACAGTCAGGCAGTCTTGTAGACTGCTCAGGAGTCCTGTTATGGGGCCGATCAGGCAGTGACACAGCGTACTGTAATGCACCAAATAGCCAATGAGCAGAGCGACTTTGTTACCTACCAAAGTCGTACTTAAACATTTCGACAGATTTTTGAGTGCACCGTACCAAATAGAATCGGTCAGTAAGCTCAACAAGTAATCATACACAAGGCGCGCTGGATTATAAGGCGCACTGCCAATTTTTGAGAAAATGTAAGGATTTTAATTGTGTCTTTTAGTCCGAAAAATATGATACATACTTTCCCATAGGGCCTAGTCCCATTACTCTTCAGGGTAACTTAATCCTTCAAAGAACTCAGCAACTGAAAGATCCAACCTTTGTAGCCTATGAGGCTGAATTGAAATAAGGGACTCTAGTCTCACGTAATTTTAACCCCTTCCCATCGTTTTAAGTATAATTACAAGTTTTAAGGCATTTTTAATATTTTTGTCACTCTCAGTGCCATTTAGCTGAAACCAGAGATTAGTGTGCTAAACTCGCTACAAGAATCACAGCATACTTTATGTTGTTATCACAAAAGATGCACCTGATACAAAGCCTTTGAGATGAGACGGTCTCCAAATGTGGAGACTAAATGATCGAGCCTGTGAAAAAAGACAGTTTATGAAAATATCTTACAAAAGTTTCAGGGGTGTATCCAAAGGGGTTGTCAGAGGTGACATGTCCACCCCGAAATCCTTAACCATGAGTGGCCGATTGCCTGTGTCAAAATAATTTTTTTAGCAGTGTTGCAACACACTGTAAACCCAAATAAGTTCAGAAAACACAAACATTTTGTCGTAACCCATTACATAATAACTTTTATGTTATGCTGATACATTTATTGAGTTACACTATATATAAAAAATATGTGTTCAGTTGACTTAATCTCGATTCTAAGTTCAATCTATTTTTTTTTAAATTACCTTAACTTAATATTTATGTCTTCTTCATACTTAAATGATTTGATTGAATGATACGTATAAAAACTAAATTACATGGACTTGAAAAATTAACTGTACACATTGTATTACATTAAAAGTATTTACTCAAAATATTACACCTTAATGAACCCAAAATTTATAACACTTGCCATCTAATGTTCAAGACCTGTTTTCATTTGTAATGCTCAAAACCATGGATGCTGGTGGCTTTAAATCAGTGGAGCACATTTTCTTATACTCATAATTTGGATAGTGACTTTAGGCATACATCTTCTCTTTAAGTCCTCAAAGAATTAGGATGGGAAGATTGCTCAAGTGAAAATATACTCATACATCTGCGTAATACTTTTGTCCACTTTCTCTCAAAATTTAGAACATTTTATTTGTGTGTTTATATGGACGTCAAGGAGCCCTACAGTTAACATTTTATTACAAGATTTATAAACATGAAAGTTAAGCTATAACACAGGAGGTATCAGCTAGGATGATGTTGATTTTAATAACAGTTATTTTTTTACATAAGTGTCTCGCTGATTCACAATAATCTCCAACAGCAGCCTATAGCTGATGAATTAAGCTGCTTTGTGTGACAGTAAGACCTAAAAGCATTAACCTGGGACATTAATTAATCCATTAGTAAATCTATCCAATCTATTTGAGACAGACTTATTGACATAATGTGATTTGTCCTGTGTGACGTGGAGGCCCTATTAACCCTACATACTCTATCCTGCTGCACTTTACACTTCAGGTAGATCCTGATTAGTTGTCAAAACTAAAACCACCCTCTGGTTTCATGTAATGACTTAATGCAGCACCGCTCATAAACTCACCCTCTGCAAATCTGCAAGTTGAGCAGATTTGGAGAAAAGGTGCTTTTCTAGGGCTTTAACATCTTTCATTGTCACCTGGCCTCTCTTTGGAATTGGAAACGTGCTGGTGCTGCACATTTGACTTTCACACAGACACACACTCTGACTCACCATGCTATCATTGGGCTGTCCTCCAGTGTTTATACGTGGGTCTGACAATACTGTAGCACTGCATGCATGTCACACTGTCACAGCAAAGCGAGTGGAGGAGAAAGAGTGAGGGAGAGAGGGATGGGGGAGGCTAATTTTGGATGCATGGCATGTGGAGTTAGGATAACCATCTTTTCTGCAGCTCTCTCCCACCACACTGTTTGTTCAATTATCATTTACTGCAGGGAGAGAGAGGGAAAAAGGCAGAGGGAGAGAAGAGGAAGTGAAGAAGAGAAGAGCTACAGTGAAGGAAGAGGAGGGGGTGGAGGTGGAGGTGGTGCAGGGGATGAGGAAGTAGAGGCAGAAGAGTTGGAGGGAGAAAAAGCACAAACATTCTGTGCACAGTGGCAGGAAAGGGGGGGGGGGGGGGTGCAGAGGACACGGGGTGAGATGTGGTGCAGAGCTGACAAGCAGAGCAAACACACACTGTCACATAAAGGTGTCAGGTACAGTGTCACATCCCAGCAGAACATGACAAGCTCTGCTCAAAAATGCCAGCAGTTCACACAACATAATCCCATGAGGCTCGAGCATTGATAAACATAAAATCAGAGCGACGTAATTTCCTTGTAGAACAGCTCTGAACATGCAGGGTTCCTGTCATGAAGCGCTGCTACTGTTTCTGCTTTGATAGGTGTCTTCAGTTCAAGCGTAGCGCTGAAAAAAAAAAACTTTATTTAAACAGACGTCTCCCAGCTCTCTGCATGAGGTCCCAACCGTACCAAATTGAGATATACAGAGATGAAGCTTGATCCAGCAGCTCCTCAAATCTCCCCTCTTTCCTGCATCCCCCCTTTTTAAATCCTAATCCTTCCCTCTCTGTCTTCTACAGCTCCCTCTCTTCCTCTACAGTCTCTTTCCCTCTCTCTCTCTCTCTCTGTACTTTTCCCCCTCTTCCAAGCCAGCTCTGGCTCCACTATACCGAGCAATTACAGAGATGATATCCACTGTCAGTCAGCGGCTCACAGATGAAGCCGGGCCTCTTTAACATGCTAATGGAACGCCAGATTCAATCAGGCCTTTGTATGGCAGAGGCGAGGGCAGCGCTGCTCATTAAAAAATAAATCATAATAACAATGAGGGACAAGCTGCAAAGGCAAGCAGCACCGAAGCCACAGTGATGAACTCTCCCCATGTCTGAAAACACTGCTGGTCTGTGGTCCTCTTTCTATCCGGCTTCTCTTCTTCTTGGTTGGACTGAAAGGTGGTGAGGGAGAGGGAAGGAAAGGGAGGAGAGAGTGGTGTTTGAGGGTGCAGACTCCCTGAATCATCTGACAAACAAAAAGATGTGGAGTCAGCAGTCTGTCCTGTTTGCCTTTTCAATTTTCGTCCCTCTGTTCTCACTCTCCAGTAAGGCATCTGCGCATACACGCAGCCATGACACACACACCAAATGTCCCTTGCTAATTTGTGTGTTTTTCATTTCACCGTGAGAGTACAAGGTCACTGTGAAGCACCACTCAGTAAGAATGCATGCACATAATAACAGGAGTGCTTAATTGATTGACTACAGAAAAATGCATGGACACTGTGTTAACTGTATGTCTGTTAATTTGTAATCACAGAGTTTATTGTCACCTGTTGCTACATGCAAAGAAAATAAAGATTGACAGTTTGGGTAATACATTTTTCACACTCTAGTAAAGTGCAAAGCTAGGCAAACAGGCTGTGAAGGGAGCCTTACAGGGAGCCCATCAAGTGACAGATCAGAGTTATTGATTCCTTCATCCAGGTCTCTGCTGGAAGGAGGAAAAGCACATTTTCCTGAATGACAAACTGCTGTTTTCTGGTTAGTATCTTATTTAACATAACTTGAATTAGAAGTGTGAAGAACAGGTCAAACAGAGGCAAATCAATAATAGTTGACAGGTCTGAATATGGACCTTAATTTGAATTCCTCAGAGTTTTAAAGAATCATTCTGTTATGACACTATTCTTGGTAAATCCTTAAGTACATTGTTTGAGCATCTGATCTGTATTTTACTTGACCATTACTTTTTGGGGAAACTTTATTTCCACTAACTTTGAAAGATGAGAATAATACTCTGAAGATATTAAACATACGGCTGTCATGATATCAAGTTTTCACCTCACAATAGACATGAAAAAAAAATACCACAATAATAATTTTAATGTATACATATTATTTTAATTTGAAAATAAAACAACTTAATAAGCCAAACTGAGGAGAGGCCAGACGAGGCAAGAGCAACACATAACTTCATAAATCTTGCCAATAAACACAGTGAACTTACATCCCTCATCCATTTTTTAATGGTGCTCAAATTTTATGATTTATCCACTTCACCAGCCCTGTGACTGAAACTTGTCTGAAGAAGACAGTGTTCCATTAAACGCTTGCTTGTCATGCTTTTATTCTGACATATTTTCCTGGCTTGCATTTAGGTATATTTTATTTTATGCATAGTAAAACCATGCTTTTATTTAAAAGTCAAGCCATTTCCTGTAGATCCTAAGTTTTGAATAAAACTTAAAAAAAGTTTAAAAAACTTAAAAAAAAATAAAAATAAAAAAAAACTTTCCAACATCTCTGAATATTTCAACTTTATAATTCCACAATCAGACTTCTGATAAGGCATGCACTATTGGAAATTTTAATGTTTAAAATGGAAAGTCATTTTTTATACAGTGTGTGAAAAGGATGGATGATGATAACAACTTTCCTTTTAACATCTGGGATCCAATCAAGATCCAACTTCAAGCTGTGTTTGGGCCTATAGAGGTTTCAACCGCACATGCTCTTACAATTGTCTGTTGTGTCTGCAGCCAGGTCCTTCTCCTTCATTTAGCAGAGAGAGATGTTGATTCTCCACCTCACCTCAGTCACACAGAATAATCTGTATCACTGAAGCTGATTGCTTTTTTCTTTGACTGCCCACACTTCATCTGCTCATTGTACCAACAAACATAAACTGTCAAAATAATTTACTTTTAGCTGCAGCACACACAGCAGAGTGTAAAGTGAAGAAGAGGCAGGATGGGACTGTGTGCTCTGTTTTTTTAAAGTTACGATAGGGCCGCTCACACAGGTTGGTTAAAGCTTTCAATGCTTTTTTTTTTCTTTTTAATGACAGATGACATACTGTATATGTTACACAGGTGGGACACATGAAACCCTGGTCTCCCTGTCAGGTTCTCTTTGTCAAGAATAATAGCTATAGGAAGACTGTTAGGTGTTGAAATAAGAATAGACTTGGAATACTTACGTAATAGAATTTAAAATAAGTGCATGGGCTATACAGTACATTTACACTTTGAATTCCTGCATTTTCTAACGCGGCAAAAAACATAACAGGTGAAAATATATTGCAGTGTCAGTTCCTCTAACATCATGCAGCCATTCAGACATTGTAAAACGGTATTATATTCAATTTCCTGAAGACTATGAAATTATATGACCTTCCACTAGAGGACAAGTGCTTCAGCTAACGTCAGTAAGGTTATGTTCTTAACTGGGAAATGTCCTTAAATAAGAAGTGAGGAAAAGTTCATCTTTTTGCTTTACGGGTGAACCTCTGATGTAACTCAGCTGTCACATTAAACAAGCATATTGCACTGTGTTAAACGTCTGATACCGTCATTACTCACATTACCATGCTGCTTTGGATAGCTGTTCAAAAGCCCGGCGCTCCTTTCATCCATGCCACGCTTTGTTTAAGATCTCTCCACGGAGGTTTGATTCATAGATGCTCACTTCCTTTTTTAATTCATCATGCATCAACAGTGGGAGAATGCAAGTGTGTGTGTTTGTGTGTGTGCGTGTGAGTGTGCAGGTTTATGTCCATGTGTCTGTAGAGTGGGTATTTATTACAGCCAAGATCAACCACAGCTCATGAATAATGCATCAGCTGCTATCAGGGAAAATATGCTGAATATGGCTCAGCTGAACTGGGATGTGTGGGTGGTGGTATGAAAAAGCATAGCGCTTGCTCTTAACTTAGCTTCTGCGTAAAAGACAAGAGGAGAAAAACACTGCTCTCCACTTTGACAAATGAGCTCAGGTCTGCTTCAAGGAGGCTTCCTGTGCTGGGGGAATTAGCAGCCTTGGAGAGTCCTTTTTTTGCGCCGGTTTTACTCACAAAGCCTCAAATATGATACGTTTGGGCACAATATCAGGTGCTATTTTAACCTCAAAAATGAATTGAGGCCTGTACGCACACCTCCCCAGCTGCCTCTCAAATCTTTACAGGGGGACCTAATGGAGGCTGATTTAAACAAAAGTGTCATTTGTGGTCACACCAATGACAAGTGACATTACAGAAAAGACCCCCCAGCACTTAAAGAGATTGGGCTGTGCTTGGACCGCTCAGAGACGTACAGTGAGTGCCGTGTTGGAGGGGAGGACATGCTCGTTTGTTGGCCTTCTTCATATTCATAGACAACACACTGCAGGGCTGAAATGAAAACGGTAGCTGTCAACTCCATGAAGTCTCCTTCCCCCACTCTATTAGGTTGATAGCATATTGCCCTCTACCCTCCTTGGGGAGTGGGAGTCAATGAAACAGACTGGCAAACCCTGAAAAAAGGGTAATTCGTGTTTTTTTTTTTTTTTAAGCATAGAGTAGGTTTTGAAATAGCATCACACCCCCCTTTTTAAATACCCGTCTCCTCTCCCCCCTCCACCTAAAAGCTGGGGGTCTAATCTCATGGAGAATCTGTTGCCTTTGTGTGCGTCCTCCAAAGTGTATTTGGGCTGATCCACCTGTTTGCGGCTGAGTGATTGAATTCCATACCTGAGGGCACAGGTTTCTGGGAGGTGCATGGGAATAAAGTTGCCAGCTATTGTTCCACCTGGGTGTGTGACCATGTCTCGAACGAGAAGGGGAGGAGATGGGAGGCACATGTGGGTTTGGATGGGGGCTGGGTTGTAAAAGAGGAGTGGATAACATCAGAGACGACAGAGGACAGGTGGAGAGGGAGGAGGGAGTAAAAGAGGGTACACATGTTCCAGTATGCTGCCTCCCTGGAATAAGAATGTCACCTTGTCCTTTTTCTGCCCCTCTCTCCCTTTTTTTCTGGTTTTCTCTTAGTCTCTACATCCCTCTGTTCCTGTTGCAGTGTACTGATATACAGACAGCATTTCCCTCCCCTTTCTACCAGTGCCATAAGTCTAATCTCCCTCTGCAGCAGTGGATCACTGTCTTTCAACAGACACAACAAAGAAATGCTCCTGTTCCTCATCCACAGGATTCCTGCAGTCCATCCATCAATGACTCAGACACTGCCTACAGCTAGCCACATTCAGACACATCTCCAATGGACATCTCTGTGATCATCTTACAAACCTGACTGGCTCTCTGCCAAGGGAGGAGCATTCATTACAAAAGAAAAATACATAAAAAGACAGAAACCTGAGAAAGAAAGAGGGGGGAGAGCAGAGAAGATAGAGAGGGGGAATATGGGACCTCCCCTACTGACTTTTTACGGTAGATCCTGATGCCACAGTCACCTGTTTTATTTCTTATCAAGTGTAAGAAATACTTGTTGCTGTTTTATCACCCCACTCTCATCCCAAACTAATAAAGACAGATGGACTGTATGTAATATATATCCACATCTTAACTGAATAACATTACGCAGATTCACAACTGAATAAACAAGTTACTTTTAATCACATTAACTCATTTGACAACTTAATTAAGGTGACATGCTTTCTGTAATGAAATCTGGGAACATTCGGAGTGGGGGTGGGTGGGCTCGGTACTACTTTGTAGCAGCACACGCCCCCGGTAATAACCCCCCATAAAAAGTGCTGTTCAGGACTGTGTACTTTCCCCATCTTTAAATGCAATTTCATTGTGCACAGTTGCAATGACAATAAAAGACCATACCATACCAACATGCTTACCCGTGCTTCCTACCTACTTAGCTACCATAATAACAGTTGTTCTAGTCTACATGCAACATTTTTGTTCTCATTCACGAAACGCTTAAATCGGGGACATTTCCGGGGACAGCTTTAGCCAGGGACAAGTCATCCAATACAGGGACTGTCCCCAGAAATAGGGGACGTCTGGTCACCTTAAATTTAGTCAAAGGAAATATTCTGTTGGCGTAGCAGCGTGCTAGCACACTGTCCAGCTCTCTTTGTCTCTCTGAAATCCAAGTCAAAAAGTTTTACATATGTTGCCTACAGACACTGAATCCATGAAAACAAATCGAGGGTAACACCAGAGTAAAAGTTAGCTTACATAGTTAGCTCATAAAAGTAACACACAGGGTTTAGTTTGACGTTAGCTAGGCTATGCTAATGCTAGAAAGGCTGAAGTTGGAAAAACAAAAAACAACAACTGTGAAACAGTACACTGACAACAGCACAGGGGTGTGTTTGTGCATATTTTTGTTTTTGTTTTGTGTCTTTGTGTGAATACTCTGCTGTATTCCTCGTCTCTGCAGCGGCATTACATTGAGCCGCGCTGCCTTGCTCTCTCTGTGTTCCCATCATCCCTGGCTGTCCCCTCCCATTAGCCCTGACAGCTATTTGTCTGTCATTACTGACCTCAAAACAGCACTAACATTCTCAGTCACAACACGCACACATACGTACACACACATAAGAGCTGCACACTAGCTGATCCTGGCACTGCAAAATCATTTCGTGCTGCAGTTTAGACCTAATTGCATGGTATGCTTTCATCACGCTAGGTGCTACAGAGATAAGTATCACATTGGAATGTAATGAGGCTGAGGGCAACTCAGGCATATTTTCATTAAGTCTATTAATCCAGTCTTGAATGGGTTGGTGCAGGTTGCAACATGTAGCCCAACAATCGGCTACTCCCCCAAAGCATCCTTATTATCAGAGCTGTCATTGATTTAAGGTGGAACTGCAGACAGACAGGATATCATTTATCTGAGGAGGAAATAGAGACGTATTATTACAATAGCCCACCTTTACTGCCCTTGGACGAATAGATGATACAGCTTCAGTGCAAAAAAGACGAGGAAAATTACTGAGTGAAAGGATTTGGCTTTGCACAGCTGATCGCAGTGCAACAACATATCTACAGTTTGGATCAGGAAGGTCACAACCTGCTCTGGAGAGAACAGATCAGCCCACTAGATCCGCGTGCATGTATGCGCATGTTAGCGTGTCTTTGTGTCCGTGCAGTGATTTCACCAGCACACAATCCCTTACCCCAGTCGCAAGTAACAAAAGCCAACAACCTCCCAAAGTTCAGTTGCTGCTGGACGGGGAGCCAGCAGGAGATTTATCTGAAGGATTAAAGGGAAGTGGGTGTGCATCTGCCTCTGCGGCCTGAGCACGTGCACCAGCCCTTGCGTGTATTTGATCACTGTGTAATGTGGATTTGAGGGTCAACAGGCAATGTAGGCAAGGGAAACAAAGGTTGGGTGTCTTCTTACTCACTCAATTCCATTATTTTTGCATCATACACCTCCTCCCTTATTAGCTGCTATCTGTCTTTTCTCTCTGTCTTACTTGGAATCCCTAGTGAACTCCTCTCTGTCTACCAAAGAGACAGACTGGCAATTAAATCCTCCCAGCCTTGATTCAGCTACTTAAGGAGAGATCAAGGTAGGATCTTTCGGGGGGCTGTTTGGGGCCTGCCACTGTCATATTATCTCACCAGGGTGTCATTACCAGCCTATCCACTCTGTCATTATGTACAATACTCCTACTTGGTAGACTGGAGGTTCACCCTGCCTTATCTGTCTGGTAGGAGGTTATTTCTTATACTGTGATCCTGCTTGATCTATTTGCAAAGGGCCATAGGTGAGTCTCAGAATTTGCATGCGTGTTTACTTACAAGACGGGACAACCGAGATGGATGCAGACTTTGTTTTTCTTCAATCCAAAAAATGTCAGCAATGCCTCCTAGACTTTGATCCCTCACTGGAAGCTGCTTTAACTTTCTGTGACCCTAATGTTGTTGCTGTACAGACTTTTTTTTTTCTTTTTCTAACCGCAAAGCAAAACATCGCATTTGCCCCAGTCTGTACTTTACTCGTAGCCTACAGTATGATGAAATTAGCAAAATTGCTGTTCTCCAAATTGGTAGGTTGGTCCAAATCTAAGAGACCTGCAATTAGAGGGGAAAGTTCGACACCCTCATTTTGATGTAGAAAAATGTGTCGAGAAACAAACAAGTTAGCCTCTGTAGTCGGGCCTCACAGATGCTTACAAAAATTCAAAAACAAAGCCAGTATTCATCTGCGCGTAGTTAAAAAAACCCATCATCCCTCTTTCTTTCTTTCTGGCACTGTGCTGTGTGGAGCTGTTTGCAGTTTTGTGAGTGTGTCTGTGTGCGTTGTCATGGCTCTTACTGTCATGCTTATATTTGGATTAAGACCTCAGACATGTTCTGACTGATTCTGTGCACTGTGCTGAAGTCTTGCATCATTACACCGTAACCTAAGCTCACAAAACCTTTTTACACGACCCGGCATACGGGCACACACACCTCTCTATCAGATAGACCCACACACGTTACATACAACACAAAAGCAAGAGATGCCAACTTGTATTTGACGCAATGAAACAAGATCCAGCTTTCCTAGCTTTCCCTGCATAATCCCTACATTTAAGCATAGCATAACACCAGCAGTTCCAGGCAGCAAATCAAACAGATCTTTATCTACTTCCCCCTACCTTCCATGCAAGTATTAACCTTCACAGGAAGCTTCACACATGCATATTGCAATTAGAAAAGATAAGGAGGATCAAGTTTGATACGCTTTTTGTGTTTCATAATAAATCCAGGCACTAAAATAGGAATATAAGTTTAAAGTGATGCTCTGAAGTTTACAGAGGGGCTCAGGAGCACACTCTTGTGGTCACTTTTAGGCAAACCTGCAGAGGTTTTAGGGGGGACGTTGCAGGCTTTGCATCAAGATAGAGAGCTCGAGCGTCTCTGAAATCCAATCTGAGTTATACAGTATGACAGCTGTGTTGCACTCTTTCTTTGTTGATACACATCATGCTCTTAGAGTCAGATTACAGCCTGAAGACAAGCACTAAGGGCTAAAAACCTGTACTGCACACTGTGCTTGGATTCTGGGGTTGCAGCTGAGGCATTATGCTTCTCCTATGTGTCAGTGTGGAGATGTACAGGCAAACTTTAATGACTGTTAATGCGTTGTAATGGACACGGGAATAAAGGCATGTGTAGCGTGGCTGAATAATCCCTTAGATGTGTTAAACTGAGCACATTCAGACAGGAAGAGTGAATTAATCTGCCCGGGATCATGCATTTGTCTACCATGGATGTGTGTGTGTCTGCCAACCTCAGTTGCTTCTTGATGCCTCTGAGCGGGGCTTTGGCCAGGCGTGTGATCCTGTTGATTGCGCTTGGGGCCAGGTGAAAGGGAGGCGTACTGTCCTGCTGGGCCTGAGACGGGATGAGAATACTAAGCAGGACTACGACCAAATTTTCATTCTCTCTGGCCGTCCTGATACCCCCCTGTCCCCTGCTCTATCACACTGCCTTCACTGCTGAAATGAATTGGCTATTCCAGTAGACCCAGGCACAGCTGTGTACAGAGCAGAATACACACTGAGCTCATCATGTGGGAGAAAAAGAGGGAATGAGAGTGACATCATAAGAGACATGGAGGCAAGCAGACAGACAGATGGCCAACTGTTTGCAACACATTACAAGCATATGAAAGTGAAAACCAGCAGGGACAAAAAGGGAGAAATACAACAGGTTTCTCTGGCCACAAACAGTGTAATAACAACAACAAGACAGTCATTCTAGGTCGTGAGAGTTCTCCTCCTCAGTGGTTATGAAATAGTCTGGAAACCCCAGTTTATATCTTTGCCTTGAATTAGTCAACGTGCAGACAGCCAGCATCCTCTGAACTGTCAGGCAGAGTCTGAAGCTCTGCTAATGGTGCTCCAACAGTCCCGGTCTGGTGTGCTCTGTTCTGTGTGCATGAGAAAGGAGGAGAGAAAGAGAGAGAGAGAGGGGGAAAAAAGAGATTTGATGAGTGAGTCTATGTTGGGGGTTATGTTGAGGAAGCTCCCAGTGCAGCCCTCGGTCTCTTTAAATCATCTCACTGACTCAGAGTTCTCTCAATAATGCATACATAAGCTGAGGGCAGGTTTTCTCAAGATTTAGAGCCGGCAGTTAGTCTGAAATCTCAAAGCCCCACACACTCCAGCTTGACGAAGTAAATTACCAATGCCGCACAGATAATTGCTAAAGCTGCTGCATGGCACAAAACTTTGAGATGCCAAAAAATATTTCTTTCTTGTCATTTCAAGATGTTAATCCCATTCAGGGCTTGTGTAATCATGTGGTTGAAATCTTGAACATTTTGTTGGCTATCATCTAACCTATCAGCTATACGAGGAAGTAGTCATCTAATGTTCCTCTTTTCAGGGCTGTGTGCAGGACAGGTGCCTGCTTCACATCCCAGCAGAAAGGCAAGCTGGCAGCCCGACTGTTACCACCTCCTTCTCCCGGCCTTTTGCTGCCAACCAGCCTGGCACATCTGTGTCTGTCCAGCATGCCCGCTGCCAACTACCCTGCTCCCATTGTTCTCTCCTGAATGCACCCGACGCCCACGGGAAAGAGGGCTGAACACAGTGTGGCACAACCTACACAGCCTGTTAGATAATCTCAAGACATGAAAAGATTCTCCTAGCCTAGATTTTAGAAACAGCATTTTGTCTCAAAACATAGACGAGGGAAACACCCGCTGGGGATTCTTCCTCAATCAGCCTCAGTTTCCAGTTATAAATTCAATGGAGTGAGCATAATCCTGCCTGAGCATAATTATCTGACATAGATTTGATGAGATTATCATTTATAATTCACAGAACACTTTTGATGGGAAAATCACTGTTATTTTTACTTGATATGCTAGTTGAAATAGTTTCTTAGCCTATTCTTACTCATTGTTACTCTGATTTATAAAAAGCATGAAAAAAACAAGCAAAACTACATGATAAAGCTGAACCCTGCATCTGTTATTTGCACTCATAGGAGAGAAGTTGCATTGATTTGTGTTGTATAAGTGTATGTGGTCTACATGTTTATAATAAATGCATTCCCAAGCGGAGGTGGGGATGTGGCCAATAGTGGATTTATCAGGGCCATGCAGGCTGGCAAATTATTCTAAATAGGAGAATCAGTCGCTCTGTGCCTTTGATCTGTCTTCTGCCTGCTCTCTAATTTTAACCCTCCTTCTTTCCCCCCTCTGTACACTCCATCTATACTGCAGCAGTTTTATCTTTAACCCTTTCCCTTCTACTTACATCTGCAGAAAATAGGCTTGTCATTTATCTGTTATATGTGAGAAGACTGCATTAGCATAGGGTTTATGGTTGCTTTTTTAGTATACACTGTTACTGCCATTTTCTATTCATGATATATGCTAAGAATTAAGTTTTGATGACTACATTAATAGTATTATATTTGATAGTTCTGTATTTTAATTTCATTTGTCCAGTTCATATTGAATACAGAATACATAAGGGTTAAAAGTATATTTTGTATCTTACGTTTGTATGCGTCAGGGCAGACCTATGTCATTGTTATTTTTTGATTGACTGTTCTGTATTGAGGGGCAGTTGTTCAGTAAAGGATGGAGGCGACACACCATTTCTACTGTCGTTAAACCATATACACGTGTAGTCTCGTTATTTCTGTCCAGCGGTGAATTTAAGAAGTATCATAAGAATGAAAACCGAGTGAAACAACACGGATACTTTCAGCCACTACATACACATATAATGTTAAATCCTCTTGTCCAACCGGTATACCTATGTGCCAAACCCCTTTCTGCAGCCATAATCTAAATTTAAATAAACATTAAAGACTATTTCTTCTTAAAGATAGCACTGTGAACCTACACATGCACATTTAAAGCAAGCCCCTGGCTACACAGCCGAACCCTCTGGCAGATCCCCACAGGCTGTTTAAGAGCTCTGATTATGGCCCTTGCGAGCCTGGTAGGATTCCTGGCGTGTCAGAGGATTTAACAGCATCCAAATCACTGTCCGACTCCTCTCAGCTCTTCCAGAGTGGCCTGTCCGTCACTCTGTCTGTCTCACAGTGATCAGGCTACAGCAGCAGTCGATAGGGAGAGTACAGAGAATACACAGAGGGGAGATAGGTTTGCTCTCTGTAGCAGTGGCTTTATTGCCGCTTTCTGTCATTTTCATTATTGTTGGTTATTCTGTCTACAATATTATTTGGTTTCATTAGTTCATTTAGATTGAGTTAATCCATAAAATGCTTAAAGTGTACAAATTGTCTCACAACACAAAAATATTACATTTTTGTCCTTCTCAAATCATCAAATACAAGAAGCTTTGGTTTAGGCATTTTGATTCAGTGTAACTAATTGTCCTTTTTTTCTTGGCCATGAATAACCTCATGGTAAATCATTTCATCGTTTAGTGTTTGTGTTGTGGTTAAACTTGTGTGTGCATCGTTGCCCTGCAGTCATCATTTTCTGTGGTTTTATTAAGTCACTTTTTTTTTTTTTCTGTTACTATAACACCTTTTTTTTATACATATAAGAAACACGTGACTTATCATTTAATAAGCTCTGGCTCTTATGTGAGATATTGTCAGTGTTCACAGCAGAGTCTGGTGGGACCACCTTCAAACATTCACTTATGCATACATGCTCTCCAAACATACGCACAGAACTTGTTCAGGTTGCAAAGATGCACTCCTCTTCCCACATGCCGTGATTTCTTTGATTTATATTGTGAGATGGTCCCAGAAGACATGTTAAAGTTAATGGGGTAATTACACAGTGGGAGACGAAAGCAGCCACAGTTGTGATTTATACTCATAGACAAACACACACGCTTCTTCACACAGACACACACACATGCAGTCCCTGATGGGAAAAGCTCTGTCTTTGCTCCAAGGACGGCTGCTCTCCTTTCTCTCTGCTTCCTGCTCCTTACTTCGTTTCCCTCCTTCAGCTCTCAGCTCCTCCTGCCGCTGCTGCAGAGACACGTTCTGTACCCAGGTCAGCCAAATCTCTGCGTTTGTCTGCCTGCCAGAGGCGGCCTGACCTACTGCCAGGAACAGACTTCATGTTCAAGTGCAGACTCACTGGGGAGCTGCAAACATTACTACTGTGCAGGAGCCACAGACAGGAGCTCAGGCCAGGTATCAACATGCAGTGTAGTGTCATGATAAATGCAGTCAAGTGGCAGAGTATTAGTCATGTTGTTAGTGGCGCAGCCCCAGAGGAGGAGCTGCCTTCATCACTCATGGAGGTAGCGGTGGAGAACTGAGCAACAACAGGACCTCCTATCTTCTCTCATCACAACAAACATAGCCCGGGAGTCACTACGGAGTCCTTGAAGGAACTACATGCCTGTATTCATGAGAAATTTTGACTGTGCATATTAAAAAAGAACAGTTTGACGTTACTTTTTAGGATGCTTACTGTAGAGGAATGAAGGTACGTTAAAAGATTGTTGAGTCACCATGCAATGATGCAACCAGCAGACCAGCAAGGCCTCAAAGAGTTGACTGTGTGTCTGTTAGCATGGCTTTTTGCATCATTAGACGTGTTTAGCCTACTAGGGCTGTAAAGTCCTAGGCGACCGGTCGACTTATTGGTCGATACTATAGACTGTATATAGAATCGACGCTCTCTGCCTCCTAGCTGAGTAAAGCCACTCCAAGAACAGCACCCTCTTGTGACAGGCTGCAGTATAGGTCATAAAACCCACCTCTGCCAGCCAAACTTATGGAGCTGTGGACAAACTTTAGAAATTTATTACGCAGAACATTATTTTTTTCCCCCTCCTGCTTGCGATGTTGACATGTAGTTATTGTAAGACTGGTTTGTGCTCAAGTCCTCTTTTTTCTGTACAGCTCAGATTTTTAAAGTTATTAGGAGGCTCATGTTTTCTATGATTGACACTTGATACAGACTGTGGGCGTACAAGGATTGCATAGCTCACCTGGGGAGTACGCTGTTTGAGCCGAGTGTCATCACAGCGACTCTCGGCGACTCTCCCGCCGAATGCTCACAATGCTACGCAATGCTGCGCAATGTTGGTTTCAGGAAATGGAGAGAAAAAGCGGAATTACCAGTCTACGCTCGATAGGTGCTGAGTTGACCAAAATTCTGATTGGTCGACTCAATTTTTTCTGCGTCAATTTACAGTCCATGGTTTATTTCATCAAAAGGAACGCACTAAGTGCTAATGGTTTCACAGGTAACAGCCTGTTTCAGAGCATCCCCCTTGTTTTCAACATTTTGGGTTTGCCCAACCCACTGGAGATCGGCAAGTGACAGGAAGATTGAAGAGCGTCCATGTTAATCAACCTTTCTGTGGTTTGCTAAATATTTATTTTTATTTTGAGCTTTTCAACTTGCCTTCTGTGTTTCATTGCCTTCTTGTGATGATATCAGTATATTTTCACCCCGCAGAGCCGCGCTCCACCAGACCGCGTCGCCCCTCCCCCCCATTAGTTAATTTTTGGTCGGAAATTTCGGGGTTTTAGTCGACCAAGAATTTCTGTGGTTGATTAAAGCCCTAGTGTTTACTTGTTTATATTTTTGGTTTATTCAAAAAGAGAAAAATTTCACGCCCAACTAGAGGTAATGATGCAGTCCTCTCCTCCTTGAGGCGCACAGATGCACAGAAGAAGGCAGCTGGCCTTCAGCTGAGACAGCACTTTCACACAGTCTGACAAAGTCAATCTCCCTCGCTCTATCTCTTTCCCTCCCACTCGCTCTAATCCAAACTTTGTAGACTGCCTCTGCTAACACCCTCTTCCTCCAGTGCGGCAGCAATATTATTTCCTCTGATCACTTTCGCTTGACATAAAGCTTGGTGAAAAAGGCAGAGGTGTCAAATAATGCACAAATTACCATGTGAAAGTGTGGAGGCAGGTAGAGATGAATTGCAGAGCGAGGGACGGCAAAAAAGTAACCGAGCAAAAGAGTAGCTTAGAGAAATCCTAAAAAAAAGGAGAGCGGCAAAGCTTTAAGTCTCAGGGGAATTTGAAAGCCACAGAAATCCAGTTGCGGATATTAAGAGGCTTAATCTAAGAGCTTGCTGAGGCTGAGTTTTGCTGTGTGGGCCCCATCACTATCATCCTTGACAGAGGTTAAAGAGGAGACGAGGGGGATAAGGAGGAGAGGAGGAGAAGGCAGATGGGAGCAGTGGTGAGAATAGGGAGCCATGTATCATTATGACAGCCTTGCATGCTTTTTTAAGGAGAATTAAACATCAATAAAGTGCAGAAGTATGTGCTTATTTTGTTATTTATGTGGGCATATGTAGGATAACCTTGCAGTTAAGGGACGGCACTGTGAAAAGATGTAAGCAGCAGGGTGCTTAGAGTCAGAGCGAGGGAACATGAGCCAGACATGACAGGAGGAATAACAATGTATGATTCATTCACTTCATAATTAGATACAACCAACTAAGTGATCCAACTTTAGTGCTCGAGTCAAGACGACAGAAAGCAACACATGCTGAGATGAAACTCATTATCATCAAACTGCAGATGTGTCCCAGGAGAAAGGAGGAGAAGAGAGGAGACTTGGAAGCAGGTGGATAAGAGGGATCCCCACTTCCTCTGTGCCGGTCTTTTCTTCTCCTCTCCTTGCTTCATTTGATGTGAATGTTTCACCGAATGAAATGCTTCAGTGATGTGAATTCCACAGAGCACACAAACCCCTCAGCATCACAGCATCTGCTCACAGTAGTGGTGTTGCACTTCAGTGTTTCACTCTTGTCAACTTGTCAGGAAAAACAGAGAGTCTGTCCAAAGCAATCATTGGAGCAGCTTTAACAGCACAAATGCTGCTTTTTTTCCCCTCACTGTTTAGAGAATGCCTGATCCACTGGGTGCCACATAGCTTTGCTCTATCTGCAGAGAAATAATTGCTTTGCAGTGCAATTATGCCTCATTGTGCTTTTTGGATTTCAGCTGCATGAAACAACAGTGTTCAATCTTTAATAAGCCACATAATACAATTGCTTCTGTCTGTCACGCTATTCTCAGTATTTGCCAAAAGTCTCTTCATTGTCAAAACAAACTGGAAACTTCCCTAAAATCCATTCCTTTTTATAAAGTCAGGATAAATGTATCTTTGTCTTTCTTTTTTTTGGGCCTAGGAGGCATAAACCGGGCCGGGGCAGCGGTGCCAACATTCTTGCGGACCCCCACAGTGATCCAGCCACACCTGGACATGAAGCCCTTCCTCCAGTTTCCCATGGAGACCGCTCCTCCTCCACACAGCATGAGCCTCTTCCACAACTTCAACACGGTGAGGACTGATGCAGTCACATATACAGCAGTCTTTAACGTCTCCATTTCAACATGGAAAGGCAGCAGTTTATATGATTTGGGGCAAACTTTGAGTCAGGTGGAATAAGTAGATGTTTCCATTGACCTCCACAATGCTAGAGTATGTATGTAATTGTTGCTGACTAGTTTTAAACTGTATCCTAGGATTGTTGAAAAGCTGCTGTAGCTAAATGAAGACTGCATATTTTGTTAGAAAGGCCACGCTGCAGGTAGTGGTGCAAGGGAAAAAGAGCTTCATGGGGGGTTTGATTGTTTGATGCAGGTGTATCTAATCAATATTTTTGATTAGACAGCCAAAAACAAATAACATTACCACAGAAAAATACAGATTCAAACATTCCAGGTATCTAATCAAAGTGTGAGTTATTAAAAGGACACATTCTATACAAATAATTAATTAAAAATACACAATTAATTCCATGTTTAACCCCTGAACAATAAAATGTAAATGCAAACCAAGCATACACAAAATAAAACAACCGCTAGCAATGAAAATCCAAATGCAGCATTAGCTGTGATCAAAAGAGACTCTCACTGCACACTGTCAAAATATAGTGGTTAAAGCACCAGTAAGGAGTTATTATATATTTATGAAATAGACCAAAATTCATACTGAGGCCTTTTTATGATATTCAAAAGCAAAAAAAGACCCCAAGTAACAAGTCTGGAAATTAGTATATTGTTGTTTTTAGTGCCTGAAACAGGTGTGAGGGGGTAGGTGTCAGCCAAGAAGGGACAGCCCTGTTCTCACATGAATTATTTACTATGGATGAAACATTTGACCGTGGGAAGTCAGCAGAAAAATGAACAAAGACTGCTTTGTCCACCAAGGATGCCTGTTAACACATCGAAAGTTCCTTACAGGAGCTTTAAGCAGCTTCATTTAATTAATCACTGGAACAACCCCAGACAGGTCCTCAAGCTAGCATCTGCCTGAAGCACACAGCACAGAACAAAAGTAACTCACTTCAAGCCCAGTATGCTAAATTTCAGCTAGGCTAGACATTTCTCTTCTTCACTTTCCTCCTCACTGTCATCATGTGTGACAACACCTCATCAGAAATTAGCACCCTCCTGCTGACATCTGTATCATTTTTGTGTTGCTACTCACATCATCCAGTTTATCTTTGTTGCTATTGTTGATGGGAAGAGAAACACAGTTCATCATTAGTCTTTCACAAGAAGCAGTTGAAATAATGCAGCTTAAGTTATTACCTATATTCAGTCATGCATAGATAGATAGATAGATAGATAGATAGATAGATAGATAGATAGATAGATAGATAGATAGACAGACAGACAGACAGACAGACAGACAGACAGACAGACAGACAGACTTTATTGATCCCAAACTGGGAAATTCACAATTTCTTCCAATAATATGCCTATAAATCTGTCAGAATGCACCACAACTGGGAGAGGTGAACAGTTAATATCATCCACATCATTGTAAGAACACTATCATATTCAGTCTTAGGTGTTTTTTAGGACAAAATGTAAGCTACATTGATGCCTCTATATGTAGACTTATGCACAGTTTCATAAATATTTACATCTCAATATAACCGCAGAGTCGAGGAGCTCATGACCTGGCTGGCCCCTCCTTCTCATCACTGTAAGAAAATTAAGATACTCTCTTACCACGGTATTATTTCTTGTACTTTTTTCTTTTTCTTAACTTAAGCACAGAATTAGGGCAGTTCTGAGGCCATCTTTATAGCCGTGTACTTCAAACACTGCAGTTTGTTTGATGTGGTATTTATTTTAATGGAGAGGGATCTTCCTGTTCCCCGGGCCCTGACTAACATCTGATCATTACTATGAGACCGTAGAGACATTTAGCATTTTACTAACTCAGCATATTGCACTGCCTGTTCCTCCAGACACCATTAGGGATTGTCAACACAGTTCTTGTCAGCAATATGTAAAATCTATGAACTCTGTATGTACTGTAAATGGGGCAGTGCTTTTCTTGGATAATGTCTGAGTTATTCTCTGGTCTACAGAGGGCAGACTCTGCAGTCTCCTGTTACTAATTGGAAATATCTTGCATGTGCTTAAACCTGGTGTGGTAGCCTGGTAACATGTGTCCAGACACTGTTAAATACTTTTTAATGATGCAGTCATTTTAATAGGCCTCCATGGGCCATGACATAAGTGGAAGTATTCTCACTGATGTTAAAAGTGCAGGGCACCCAGCAGACATGGATTAATAGAGATACTGAAGTGATGCAGCCGCTCAGTTTCCACTCCTGCGTCTGCTTCTAAAGCCCTGAAATCATACTTGCTTTGCTCTTTCTTCATCCCTCACTCTGACCCTGAAATTTCTCCCTCTTTCATCCTTTAATAGTCCCTTGATCCCAGGCCTAATATTCAGAGCTGCATCTCTGTAAATGTTGACAGTGAGCCGGCCATGAGTGATGTTTTTCAGCCCTGTGGCCAGGAGAGGGGGCCATAGGAGAGGGTTGGAGGACATTCTGACCTTAGAGCTCCACTGCAAACTGTTATGAAGAGGAGGTTCAAATTCTTACACTGTGTTGTGTTAAAAACAGCGACAGAGTAAACATTAACCCTCATTGTATAGTTGCTAAGTGACTCAAAAGTTAGCTGTTGTAGGGCCAAATTTGATAACGGGATTTGCCAGGCTGCCAGACATTTACTCTTCATATTTTTAAATGGTGAAGCCAGGAATTTATAATGTGGTTATCATTTTTTAGCTCAAAACAAATATGCTGTTGACAGCAACTCAAGGTTGTCTTTCACTTTAAACTTTTGTAAAACTCTCCTGATACATCTCTGTTTAAAAGGAGCATTTAAGAATAAAAGATTCAGCCCTTCGCTGCCATTTGAACAGGTCTGTCTTAGCTGAAGAGTGTCTAATAGCTGAGGTGTGTATACTATACTTTGTAAAATTAGCAAATTTGAATAAACAAAGATAAAACCTTAGTTGCTGCTATTGAATATTTTGTCTTGATGCTTTTCTTTGAAGGCCTTTTTTGCCCCCAGCTCTCCCTGAGTTGTTTTTTATTTATGTTTAATTCAGTGTTGTGTAGTTGAGTCAATTTACACAGGAAGAAAGAGTGTACCAGAGCGAATGTTTGCGGCTCTGTTTACATCAGTGACCGTATTTTATGGCTTGTTGGGCTTTTAGGCAGAGGAATGCGTAAACAATCAGGAGGACTCCCCCTCTCGACATGAGGCTATGAATGAAGGGTAGACCATTTCAAATTCAAAGCACCCCTCTTCGATGCCTTTTGGTGTCTGTCTCTGCCACAATATGAATATGCACAACACTTCAGTGAAGACCTAGTATAATAGCAGTAATAACACAGAGAAATGTCTGTGCTCTGCGCTGGCAGCAAGTTATTCTATCATTCTCTCTTAATAAGTGATCTGTACTGAGTGTGTACAGTCCTAATGAGGCTCATATCAAAGGTTATTAGCCCCCAAAGTAGGGGAATGGCCTCTCCTACAGCTATATACAGCTTTTATGTTCCGCTAATATGATTTGTCCTCTACCTGCCTGTCTTACCCAATGTGACATGGGGACAGTGACGAGGCTGAATTATTTATCTGCAGCAGCTGGGCCTGAGACAGCAGCACGCTCTCTCAGCCCTGGTGTGGACTTACTCAGGCTGCAGAGTCAGGAATTTTAGAAGAAGGTGTCCAATCATGCAAACATGCCTACAGACTTGTTGATTCTTAACTCATATCAATCCTCCTGAATCTTGTCTTTGTTCTAGTTCCATAACTTACTCTCGAACATCATGCATCCTGCTGCATCACTATTCTTTATCCATCAAAATATACACAGTATTAGTCTATTCCAGCTCCTAATGCCGTATTTAGAGATTGTAGTTTTTGCACACCTCAGGTCAAAAAAGACTAAAATGTAGGGACATAATATTCAGCACTTGTGCTTTTTGATGTTTAAGACTTTATCCAGCCTCTGGGTCATCAGACTAAGCATACTGACCAGACTAACACGTCAGTGGAAAGGCTTATGTCAGCGTTGTTGGTCGGAAGGTGGATTTGTGTAGAGGATATCATAAGGGCAGGTAGTGGATAAGTTTGCAAAGTGACAGAGATTCAGATTACAGTTCAAAATTTGCCATTAGCTGTCAAAATTCTTGGTCTTCTACCCCAGAAAAGTGTTATAAATTCAGTCATTTTGTCCTTAGTCATTTTGTCCTTAGTCACTCAAATTTGCACTTTGACACTCGCTGTTTGTCGTTGAGTGCAAATACTAGCTATGGATACAGCTGCCTTGCATTTCTTCAATAGGCTAGATGTTTCTTGGTAGTTTTTGTGTTAAAACTTGAATACTTTTTTTCCTCCTCTCAGAATAGTTGCAGCAAAAGTTTCAAAAATGTCCATTGCACTAGGATGAAAAACATACACACTATCACTGTCCTTAATACTCTCTTATTAGCTTGTTGCAGCTTCACTTCTCTGTATGTAATGGTTTAAAGACTGCCCAATATTGTGTTTTAATGCACAGCTTGTTAGTGAGTAAACAAAAGCAACTATTTCAAGAAATAAATTTGCATATTTTATATTATTAATTCTAATTATAAAATCCCTATTGATGATTTATTGAACTGATCCTCTCTGTAATAGGGGTGTCCCGATACAATATTGATATTGGATAATGGTCCGATATCAATAACGAATATCGGATTACATCGGCCTGCATCTAAAATCTCCGATATCAGCACTCCGATACAAGCAGTCCATTCCAGACTCCACTCCGGCACCTCTATCTAGCAGTGCCCTGATCCAGCAAGCTGAGCCCACAACATCACAACTACAGTGTGTACTAAGGTACTAACAAAGAAGCAAGGAGTAGGAGTGATATCGGCCTTGTGGCAGTATTTTTGTTTAAGTCTGAAAAAGACATTGCAGCTGAGTGAAAAACTTGTCATGCATAATTTTATGCCAATATCGGATCAATATTGGTATCGGTCAATATTGAAGGCTACAATATTGGTATCATACCAGAAGTCAAAAAGTTGTATCGGGACACCCCTACTCTGTTCTATTAACAGAACAGTGTTTTACAAAAATAGAACAGGAAACCCAAACACAGCTGAGGCTCATAAATGTGGGTCATAAATATTGACATTTTAAATAAAGGTTTTAAAAAGATGAGAACAAAAGGAGCAGAGGTATACTTACATATATCCAATAACTTAAGAAATTCCATACATTTGTGATTCGACCTCGATAAGTACACAGAAATTAAAGGTTTAAGCAGAAATTTAAACAAAAAATAGATCTTTTATATTTGTAACCATGCTGTTGGCTTCACAGTACGTGTTCCTGAATCTGCTCCTGACTTATTGATTAAGGTTTCCTCATGTATCACACCCACTGCCTGTTAGATTTGTAAAACGTAGACCACGCTTTGCCCATGGTACTTTAGAGTCTCTGTGTGCTCAAATGTGTCTAAAACTCTTTAAACAACTGTAGCTAAAGCCACGGAGGAGTCCTGTTGTGTGGGTGTGTTTATTCATGTGTGGACTGGACGGGGTGTTAGAGGCTCGGGCTAAAGCTCCAGCGGCTGGTGATGACATTTGATAGATGGTGTGAACTTTGGGGAAGAGGGGGATAGTTCAGCAGGAGGAGAGGGGGACAAACACAGGCATGCACATACACACACATTCACAATCCTGGCTGCATCTGGACTGATTGTGTATGCATGAAGAAGCAAGGAGAGAGAGAAAGAGAGAGAGAAGGGGAGGAGAAAACTGAGGGAAAAGCTCTACAGGGTGGCGTGAGGCAGAGGAAGCAAGAGCAGCTGAGGGGAGAGGAGAAGGAGGCTGAACTTATGGGACAGACACTTGTAGGGTGATGTGTCAGTGAAAAAAGGGAGAGCGAAGGAGAATACTTTCAGAATTCAGTGAAAGATTTCCAAAAAGAGGCAGGGAGCGTGCTTAAAAAAGAAAAAACAGAAATATTTGCTGGCAACGCATCTCTAGGCACAAGCCCTACTTCTTAGAGTGAGTTTCGATTTCAACATTAACAACCAACTAGGAGGCTGAATGAGTGAGGAAGGAGCACCATACACTCTCAGCCTTGCACATGCTGAGACACAAACACACACCTCGGCCAACAGCAGTAGCAGCAGCAGCACACACACAGGAGGACCAATGCAGCTCCAAGCTTCTGCAGACACAGAGGAGAGGAAGGTGAGTGCCTCTATGCCTGGAGATTTTTAGAGCTGCTTTTTTGTATTTCCTCCAAGTGTGTCTCTTCCATCTGGGCACAACTAAAAAGTGCTGTAGACTTTAGAGCTTCAAAGCCTTTTGTGAAAATCTGGAGCGGTGCAGACTTCACCATGACTGCCAGAGAGGTCCCACAGAGAGATGTGTGCATTCCTCGCAGCTGGAATTGAACGCTACCAAATATTTTGTTGCCGGAAAATGATCAAACATGTTGAAAGATGAGACAAAAACGAGATGAAAGAGGGAAAGACAAAGAGAAAGGAAAGGGAGAGAAGAGGATGAGAGTGGGATAAGGTGCATGCAGTTGCAGAGATGCTTGGGGGCTCTCCGCTCAGTGTTCACAAAGAGCAGAGTGGGTTGTAGCATCTCCAGGCACTGTGGAGCTCTGATGACCAGAGTGATGCAAAAATCAGAGCTCCTTCTATACTGGAAAAACAAAACCAACTCACTTACATACATTTATTAAAGTGACAATCAAGTGAATAATTCATCATTCAGATACAAACAACTAAATATTCTTCTATTAATGCATGAAAAAAAGAGCAGTCAGTTCGTGTCAGTCTGCATAGGTTTTGGAAAATCCCTCCACAATTACATCACAAAGCTCTGCTCCTATTTCATGACATATTTTGCGAAGCATTTGGGTAAGAGGCCATGTAAGCTGCTGTCCAAAAACGCTTGCTGGCAGCTGTTCGGTGTTTTTAACAGCTGAATCAACTGGATGGATCATAACTGACCCACACCCTGTCCTGCAGCGACGAACTGGGCTGAAAAACCCATGAATCATCATGTACAGTTACTCCACTGAGTCTGTCCAGTCCTTATTCAACTTTGCAGAGAGGGGGTCACTCTTCGGACATCCACACAGAATTGTAAAAAGTGTGACTAGAGTTGGGGTAAAATAGGGCAAGAGTTACTCATCAGGATGAAAAAGTGAAGTGTTTTGATGAAACTGTTGAAACTGAAACTGTTTCTGTGGTTCCTCAGACACATGCAGTCAAAGTCCTAATTTAGAGAAACGGCACCAGCAGACACCACATGAGTCTGTTTCTTGGGAGAGAGGAGGACGTATCCATGGAACGTGGAGTATGGGAAAGAGAGCCAAATTAGATAAGAGTGTGCATTGTGAAAGTCTAGCCTGGGCCCCCTCTCTCTTTCTCTGAACTTTCTGGGCTCTTTCCCATTTTTCCTCCTTTTCTCTTTCTATCTCCCCCCATCCATCTCCTTCCTCTCCTGATCTCTTGCTCCTCTGTTCCCCCAGATGGTGTGTTTCTGGACGCTCCTGTCACCTAAGCTAAATGTTTCAGGCTTCCTCCTCGTTTTTTTCTTCTTCTCTCTCTCGCTCTGTTTACGCTGTTTCTCCGGGGTTGCCGGGTTACGAGCACCATGCAGAAATTCGCATTGTGAGTGCTTGAGTTATGAGAATATTTATTCTTGCCCTTCTTTTCTCTCCTGTCTTTGCTAAGCCAAAGTCTTCTGGAGCCATTTGTGTGTCTCATGAGACTAAACTCAGGGTGCTAGATAGCACAAAGAAAGAACTGGTGATTAGCAAGATTAACTGTAAAGCTCAGCCAAATTGTGTCATTTAGTGTCGAGCCCTGCAAAGTGGCGGACTTGCAAGGACTTGGAGGACTCTCTGGAACTTTCTCTAAATTCAGAGCGCATATCATATCATTGTAGTCTTCAGGCCAAGGCTTTTGAATGTCTTCATTCCTACTTGGCCTCATCATCTTATAAATTTCGCCTGCTTTAGCTCTAGCCACAGTGCCAGACGTTTGTCTGTGCTGCATATTCCCCTCCAGCCTATGAGTCCAGAATAATGCTAAGGTCAATTAACAATAATCGCTTTATAAATTCAGCTTCAAACAGAGATAAATAATTGGAATGGAGCTCTTTTAGACCAGCATAGGCAGGGTCTTTTGTGTCTGAGACAGAGTTTAAGTGAGCGGCTTAGTCAATGACACATTGGAGACCTGCTAAAGCTAGTCAGTTAAATTTGTACGAGGTGCTTATCACCACGTGGATGATGGACGTCCCAGCTGAAACAATTAGCAACGGGACAGCCTGAAGCAAGAACCTGGTTTAGGATCGGGAGCATGAGCTTGGGTAGCGCGCAACAGGTGCTTCAAGTTAGTGACAGTTAGTAAACATACTTAAGCCAATGTTTGCGGGATATAAACACAGACATACAGTCGGCACAGCTGTAAAATCTGCTCTTTATGTGCCCATTTTGGCTTTAACAGCTGGTAACTTGAGTAGAAAAAACATGATCCTTTCTCCTCTCCCCTGGCCTCCTACATCAATCCACAACAGTCAGCTTAGCACATTCACTCCTGACTGCATTTTGATGGACCGGCCAGTTGACTCACAGCACCAGGACATCTGGAGAGCAGAGCTGTATAGTAGTTGTTTCGAAGTACAAATTATAGCTCACAGATTTCTGCTATTGTCTTTCTCTCTTTGTCTTATCCTCCATCAGATGGACCCCGTGCAGAAGGCTGTGATCAACCACACCTTTGGTGTTCCACTAGTCAAGACCAAGAGGCCCGTCATCTCCTGTAACGTCTGCCAGATCCGCTTCAACTCAGAGGTACAGCAGACAGATAAACATCAACACACACACACTTAACACGTTCCATCTTTCTTTCATGAAGTCTCATGCTTTATCATTCATTCTGCATCCCAGTGTTTACGCACAAACACCTCAGCCTTGTACACAGATTCCTCAGGAATGTAGATCTGAGTTGACCCAGAGGATGTGGTGCATTTGTTTGGACTGAGTTTTGGCAGTTATGACCCCTCTGGAATTTGATTTGTTTCCTTCAGAGAGCAGACTTTAACAAAGAAACTCCACTGCAGCAAAAAGTCTCCAAAGCTCCTGCAGAACCCCAAGCAGAAAATAGGATTTTTTTTTATCCCAGAGGTTTTTTCCCCCCTCCTGTGACCCATAAACTGTGACAAATCTTGATGAAAATCTTCATAACAAGTCAAGTTAACTTTACATAAGAATGCAGCGAAATAGATATCAGTTTATAATTATGGCAAGTTGTTTTTATGTGTGTTTCCATAATTAAATCACTTGATTTTTATAGCAGTTTCATCAATGTGTCCATATGGTGCAGCTTAGTATCAACTCTGGTAATGAGAGTATAATGACATATTATACCCATGAGCAATTGGCACACATGACTGATGACAAATGAACAGGAATAAAAAATCATATGGAAGTATTTTACATTCAGCGCTGAAGCTCGTTTTCAGAGTTTTCTCCTGACTGCAGACTAAAAGGACAGACACATGACAACGTCAGCGCCAAGTGTCATGTGTGCAGTGTATAATTTGGCTGTGACTCTCCCTACTCAGTGGTGCAGACTCTAGGGCCAGGGCGTGCATCCATCCACAGTACACAACATTAAGGAGGGGACCGGTGCTATATATACTTCTCAGGTCTACAATCATGGTTTCCATGTGGTCTGGGAGTGGCAGGGCTGTAATCTTAAGCCGCCACAGTGCAGCGTTGTCTGCTGTAAATCTCTGAAGGCACAGGAAACAGTTACACGAAGATGTTTATATGATGAAATACTAGAAACCAGAGATTGTGATCAAATAGAGTCAGGTAGGACTTGTCCTTTTGGGTAAAGGTGGGATAAATAAAGCTCAGACAAATTTAGAGTCTAAATATTAAGCACAATTATGCAGATGTTCTTTGAGTTATAACAGTTGAATGGTAAAGACCCAGAAAAGAGTAACACAAGAAGCAGGTTATTCTGTCAATTAGAGCGGCCCCAAAGCCGGCCATAGATGTAAAATATCACAATAACAACATGAACACACTATTCATGAACAATTTTGAAGTAAATTTGAAGTAAAAAAAATTAGAAAAAGGAGACACAAGGTTTAAGCAACTAATCACATATGTTCATAAATATGACATGACCATAAATTTTACTAATAAACACTGTTAACTGACTTTTATCTTGCATTTCTATTCATTTTCAAACTCATGATTTATCCTCATCATTGGTTGTGAGTCTGAGACTTCTTTAGAGCGAATATAGCCTCATAAACAATTGTTGGACATTTTTTTAATTATGCTTTTTCTGAAGTTTAAACTACTTCTGGTATAGATCTTGAGTTTTAGAACTGAATGAAAACCATTACAATAGTGGTAAGAAAGTATAAATTAGCTACCTGAGGACACACAAGCTTTAATGTTGCATTTGGATTGACAAAAAAATCAAAAAGTTTCAGATTTTAGAAGTGCTTAATAAACCCTTAGAGTGCTGCTTAAGCTAGTCCACAGTCAGTCTGCTGCCTCTTCTTCTTCTGTCCAAATTTTATCACAATATTAATAATTACTATTCTAACATAGGCGGTTTCAATCAATACCGGTGTATTGCAACAGCCTTTCTTTCAGTTCTGTGCTGCATTTTTATATCATATCAATCCTGAAATGTAACCACATGTGATACTGTTTGTCATCATGCAAAATGTAAGATTTTGAGTGCCACGCATGTACATATCTGAGAGTGGTATCCAAATGAATAGTATGCTCCTGTGATTTAACTATAACTCATATTGCTAGTTCAGTTTCAGTTTCTTTTATTAACAAGGAAAATTAATGAGAACCTCGTAAGGAGCTGGGCCGTCAGCATGAAATATTTCATGATAAACAAACAAAAAAGCCAAGCTACACTTGAATTAGCCAACTAATGTCAAAGCAAATAATATGTTTCAGATGAAACTGATGTCATGTATTTGTGTGTATATTTGAGAGGTAACAATAGGTGTTATTTGCAGCAGCCCTGGCATGTCCTATCCCCTAATTCATACATATGTACGCTCTAACGTCAATGTGACTTTCCCGTCCAGTATACACCAGAAAAAGCACATGCTGCAGTTTATCATCAATGTCATCCCTGCAGCAGGCTGTGTACTTTATGCTGTCCCACTGAGCTCAGCTGAAGATTAACGGTCGCCTATACGCCCATAGAATGACTCCCCTCCCACAATGCTCTTCCTTCACATAATACTGAGTCAGGATGCATATTTCATCCAGGGAAAATACTACAGCAGGAAGCGCTTCCAAGAACACGGCGCTGCGTTTCCCACCTCCTCTGATCAGTGAGAGGCTCTGTCCACATGTGCCTCCTGTGGGCCAATTACGTTGCTTTAGGTCAAAACAGTAACTGCTAGCTTAGCATGTATACTGTCATGATCAATGTATTTGTCTTCAAGGATCCAGCAGCTCTTACCCTGTGCTCTCCTCATTTCACGCATCATTTTGCCATCATTCATTCGTCTCATTTGATCTTTTCTATCTGTGCCTTGCTCTCTCTCTTTCTCTCTCTCTCTCTCTCTCTCTCTCTCTCTCTCTCTTTCCCTGTCTCTCGCTCAGCAACCTCCCCCTGCCCTGTTCCACCCGTCTCCCTCTCTGGTGCTGCATTATTTACAGTGTGGAAATGCCTAAAATTGCCTGCCACTACTTATTATAAGATGCATTCGTCAAGGGCATGGATTAGTGTCTGGGCTCTGACAGCCCCAGTGCATCTTGGGAATGTAGGAGAGACGGAGGAGACTTTGAGGGGAAGGAGAAGAGAGGAGGAAAGGATAAAGGAGGGGGTTTATGTGCCCCTGCTATGCCTGCGTTGTACGCTGGTGTGAGGTGTTAAACAGCTATGCAGAATAACCTTGGTGGCGTGCTGCATTAGTGACATCACAGACTCCGTCGCTCTGCATTGACCAACGTCACAGCTGCTGCAGCAAGATCGGCAGATATGCATCCCTCGCTCTCCTCCTCTTCCAACCTACTTCACTGCTTCTCTTTACTTCTTTTCACTCCCCACTCTCTTTTCCATTTCCTGCTGTTTTATAATCCCAGTCTATTTGTCATATTCTGACTTTCTAAACTACATAGCTTTTTTTCCTCACACTCTTTTTATCTCCCCCGGCAGCTGTAGGAGCACAGTAACATCAGCTTTCCTCCTTTTAAAAATGTCTTGCTGGAAAGCACTTGTTCAGTTTGAACCCTCTGCATAATGAAACACAGGCGTCACTGGCTGATGTGGTGTAGCTTCTTCTCTCTCTTTGAGATTTTTGCCTCTTTCATATCATTCCTGATGTCAGTCCAGCTTTTTACATCACCTCTTTTCGTCTTCTCTTCCCCGGCCTCATTTTTTCCTTTTCATCCTCCCTTTATTCTCTCCCCTCTCTCCATGCAGGACCTCACATTGATCCTCAGCTGCTTGACAGTTGATCTCCTTGACTTGGTCGGAGAGGTTAATGGAGCCTCTGTGGCAGCTCTGCCATGTGCCACCTTATACCTTTCTATCTCCCTTCATTCCTGCTTTCATCTGAGAGATCAGTCCCCCTCCCCCTTTGGCGCCCACATCTCCCTCTTCACCTTTATCTTGCTGGCTTTGCTGTAGCAGCTTCTTAAGACCCATCTGACAGGGTCCAGTTTGTCTGCTTTATCTGGTTCTCAGTTACTCATCATGATTTAAACGAACACATGGTCTCCTTAATCACCAAAGCAAAGGCTTTATGATGCCAACTCGCACCCTGTAAGCCTCATCATATGGCAAAACATAAACAAACCGACTTAAAAACGTCACTCATCACTCCCTGCCCCCTATGCCAAGCCGGTCTGTCCCCACCCTTGAGTTTGTGGTCAGTCTGATGTCCTAAGTGTCACTCAAATGTGCCCAGCCTTTCAGCACCTATAACAGCTGTCAGCCACTCTTCAAGTTTGTGTCTCTCCCTGGCAACTAACAGTAATCCTGCCACTTAATAATCATCATCAGTGGCCCCTTGGTACCAACAATTTTTGGCCAGCACGGCACATGGTGAGGAACATCTGCTCCATCTACTTGCAGAAGTAGCGGGGAGTGATCTCACTCAAGTGTGCTACTGACATAATGTGTCTGTATCAGCAAGACGCCTGGATGTATTTTTAATCTGGAGACAGTTGAACCATAATAAAGGAACAATAAAGAACCTGCAAACAGATGGCAAATAGGGTTACATGAATACCCTTTGCCCACCTGGCTGTACGTCTTTGATCACACTGTGAGAGCTAGACAACTGTCCACAGCTCAGTATAACAACCCTTCATTCCATTTGCCATGATGTCCCAGATTCACATATCTCTGTGCAGCCCAACAAACACACAAACACATGGTGAAGACAGCCTTCCCTAGTTTCACAGTAGCCTGCTGAGGAATGACTCACCTCTGTTTACTCTCTGAGCAAACACACTAGCTAGTAGCTGCACGTTCATACAGGAGATTAGTCGTACAGGCTTCTGTCATAGATCTCTGCACTGCTTTTCTTTCTTTGCCGGAGTGCAGGATGATGTGTTGTACCCGCATCGCCCATTTTTAGCTCTTTATGAGATTACTTTCCTGCCTGCGAGCATGTATATTTAGATTTCGACCAATCCACAAGCAAGCAATTAAGTCTGGGCTTGTGCAAGAGCCTGACCCTTCTCAGTGAGCAGCTGAAGGCGACCACATTATTTATGTTGTAGGCTCCCATTTACGCCAGCCTCTCATTGATAATATGGAGTGTAATGTGACATGCGTGCATGTTGTAGTGGGGAGGTTGGTGTCTTTGTGGGACTTATGGGCCCTGTGGAGCGATAGTGTGGCATCCTGCTGACCCAGAGTTCAACTCCCCCTGGCATGTCTGTCAGCATGGCCGTACTGATGAAAGCTGGAGCCAAGTACTGTCAGGGCCTGTGTCCAGGTTTAGACTGCAGAGTGGATGTCAAAGTTATGTCCACTACAGATAAATAGGTGATCCAAAAGCACATGTTCTGTTTGTCTGGATCTAATAAATGAGAATTTATTGTTGACTTCAAAAACCGATAAAGAGGACGATGGGACATATGAGACAAACAGATCTGCCTGCAGTCTGTGTCTCCAGTCCCCTGAGTATGTTAAATAAATTGAATAACATGATATCACAGTGACATGCATGCAAATGTGTGGGTGTAAGAGTAAGAGTAAACCAGTCTGCAATGTTTTATTTACTAGCCAGCGTTGGAGTTTTATTACAACATTAACATTTTTGTGTGTGTGTATGTGTTTGTCTTCTTCTTTTAGAGCCAGGCAGAAGCCCATTATAAAGGAAACCGTCATGCCAGGAGAGTCAAAGGCATTGAGACGTCAAAGAGTCGTCCTCAAGAAGGGGACAAGTCTCAAACTGTGCCCCCCACCTCCTCCCCATCTCCGCCTGGAGCACCTGGCACCAGCCCAGACTGCGAAGCGAGCAAAGCCGGTGAGAAAGCAAAAAAAAATAAAAAATTTAGACAAATGGGGGGAAAAAAAAGACAAAATCAGGACAAGATGAAAACAAAGTGTGCTTGTGCGAGTTTGATTGTAGAAATAATGTTTTTTAATCTGTGCGGGAAGTGCAGAAGTTTATCGTTTTGCTGGAAAATTAGATGGAAAATATACAAGACTGACAAAAGCATCTATCACAGTGGCTTTTTACAGAGTTGTTTTTCTTGGGAGCATCTCAGCTCTCTGTGAGGTCTGATGTGGTTCCATCAAATCAACAAACTCCCACAAACCAACAGAAACTATTTGCATTTAAACAGCAATGCAAAAAGTTTTCACATATATGAGTTTATTTAAATTCACACATATGACCTCAGATCACTGAGGAGGAACTTTAGAAGTGGGACACAGATGAAGCATTTTGTTATTTCTATTTTACTGCCTGGGACTCGTGAAATTGCAAAGATAAATTAGATTATGCCTTCAAAGGAGTGGGTCCAAGTCCGTCTGAATTTAGCTTTGGTTCAGTTCTGGCAGATGGTTGATGAAAACAGATGATGATCACTTAAGTGAAGGGAGGCAGATTTATAGGAAAACTTTGCTAAAGCACATCAGTCCGACTCCATTTTCCAGTCAGGTTGAAAAGTTAAAATTGACATCCTGGCGCAAACGAAACCAAATCCAAAATATTCAGTAAGTATCTATGGCATCTTCTGTTGACTGATTTCATTACAATTAAAAGTTTCTTCCAAGATTCCACACTGGAAAGCCAACCTAAAATTAATTGTGTAAAGTTTAATTAAATTAGTATACATTGTAAGAGAAACTTCTTGCGTTAACTGACCAAAATGGAAAGAAAACAATTGGCAACCTGCTCGCTGAGTGACAAGCTAATCAAAGTAGATGTACCACACAAGCCTCTGTATTAGTACAGGCCAACCACTGAGATGCATTATTTGGCTGAGCAATACCACACAGTTCACCAATCACTTTAGATCATGTGCAGATGAGCTGGCAAACTGCACACGTAGCAAGGCCTGGTAGTAGATACTTGGCACCTTTCAAAGGAATCCCACTATTGTCTGCTTCAGTTTGTCTTCATGTTGGCATACTCCTCTGTGAGATTTGAAAAACTATATTGACATACTCTAATGATGTGATTGAAATGCATGTTATTAAATGTGCAACTCATGCTCAAGTAATTCCTTCAGTTGTGACTTGCTGGTCGCTCTGACTTGAGTGAAATACTTCATGTGAAAGCCAATTCATTCAAAGTTAGAGGCTGCTGTGAAAACAATGCCACACAACTCCTGCTTCTAAGCAGCTGCTGGCCAGCTGTAGCTAGCCTGAGGCACACACAGTAATGCTTACTAATAATATTATACAGCTTGTTCAGATAGTACTCTTTTTATTGTTTTCATCATTTTCCCTTTGTAACACAATGCTAGTGTTATGCACACAGAATGATGACACTGTGTTTTTTTTATTTTTAGCCTCTGCAACTGCAAATATAACAGGAAGACAATCATGTGTGAATGTTAGCTTCTTGTGCTGCTATGTTGACTGCCTTCATCTGCTAAACCCGAGTTCACAGGAAACGTATCCTCAAAAATAACACGACTGAGCTACCATAGTCTCAAAACGACTTTACTTCTTTGTGGCAGTCATGATATTTTGAGAGGAGTCTGGCTGCAGACCTTCACTGAGAGGACCTGAGGTGACATGTTTTTTCTCATGCGCTCCAGTTTGTTTGAAGTGGTCATCCCGTTTTGTATTTTGTCTTTATTGAGCACATAAATACACAAAAATCATATAAACATTACATGTATATAATAAAGTCCCAAGAAAAATTATATTCACTTGAGACAAGTTCAAATCAACTTCGGACGTGAAAAAAGAAACATACTCCCGGTATATATGCTTTTATTTTGAAAGGCTTCAAACAACTTCCAGTCCTTTCAGGGGAGGTCTGCAGCTAGACTGTCTTGGATATTTTACTGCTTTCTCTGGACATAAAGCTGCGGCTGGTTTAACCAACAATCCTTATCAAATACTTTAATGCACCTGGCTCTTGCAAATCTACAGGAGACAGTCTCCAGTAGGCCTACAGATTGCTTTATGACTGGGTTTACTTTCTGCCTAAATTTCAGTACAGCTTCTAGTCAACAACATATCAATGCTGCTATTGACTCCAACTGGTGAAAATTAACACAGCTCTGCTTCTTCTCAAGTGATGTACCCATTTTAACAATGACACAAGCGTCTTAACACATAACCAGAGAAATATTAATGAGGAAACTAATGTTATAACAATGACTAGGGTGCCACATTAGCAGCCAGAGTTAGCTGTCCACATCAGTTGTCTTCCTCATCTTTTATTTGAGGCAACACCACATTAGCATTCAGCCACTAAGCAGCCAGTGACATTCATCAACAACAGCATCCACTTTCTCAGTGAGGACAAAACAAACAAGACCTAATCAGCTGATTAGTGCAAAGTCAAAAAATAAAAACAACAATGCAAAATTTCTGGAGGGAGGCGGGGCTTGGGGTTGTGTTTTGTTCAAGGACGACTTAAGACTGTAGACCTCAGAGTGCTTTTATTTAGAGAGAGATGAAATCTGACGCCATTGCAGATCAGTCCAACCAGAATCTAAGTCAACATGTGAGAGGTCAGATACGACAGCTTATCTGATTCTCGTGACAAGTAATCAGCTATCCCAAATGAATTTGTTAATTGGATGCAGGGCATTGTTAAGGCATTGCAGGTTCTTTCTTTAGCAGTGTGTCTATAATAGTCTAGCCTGTCTCTGTTTTATTCCTCCCTCCACGTCTTGCTCATCTTCCTATTTCAGGCTTTAATTCAAAGACTGTGCAGCCTCTGTGCCTCTGCCCTTCTACTTACCCCACCCAACATTTTCCATTCCCTCAGTGTCACCACTCTGTCCTTGGATTGCACATGAGGCACTGAATAGACCAGCCATGTTTTGTTGACATTTACAAGATTTTCTGTAGCTGACTGTTTACCAGACATTTCATCTCTTATTGGCAGGAGGTCACAGAGCAAACATGATGAATAAAAAGATGAAACTCTTAAAAAGGCCAAAAGGCAGCAACAGAGCAGAGGCCTTATTGCTCCTGTGTCTTTGCTTCTATCTGCGATGTATAAACACTAAAGCTGTTCTCTATGCTGAGAGTCTAAGAGAGACAGGCTTTTTCACTTTCTTTCACTCCTTGGGGATCTGGATCAGCCCCCAGGTCCACAGTCATCAGTGAGTCCTCATTCAAGAGCATGAGGAGCCCTCAGTGATCGAGATCTGAAAGTAGCAACATGTGAAAGAATGCCTTTTTCCGTCCAAGTCTCTGTCTCGTGACCCTGGATCCATGTCTCTTTCTAGCCTGCCTGCATGCTTGCTTGCTTTCTTGCCCTCAGTATGATCTTGTCCCTCTTCTCCATGGTGAATGGGGGACAGATCTCTGGGAGAAGGCAGCTGTGTCTTTACTGGGAAAGCAGTGTCTGGAAACTGGATGTTGTGGTCTGGGTCTCTGGAGAGTGGCCTGGGTCAATCGGACAAAACAAGAGATTTACACATAATTCATGCACACATGTGTACACACACATATAAACAAACAGATCAGACCAATGCAAGCACGCACATGGAGGGACGAGGAGGATATTTCCCACAGTGCACTTCCTCTACAGCACAGAGCAGCATTTGTTGTAGAGTATTTTTTTCTGCTTGTTGATCCGGGATTATACATTCTCATGAGACATTCTGATTTACAGTCTGATACAGTTAAAGTCCAGTCTTGTCTCTCTGGCTTCTCTGGTACTTTGCATACCAAATGCAGTCAACAGTGATGTCCATAAACAAAGCACATCAGGACCTTGCTGAGGGCTCAAACAGCAAAGAGGTCAGTGCTGTCGTTCACTTTGACTGCTGTTAGTTTCTTAACCTTTCGGCTATCAGAGCAGGTCACATGTTTTTATAGTCCTCAAAGGGTTTGCGGTCAGAGTTGCCCTCAAAGAGGAGGCCCCTGGCTTAGAGGGATTTGGCCCGGTGAGCTGAGGGTTTGGCAGGGCCTTTGGGTGATGGAGAGGCAGCTGTTTACTTGGAGAGAAGCTCTGCTGCCCCCCTCCCCCCTTTGCTTTATCCCTCTGCTGTCTGACACTCCTACACTAATGAAGGGCCCGGTTAAAACCACCCTGATATTATAGCACTCTTTTATCCAAACAAACACACACATACATATACACACACACACACACAGAGCCAAGGTCAATTAAACAGATGACTTTCATGTGAGTGCTAGAGTTGCATGGCTATGAGGTGACCGTAGTATCGAGTTTCACAAAGCAGAGATGGTTTTCATGCTCCGTCTGTAGTAGTTGTTGATTTGAGAGGTTCATTTTTCAGGGAATTCACGTGTTTTGATTTTTATTAAAAGGGCTGTTTGCAGAAATATCCCAGAAACAATCAGCATAAGTAGGCATGTCTAATAAAACTAATGTGTGTACGACTTTCAAACTGCTTTTGGGTGTGTGCTCGGATGCAGGCCAGACTGGGAAAAATGCACCAAACTGCATTATGAATGAGGCTCAGCCACCAAAGCCAGCGTTGGGTTTCTAAGCTTGTTAATCATTAAAAATGGTAAGAAGTGGGGGCTGGGTGCACTTTTGGTAAGCGAAGACCTCATACTGAAGTTACTGATCCCTCACACTATCACACACATGGCCACGTACAAACCCACACAGTCAGTAGGTCAGGCTTGTGTCAAACAAGCAAGACTCCATCACATGTTTCCTTTGGTTTAAATTGCATAGTTTGATATAAAGAAACAAACACCACTCTTGACTGCATAATGTTCCCCCTACACACAAGATTGATTATAGCAAGAGCTCGGTTGTTATGTTTTAAAGACCACACTGAAATCTGACATGAAAAAGATCACCCACTGTTTGACTCCAGATTTCTTGGGTTAACTTCTTTTGGGTTTGCAACGTCTAAGGAAGAGTCCACAGAGTTTAACCATAGACTGTTTATAGAATGGACAGAGTCTGCCTCCTCGCTGGGTGAAGACATCGCAAGAACAGCACCCTCTGGTGACGGGCATCAGTATAGGTCATAAATCCTGCCTCCTCCAGCAATCCCTATGGAGCTGTGGACAAACTTTAGAAATTAATCAGACATAATGTAAATTTTTCTCCCTCCTGGTTGCGATATTGACATGTAGTTACTATAAGCCTGGTTTGTGCTCAAGTCCTCTTTTTTCTGTGCAGCTCCATTTTTAAAAGTTATTAGGGGGTTCATGTTTTCTATGATTGACACTTGATACAGCCTATGGGCATACAGGTATTGTGTAGCTCACCCAGGGGATACGCTGTTTAAGCCGAGCATTATCACAGCAACTCACACGACTCTCCCGCTGAATGCGTTCAATGTTACTGTTCAAGTGGTGGTTCCAGGAAGTGGAGAAAATCCTGGAAAAAACCGAGAGCAATTCGGTTTCAAATTTGTATAATGACGATAGGCGGAACCAAGTTGTCCATAGTATATACAGTCTATGAGTTTGACATGTTGCACCGCCACATTTCAGGATGTAGACTTCAGCTCTGAGAAGTCATTATTTGTTTTTAGAGACTTTAGAGACAAAGACAGCGGGTTCTCTCACTCAATCAGAGGGACAGTGGGACATCTATAAACTCACTGCTGGACACTAACTGCAAAACCGGAAGTTCTTTGGCTGAAATTTGACATCAGCCTGCATCAAATCCCATGGCTTTAAAGACAATACCTCTCTCCATGGACCGCATACTATCCATAACTTTAATTTCCTGAAGTGGATTACAGCAATGTAGACACACAGGGCTATAGTGCACAGCATCTGGTCTGAATTATCTCACTTCTGACCTCTCCCAGCTAATTTTGCCTTTTTCTGTTTAGCTGTGAGGCCAGCTTGGAGGGTGAATGTCAGTTAGCTAGCTTATCAATGTTTAATTAGACTTACAGCATATCCCCCGTGTCTGCAGGATCAAGTGCCTCTGACAGTGGCTTGCTGCTAAAGCAAGAAAAAGTAGTCTCAGCTAGTCCTCCAAGAGAAGAGCTAATCCAAACAGAATCATTCATGCTATTATTCAAAATACGAAATACAAAAGAGAAACTCTTTGCTGCTCAGTAGATTCAAAAATGAGGAGTGGATTGCTGTGGCTGAGGGGGGCCTGAGGGTTTTAGCCTCAAGCTGAACTTGTTATAAGGGGGATGAGCTTATGAGGCATACACTGTGGTATGAGGTGAAACACTGACTGGATGTGATGGTTTGGTATGGCAAACCTCCAGGCCATCATGGATCATGAAATCCCTCATTACTATCTGGCCAACCCTCTCTATTCCTCAGCTCTGGATTTTAACTCAAACCACATGTTATGGACGCTGGATTTTCAGATCATTCCCGGCATTGTGTTTAAGTCATGTGCACTTGTGTGTGCCTGTGTGTGGGCAACATCTAACGATATTACACAAGAAAAAAGATGTTAGCTTTCCTATAATTCTCCCCTCCTGCTGCTGCAGGTAAAAGCTTTGCAATAACCTTAAACAGCTCTGTCAGAAATGCGGCACAGTAAGCACATTACGAGTCACAATTTTCTTCAAATAACACTCACCATCACTCTGCAGTTTAAGCCAGGCCTGGTTTATGGACTCCTGAGTGCCATAAAAAGGAAAGATATTCTTTCTTTCTTTACTTTATAACAAAACATCTGTTTGACAAACGCTCTGAGCAGCCTGCAGCTCTGCAGCTGGAAACTTCCAAAACGGAAAGAAAGGGAATTTTGATCTTGGCCAGCAGAGGAATGGAAAGCACTCACAATGGCATCTTCATAAGAGGTGACGCAATGCAGTGGCCTCTCTTTTGCTCTCCAGTGCTCAAATGATCATAGAGTAACATGATAAGATAAAGTCACAAGATCATTTCTTTACAAATCATGGTTTCACAGTGTGTTTATATAATGTGACAGAGTGACAAAGCCTGAAGGAACCCTTAAAAGGAAATTGAGCACTCAAAGTCAATATTTATTTTCTCTCTAGAAATACTCTCTGTTATCCCTCAAGTACCAGGATCTAGAGAGGCTTTTCTGTTGCCTACCCTTGGCGCTACATCCTAGGGAGTTAGGAGAAAGACCGGCTGGTCCTTGCTGAGTGGGGGAGTTCTGAATACCCCACCCAAAATTAGGAGGTCACTATCAAGCCAACACCCACCGCTTAGTGAATACCGATTGTATTACGTGCTGAGTGGCTGACCAGAAACATATGCTCAGAGATGTATATGTAAACATGTTCAGTGACGGCCAATGAGCACAGAAGAAAAGAGAAAACTTGACTAAGCAAGGGGCACTCTGTTTCAAGCCTCTCCAAAAACAACAGGTGTGTGGGGAACAGTCTAAGCATGCACAGGGAGAGGTTTCTATTTCCTGTTTCTGTCTTTTGAAACGTTTCAATAAGACGAAACCACATCACTAAGAGGCTCGCTTGGAAACTTCAAAACGCTGAGACACATGTTTAACATGTTCCCATCGCCTTACACACATGAGACATACATTGTCCCGCCTTTAATCCACAGCATATGAAACTTAATTAAAAGGGACGCTTTTTAACAGCTCTGGTCTATACAGTAGGAAATAAAAAGCATTTCCGTCTGCAAACGCTTACTGTGGCTTTGTCTGATCTATGCAGCAGATTGTGCCACCAAGAAGCTTAAAATGTGGTGTACTAACAAAAAGTTTATTATATGGGAAGAGAAGTCAAAAGCAAATACACAGCAGCTTTAAATTGTTAAATCTGTTGTATGATTTTCTGACATTCTTCTTTCTTTCTGTCTTTGTCTCTATGTTTCTTTTCTCAGATGAAACACGACCTCTGTCACAGTTAAGCGTGCCCCTGCTGGCCCCGGGGCCCCTCCCCCCTCTTGCAACCCCACCTTCTCCGCCCATGGACTCCCCTGTGCCCTCAGTGTGCCCCCTCCTGCCCACCTCTACCCCTCCTCTGATCCCCCCTTCCTCTTCCTCTTCCTCCTCCTCCTCCCCTCCAGGCTGTGGCAATGGTAGCACCAGCTCAGAGCAGCCCGGGACTGGACCCCCAGTTTCGGGAGCCGTCGGCCCCCCTGCCTCCAGCAGCCCGTCCAATCCAGAGACAGAGGAAGACAAGGCCAAGAAGCTGCTGTACTGCTCACTGTGCAAGGTGGCGGTCAATTCCCTGTCACAGCTGGAGGCTCACAACAAAGGTGGGTTCATCTGCGGTCTTTGATACTTGAAACTGCTGTAAAGCTCCTGAACTTTGCAGCAATTAGCTGGAAATGAAATCAGGAGGGATTAACTGTGACTCTTGATGAAGTTTGACTTCTCAGAGGAGGAACTTCCTGCTCATTTTAGCTATTGCTGGGTTCTTCTCTGTTTAGGTCAACCACACAGCTGTTGCTGTTGTTGGAAACAAAGTGTGCACACCCTGTTTGCCTAATGGATTTTGCAGAGAAAGACCAATTTAGCAACTTTGGAATATGTCTTCACAGCTTATTAAACTGCAATGAAAAAGAAGTATGCAAACTGAAGTAGGAAAGTAGTACTTCAGTATGTTGCATAACACAATGATATTTAAATCTTTTGTGAAAGACTTATGTTTAATATTGAAGAAGTATGTCATATCTCTGCAGAGGTTGGATTGTACATTGTAAGAAACAATGTTTAATGTTTTTTCCCAGTCTGGCCTGCATCCGAGCATAAGCAGACCTATTTTACCTATTCTCACCTTTCAGTATGCCAGTCTGTAACACATATACAGTAGCTCTGGAGGATTTGCCACTAAAAAAAAATTCTTATTTATCTCATACTACCTCCCATGATGTAAAGTTAGACACAGTTTATGAGTTGTAGTTTTCACAAAGTTTTATAGTCATAAAATAATCTAAAAAAGTATTAATTTAAAAAGTGCATTTAAGGCTAGACATTAACGCCCACTTAGATCCTAATTTAATTCTGTTTGCATATTCTCTAATGTTGCATTAGCTGCTGCTATAATTTTACTCTCAGCTTGTAGTTTTGGCTTTGATGGACAGTCTTTACAGACGAAACAGCCCCCGGTTTAAGTAAAAATTGAGATGCAAATCTGTTTTTTTTTGTTTGTTTTTTTTACAAATAGCAGTGACTTTCCTCCAAAACCAAAATTACACCTACAAGCAACTTTCTGAGACATGCTGAGTCAACAGAGCGCTGACACTGGGGGAAAATGACAAGCAACAAGACAGACAGGTGGACATGTCTTTGAAGGAGTCACTGGATGGCTCATCGTTAAGCACTGTCCTGACAGACCGACACAATCTGATGTCAGGTTCAGGCCATGTCTTTAGACAAGCATTTCAGAAAATCTAGGAAACATGTAGTTAAGGCGCCATCCGTGTATGTCGTGTTTTTAAACTTTGGCAAGGTCCAAAGTGTAACAATGTATGTATAAATGTATTAAAGTACTAATCAGTATAATTGGTCTCTTTTAACCAAGGGGTAGGGGCTCCAGATATTATAAAAACCTCTATTGAAGTAATAAATCTTTACACTTATGGTCCCATTTGATATTTTCTGTCGTAAAGAGGCATCAAAATTCTAGTCTTTGTCATTACAGCCCAAAATCTCCTCACAGCCAAAAGAAAAACTGAACGTGGTTCTCTTTCAGAGAAGGAATTCAAGATAAAAACATTTATTTCCAATTGTGAAGAAAATGATTAGAGATGTTAACATTTTATGACTTAAATATATATTTTTACTGAACTCAGAATATCAAATAGCCCATTATTATTCCTGGCAGTACAACCCTCTCAGATGATAGGTTGTCTGTGACCTTGCAGAGAACACCGTGAGGATCACTGCTCAGCAGAAAACGGATCTATTTGACTCTGACAGTCTCAACCTGTGAAATCAAGCACTCGTCATCTGGTTACTGGAGGCCTGTTTGTCTTTCTCTCCTATCCATCTCTTCTAACACACCCCATTTTCTTCACCCACACAAAACATGATTATCTAAAACAAAACTCTCCTGCGCTCAAACATTCATGAATTGTCTTTTCATTTGCTGCACACAGCAGAAAAAACTGTTTCCTGTAGCCTGAGGCCCTCGACATGAAAAAGTTGCAGAGGAGGATGGTTACCGCTGCATGAGGGATTAACTCTGGGGAATAGGAGAAAAATAGGGATGTTATGTGGGTGAGCTCACTACACTATAGCAGCTCCGACATTGTGTCAGGCAGCCTTCACACATGACGACACTTTCTCAGGGCTGCAAACAGCCCTCAGGTTCCCTCTGCCTGCTTTTATCCATCATGTCCTGCCAACAGAGCTCTCCTTCTGACCTTGTGTCCCTCCGAGGACATGTTGTTTCTGCTGACCTCCAGACTTTATTTTAGGGTGTTATTCTCTCTCCAACTCATCGAGAAAAACACCAGAGACAATGAAGGACTGACTCTGTGTAACTGTATCCAACTTGCCTCGAATACTGCTTGGCACAGCTAACTTCAACAGACTTGAAAGCAGAAAACAAATGCCTCTGTGATCAAGTATTTAACAATAAAAGTGAAACCATACTGGTTCGATTAACCATGCTTTGTTATGCGCTGATTAGAACAACAATATATTTGTGTTACATTTGTCACTTGCAGTGAATTCACATGTAAATAGGACAGGAGATCAGACTAACAGAGGACACTGTCTGATGTCAACAAGCTGGCTGCAGAGTTCAACGCTGGGATCATTTAGAGTTGAAACAGTTGAAAGTCAATGAGGAAAACAATCTGGGAGCAATCATTCTTACTCATTCTCAAAATCAAAACTCTGCATAATAGAGGGAATGAAAAATAAAAGCACATGTCTCGCAGACATCAACACATGAGCGGTGAGCATTGTTCGATAAGAAAAAACAGAAAAGGCACAGAAAAAGTCTGATGAGTATGTAAAGTTGTTTCCAGACTTATACAACTGATTTTTTTCACATAGCTGCTGCACATTTTTTGTGTTTGTGATCATGCCTTGTCTGTTTGTGTGTAACTTGACACTGAGTCAACCTTACAAAGGCAAAAAAAAAACGCTGGGCCATCCATCAGACCAAAATAGAACAAAGTGAAAAGAAACACCCCAAGAGCACATTTCTGGCCACGAGCAGAATCTGTCATTCCAGCCCCCTTCTTCCCCAGCGGAGCCTCTAGCCTCCATGTTCCCCTCCACCCACCACCTACCCCCACCCCAATGCCTTTGCTATCTGCTGTAACATTAACTCTGTCCAAAGGGGGTTTGGAGAGTGACTCAGAGTTGGAGCCAGTGACAGCGGGATGTTTTACTTTGAGGTTCAGAGGCATGGCGGGAAGGGGAGGATCAGGTTGTTGGTGGGCAGGACATGTTTAAGATATTCTTCATTTATTTTTTTCAGGAGAAGTTCTCTAGCTCTCTCTTATGCCGACCACTTGGAAGGGAAAATTATGTTTACCCCCTTACTTGACTTTGCAAACCAAGCCAATGGTGTTAAGGTTTAACCAAATAGAGAAATCGCTTCATAATGAAAATGACTAAATGAGAATATATTGTAATATTATTATACATTTCTAAGTTATAACAAATTCTCTTTTAGTCTTGCATGAACTACATCTGGATTAAAAGAAGATTTCCCAAGTTTTCTGTTGGCTGGTACAGTTTAAAGTAACTCTATGAACTACTTTGTGGCTGCTATATAACTTTGGAAAAAGCTCTGGTTTTGACTGCTCCGCTCAATAAATGATGGACAAAAAGTGTCACAGTAAACAAACTTCTTCAAATACATAATTAAAGCATTCTGATCTGTTGCCAGAATGGCAAGCGTATATATTAATGTAAAAGTGTTATTTCATTGCATATATATATGTACGTAATCACATAGTAAAAAGTATAGTTGTTGTCACAATCAAAAGCTGCCCACAAACCTACTCTAGTCCATACAAATCTGCTTCTCATAATAACCTCGCTCTAAATTTGAAAACTTTGACATTTACTGTCCAAATTATTGGGCTTGACAGTGTGGGTTCAGTGGTTCAGCTCTGTCACTGATGTTGGCACTTGTGTTGATATGATTTACTACAGTTCACACTTTATGATCAGACATCACACCCGGCTCTAAATTAAAAACATTATCAGACAGTTAATGTAGTGTGGACAATAGAGGGGGCTTTGAGTTCACTTCACACAGCAGAGCTGTGTCCTACTGCAGCCCTCTAGTGGTGAAATCTTAGCACTACAGACTCTTCCAGAAACATGCTCTGCATGTTGTGCATATGTGTGCGGTTATTGGAGAGCAAGGCCAGTGATACATTTTCTTTTCTTTTATGCCTGATATTCATCACTGTCACTATTTCTCCATGTGTGTTGCATTGCAGAGAAACACTTTTCCATATTCATATAACTCCAGACAGATGGTAACAGGATGACCTAAACATAATAAATTAGCATTCATATTTAACTCCATTTTTTTTATTCTATTCATCTGGCTTCAAAAGTAATTTCAGTTTGCTTGACAGCACTGCTGACCTGTTTTTTTCTCTCTCTCTCTGTCTGTCTGCAGGAACCAAACACAAAACTATCCTGGAGGCACGTAGCGGGCTGGGCCCCATCAAGGCGTATCCTCGTCTGGGCCCCAAGCCCAGTGGAGAGCAGGGAGGGGGGCCAGTGGACCCCAACACTCAGGAAAGAACCTTCCACTGTGAGATCTGCAATGTGCGGGTCAACTCTGAACTGCAACTCAAACAGGTATATGAGAGATGACACTGACAGCATTAGTCTGAAACTGTGAAAACACTTTGGAAATATTTCAACTTATTGAAAACGTGACCAGCTTGTGTTCCTGTCTTCTTTGCATCAGCACATATCAAGTCGAAGACACCGGGACGGCATGGCGGGCAAGCCTAACCCCCTCCTCAGCCGGCACAAGAAGCACAGGGGAGCTGATCTGGCGGTAACCTTTCACTCTTGAGTTCAGACTCTTAGAATTTGACAGCCAACCTGAGCCAGAGATCAGATGATAACTGAAAAATGAGATCTGCTGGGCCTTGAGACATGTTGGTTTGATCACTATTAATGGTCTCCAGTTGTTCTAGTTTCAGTGCTGCCCTGCTGAAAATCTCTAACTGAGATGAAACATCTGCATTACAGCCTTTCAGTCATGTTTCTTCATCACATGTCAACCTGCTGGAACTAATCACTCTGATCCCTCTCTCTCTTTCTTCTCTCCTTTGTCTGCAGTCTTCTTTGACCTTCTCCAAGGATCTCACCAAAGCTTTGGGCGCAGGGCTTTTGCCAAGCCCCTTGGCTGTGGCTGCAGCGATGGCCGCAGCAGCGTCCTCGAACTCCCTGGCTCTCCGGGCGGCAGGCCCCGCACCCCATCCGCATCATCACTTATTGCAAGGCCCACCTCTCAGCCACGCCATACTGAGACCAGCCCCCGGGCCGATCCGCACCACCCACGGGCCAATCCTCTTCTCTCCATACTGACACATCACCTTCTGACCTCGGCCAGTCAGGAACAGCCACTCCAAAAAGCACACTGTGAAGATACAAACATAATCAACAAACAGCAAATGATAGGGGACATCAAACATCCAACCATTCAGAATCAAACTGAGAGAAAAACAAGGGAAAGGAGCAGAGGACTGGAGTAGAAAATGTCTCTCTTTCTTCCCTTTACCTGAAACTCTCCTTTCACTTCAAAGACTTCCGAGTAGATGGAATGAGGAGAGGAGAGATTTTCATTATGCATTGAACTCCCTTGTACATCTCTCACACTCCTTGGTCCCTCTCCCTTGCACTCTGGCCCCATCATGGCCACCTCAGATAGCTACAGAAGAAACACAAGCAAACCTTTCTTGAAACATTAATCCACATGTAGTGTTGAATAGTAATTATGGGCCAGGTTGGGTTCCTCCAGTCATCACAGCTCAATGTGTTCTTCTCATCCTATGCACCTCAAAAAACCAAGACAATAATGTTATGTCAGTAGGGTAGCTGCTTCCATTGGTCTTTGCCGTTAGCGCCACATGTAGCCGTGGCGGCCTCCTTGGTACTGTACATGTCCCCTTCTGTGCTGGAGGCCAGCAACTCTTCAGTTTGTGACATTAGGTCATCGCTAGGAACAACATGACTTCGGCTGACAGGCAGGTGGTAGCCGCATCTGAACATGTCTGGTAGTTGTAAGGGAGGTGGAGGGAAGGGAGGGAGGGTTTCAGAGAGCAGAGAAGAGACTGTGGGGGATTGCACTCTCCTGTCATTTCCCTGAGAGTGTGAGGTGAGAGGAGGGCTGGCATGGGTCAGTGGATGGATTCACCCTCGGGCAGCATGCAGACACACACAAGCCCAAACGAATCTGTGTTTTAAAATAGACTGTACCAACAAAAATCTACTGCGGGGCACATCTGCCAACCTCCATAACAGTCAGAGAGGGGCCTCACTTAAGGGTGAAACATGCAGAAGTCTCATCTATACTGTACTGCTGCACTTGATCGTAGGTGTAGATTGTGTTTGATGGCAATACTCTATTTTTTTTTTACAGTTATAAGAGATTCTGAACTTGCTATAGCACAGTTTAAATCTTCCCAGTGGCACACTTAGGCTCTTTCAATAAGAGGCTATTTGACGTCCTAGCATCCTGGTCTTTATTCACTGTGTTGTTGAAGAGGTATGAATACGGTGTGACCCTGTGCACTGATTTATTTATCTTGTTACTGCATGCAGCCTCGCAATATTGTCCTGCAGGGTCAGGCCTCTGCATCATTGGGTTGAACTCTTCTATTTCTGCCCTGCCCTACCTCCTCCTCCTCACTTCCTTCATCTCCAAAGGCTCATATGAGTCTACAGTAGAGGGCACGCCGACACTGGCAAACTATAAATGCTCAAAGGGAACAAATTATAGAGGGGAAGATGAAAGCCAAACACATTCTTGGAGAAATTTGATCTTGAGCTGGAGTGACAACCAAGCCAGTAGCCCAGCGAGGGCTGCAGAGAGTGAAGGGAGAGTGAAGACGTCCAGCTCAAGGCACCCATCGATACTTCCTGTCTTACAACTGAAAGCCATGAAACGCACCATGATTTGCTTTCTCTTACAAAGACTGGTGAGCACTTTGTTTTGTTTGGTTTAGGACTGTTGTTTTTTCTGCATTTATATCACACGTTTAAAAAAAAGCAAAAATAGAAAAGACAATAAAAATATTTTTGTAGGTAGGAAATGTTAAAAAGTGCAAAGCTGAAAGGACAAAAGGCTGGAACAACAGATGACAAATGAGATAAATGTTGATTGAGAGCAGCAGCAGCGGGGCGCCACAAAAGCTAGCTAAGCGGCAGCAAACGTTCACCCTCTTCTGAATGAGATGTACACTGTGCCCTTTCATTGAGAAGCAATGAGCTCTAATGTCTTACCTTTGTCTGAATATTGCAATGCAATGAGCAATTTTTATCAGAGTGACTTGTTATCATTGTGACATGTTGTGACATGTTGTCTGGAGTCATGTGTTAACTTGGAGCAGCCAGCTGATTGACTTTTCTGTTCTTCCATGTGGAGTTCAAGCCCTTGAAGGGACTGAGAAACAAAGAGAGCGACAGAGGTGTAGCTGGGCTTAGGGACCGACCCTTCATATTAAAGGGCCTTTTTAACTATGGTATTCTCTGCTTGGGGAACAGGGTACAACGCCAGGTATTGAGGGATTGAGGCTAATTTTTTGAGTTGGACTCATTGAGTTGCTTTATTTTTTTCTGTGTGAGAAATGTGTTTAAAGTGAAAACCATGAGGAACATTATCTATGCCATTACTTAAAGAAGAAGCTGGCTCGGTGTCAGTTTCCACCATTGTGCTCTTTTCTTTCCTTTTTTCTTTTTGTTTTTTTGTTGCTGAACTTTCTTTCAAGAGTTCAAATATCGAGTGAGAAACTATTCCAGGATCTGTGCTCTCCTACCTGTTGGTGTGTGTACCATATGTATTCTAGTGTGTGTTGGGACCTGCTCTCTCCCCACTTCCCACCAATCAGAGACAAAGGGCAACCTGGACTTTTAAAGTAGCCTAACACAATAATGGAGACAAAAAAAAACCTGCACATGTCAAGTTTTGGAAGACTGATCAATCGTTCTGGAGTCTATCCGAGACTGACCCTGATCAAAGTGTTGCAATCTCGTCCCTGGTAGGTCAGCCAAGTAGCAGCACCACAGATATGTTCATATTATCCTAGATATGTCCATGATGTGGTCATTCCTACTGATTCATCCTCATTATTCACATATGGGAAATAAATGTTAGATTTTCTGGGCAGGTATTTCATGTTAGCTGTGTTTAGGCTACTAGCCTTAGCCTTATTCGGCCCTCAGCCTCTCCCAGAGCAGAGAGAGAGAGAGAGAGAGAGAGAGAAAGAGAAAGAGAGAGAGAGAGGTGGAGAGGCTACGGTGTTATTTTGTCTTGCCAATAAAGTTATTTTTGAATTTCATTGTCAGAGGGGACAAAGAGTTTGTATGGCGAATTGTAGCAATACCTGACTCATTCTGGCTACTCTTGTTTATTGCAATAAGAAAATTAAACAATAAATGTGTATGTGAGTAAAACATTATAAATGTAATTTAAATGAAAAAGAAACTTTATGGTCAATACTATTGGTATTGAGAGAAACCATGGTGGGAAAAAAGTAAATGTCAATAAATCATTAAATGAAACAAATGTCTTTCGAGTTTTCTTCCCTCTGAATCCACCAAAGCAGCTCTTTCTATCTAACATCACAGTAAATAAAAACTACAAGAAATGCTTCACACTGTATTTCCTATGCATGACGTGTATGACCTTGCAATGAATCACAGTCCTTGAACATTTTATTTATCATGTTCCCGGAATAAAATGTACCTTGAGATACTCTTTTTTTCCCTCTCCAACATACAAAAAGGAAACAAGATTGGATGCCATGAAGACAGAATACATGTTAACAGTTAATAGACGGTAGCTAATGGACACTAGAGATGGTGTCAGATATGATATAAAATACAGTGATGTTGAGTCACATACCCCCAAAAAAGCGTAAACAAGAAAAATCATCATTACAGTATCAGAGAGGCCTATGTAAGAAGATGATGTATTTGTCATTTTTGTATCAAATTTTTCATATTTGTCAGGTGTTACTAAAGTTTCATATTCAAGTTTTGAACCAAAGTAAGAATTGTTTAAATATAACCAAACCATGGGGCGCTGGTTAAGCTCAGTGGGAAGAGCAGGTGGTCTATCCAGAGGCTACAGTCCTCAGCCACAGACTGCATTAGACATTGACGTAGTCTCAGTGACATCACCTTTGTTTTTATGAGCTGTGTTTTGAAGCTCAGTGATGGCAGGTGCCACATTGGAAATGTTTCCTCAATTCTGTGAAGTCGAGGTGGATCTTCAGTCCCCGGGCCATGAGTTACTAGAATATGAAAAAAAAATGTATCCTCCCTGTATGTAATACGTTGAATGGACATTTTGATATGGGTATTAATTGGGGTCTTCTGCTCTCTAGAAAAACTGGAACACTCTCTCCTCTCCAGATTTCTAGTCTCTAGAGCAAAGAATCGAAAGGCGGAAGGGTTAATTGGAAAAATTAACAGGAAGGATGAACAGGATAAAAAATATTAACAATATGAAACTTTTCCCTAATTTCCTGAACATTTTACCCTCTCAGGCCACAAACACTCGAATAAACCTCTCAGCTCAGAGACAGACAGGGAATCAGCTGTTATCTAGAGCTATCTTTTTAGATGCTGGTTTTGATTCTGATCAACCAGACTGATCTACAACCAAATAATTTGTGTTTTCTAAATAAATCTGAACACTCATTACCATCACCCTGGGCTTAGACCATAACAACAGAGATGAGGGCTAACAGGGTCTCAAGTCCACCTAAACAAGGTTGAGCCAAGCCCTGAGCCCTGTACATCTATTAATGTGATCTGGCTTGTGTTTTATTCATAAAATCATGCAATATGATTTTTACAAAAAACTGTGAGACACTTTTCATAATTTAGGACATTTTTATGAGTTGGAACAATTCGACATTTGTTCTTTTTGATAATAGGGCCATGAAATATTATTTTTTACATTTCCAACAGAAATATTTATACAAACATTGTCTCTGCTTTCACATCCCAGCTGCTTCCAGACATCACTGAATCTCATTTATGAGTAGCTGACGCAGCCAGCAGGACCAGAGGCAGACTGGTGCAGCATTGTACTGTCTCATAAAGAGCAGCATTGTGTTGTCAGGAGGAGAGCGTTGCTGATTTCTCCTGGGATTGTTCTCAAACATTCCAAAAATGAGCCTGAGCTTGCCAGCAGATCTCGGCAACAGTTAAAAACTCAGCCACTAGATGGCCCTGCTGCCATGACTGAAGCATGTTAAAATAATTCACACAGGAAATGTATGAAATTTGCAGAGAGTGATAAAGTACTGATGACAGCTGATTTAGGACACCTAGAGTAATACAGTCTCTGAATAAGATTATATAGAGCTACCCGTGTAGCTCTGTGATTATCCTCAAAGGAACAACTCATCTGCAAATGGCAGATGAAAGGGCCATGAGCAGATCGGACAGATGGTTGCTATGCTGTAAGATCTTTATTGCCATGCTTGACAAAGACATTGTAAAACCAAATGACCCATAAGATTCTGCGGCAAGTCAGAGGAATAGAAATATCAAATGTCACCAATCATGCACAGGTCTTCTGGAGTGCAAAGATATTAGGGGTTTTAGAGTTAGCATCTGGTGTGCTTTGTTTGCAAAGACAAGACTGAATATTTGCACTCGGATCAGAAAAGCTGAGAGGATGGATAAGTTGTTAGATCATGTAATCTTTATCACTACGACATAGTGAGAAGTGTACAACCATAGAAATGTGGATGTTAAAAGCATTTCAGCAAAAAGCTCACATTCATACTTTACACTTGTTTACTTTGCGTTCAAAAAAAGTCTTTCTTTGACAAACTCATAGTGAACCCATCAAAGCATTTTTCATTCAGACTATTGATCCCATTATTTAGCTTATTTCTGTCAGAACAAGATGAAAGGTGAAAAGAGGAGACTGCAGACTGTAATTCTCTCTTTTTGGCAAAACTTTGTCAGTGCTATAGATCACGATTCCTGAAAGCAGGAGCTTAATGGCATGCGACTACTTTCCCACTAGACATCTATGAGAGGCAGAACCAGTGGCTCTTTTCTTGAGAGCTCCATGCATTGAGATGTGCCAATAAGGCAGTGAGATGGTCAGACAGGGATCTTCAAATGGAAGCTGAAGAGGGAGCTGAGTTACCTGCATTTTTCTCTAAATAGAATTCTGCACCTGAGACAAGAGGGCATGCTCTTCTGCTCTCTGTGTTTTTCCCCCTTCCATGTGGCTCCTTGTCTTTTTGAAGAGTTTTTGCATCACACATGTGCTATGTGGTGGGTAGATTTAGTATTAAATTGATTACTGATATTGATGTGAAAGCCTGAGTGTCTTTCTGCGCTTGGGGAGATTAATGAGCTGTCTGCTGTTGTCTGTAGACATATCAATACAGACAGGTTTGAAATCACAGGGAAAGAAACTGTGATTGAACAATTCTGGATTAACAAAGCCATTATAAATCCAAACTGATAACGCATTTCAGTCCACAACTGAAAGAGCTTCCCTGCTAATAAACCTGTATTCCTGAAAATTAAGTCCACAACAATGGATACCATGGTTCAACTTTGGATGGAAGCCAAAATCTAACATGAGAAAATGCTGTGAGAATCTTGCCAAAAACCTTATTTTTCTGTTTATATTTCCAAACAGTTTTCAATGAAAAAAAATATATATCAAGGGACAAACATGCTTTCCTTTCCCATCAAAAGACTAGTTCACTGCAGCTATTATGACCTTGCAGTCACCACTACACTGACACTGATTACCAGTGGGGTTGCTAGCAGCTAGCTGGGTCATCATCTGGTGTGGCAGAGTGTGTGAATAAATGGTTTACTTATCAAACTGTCAATGTGAGCGGAAGAATAAACATCATTTCAGAGTAAATACAAATGGTGCATACTGTACATAAAAGTATGATCAATTTATGTGTTTATTGCACATGTTCCTACTGTGATGACAGAGAATTTACATTTTATTGCAAATACCTGCTGGAATTCTCAGGAATGGTCTCCCTTGTTGATGGACCCTAATTAATAAATTCACATTCTTGTTATGTTACGAAAACAGATAAGGCTGTCTTATGGGTAATCTTCGCTAAATTGCAAACAATTGGGTTTGTTATTTCATTTTTAACAAAAGCAGATTGTAATTTGAAGTGTATTGATTTGGAAACCAAATAACTGCAGTCAGTTTTCTCCTATTTATCCAGCGCTGTAGTTATTGTCTTTGATTTAGTTTTATTCACTGGTCTGCTCCGAAATAGTGCTTTTCCGGTCTTTGTGATGTCAGTTTCCCTTACTGACCTCAGTCTGATTAACTACACCTGTATGCTTGGCCTGTGAATAGTAGCCCTGACTCAAAGTACGTGGGTGGTAATTTAAATTCTAATTGATACAAAGTGCATGTTACTTTTGACTTGTCAACTTAGTCATGTTTTTTTGTTTTGTTTTGTTTTTCTCAGTGAAATGGGCCTTTTTACAAAGTGCAGTGATATTATTACTTTCATCCATTATGGAAGCAGGAAGCAGAAAGACACTGCTGTTTTACTGTGAAAGGGGTAAAAACCCAGCATGCAATTAAAAGATAAACACATTAATTTCAGATCTTTGCAGCATTACACTCGACATGTTATTGCTGATGGCCTTAAAAGTAAGACATGAACCATACAACTTGAAACCTCTTTGTGAACTACCTTCTTTTAAACTAAAGCATTGAAAAGCTTTTTAAATATTAAAAGTGTGTTTGATTCTTTAGCCATTAACTGAACAACGCCGAGCATTTTGAAGAGTGGGCGTTCAGCCGCTATTTGGAATCATAAATCTTCCAAAGCAGAATGAATCATACACCAAACATGAGTTCGTAATTTGAATACAGAATACTGCAGAAGGTTCAGAGTGAAAATGAGAGAGGTGAGTTGTTCTTTTCAAAATACATTTATTCAAGCAGAAAAAAAAAGTTTTTAAAGCTTTTAAGGATCAGGAAGTAAAATGTCATGACAGACATTAATTTTTATGAGATGTCTTCCGAGCAAATAGCTGTCACTGAGTGAAAGTGTGTACACACTGTGGGCTGCATTTTAACTTCAGAGTGAATTAACCCGAGCGTGTGTTCACAATGTAAATTGTCAAAATCCAAAGATAATGCCATATCAGATGCAGAGTGAGACAGAGCAGGACATCATTGCCATGAAAACAGATCTCTCTCTTAGCGTTAGGGCTCAGATAAATCCAGGCACACAGTGTCGGTCTGTGTCTATCTCTACAGACATGAGTCGGCAGGTTCAGGTGCATCAGTGAGAACATAATGAGAGCTGCTGCAGACAGGCTGGGAAGACAGACAGGAGACACAGCAGGGTAATCTGCTCTGTAATCTCATTACCTTCACTTGTTGCAAAATTGTGTTGAGACCAACTGTAGAGCTCAGTCTTTTCTCTCCTTGTTCTCAAATGCTCCATTTTATTATTTTAGCGTGCAGATTCTTTGGAGTGTTACATCAGGTACATCATCCGAAATTACACAACAGAGACAGCTAATCATCGTGGAGTGTTCACGTGTCAGGCTCTCTTTTATTCTGTCCATCATGATCAATGTACCCCCTAATAACTGAACTAATGACAACATGCTGCGATGAAAAGCACCAGTCCTCCCTTCACACCTCAAGGCATCTGAGGAGACAAAAGAATGATCAGACCTCTGCCTAATATCATGTCTCCTTCAGGGAAATTAAGTCAATTCTCCACAGTCCAAATAATAACCAAACCCCCACTCTTGGTCACATGATTTAGTCCCCAGTCCCTCAGGTAATCCCTACAAGAAGACCATGTCATACAACATTCATTACAGTGCAGGGAAGCGAACTCTGAGCCTACAAAGCTGCTGTTAAGTGCTCTGAAGAACCAGTTTCCCAATATGGCGCTCTTATTTAGCTTCTTGTTAATATCTCAGCAGTGTGAGGGCTGAGCTAACAGCAGCTGGGTGGCTCAATTTTGTTGGCATGGTAGCACTTTGAGACAAAAGCAACTACTGTGTCAGTGCAGCCAGCAGTCCTTCATGTCAGAGTAGGCGGTCAAGGCGGATTGTCATATTGCACTGATTCAGCACAGGCCATGGCTGGAGTGAATTTAATTAACTAGCTATGAAGAGACCCTTCAATGAAAAGTGTGGTAAAAGAAAATGTACACAGTGTACACTGGCGTTTGTCCTTGAGCAAATTATAACTTCTCAGTAGAAATTTGATGTACTGGAAAATGGTGCATTTGTTAAATACCTGTCAAATGTCTAAAGTTCAGTTTCTATGAGCTATAAATATGAAGTCGACCAGTATGTTAAGGAATCACATGTGAGTTTGTCATATGATTCTGCCTGAAAGGAAGTAGGAGCTGGAAGTGAATGTCATCATCATGGCATCATTTGGGTACAAACAACATTAAGAGTGAAGGATATGTCTCAACAGAATCAGAGACTGTAATAAGAGACTAGATCACCTTTCTAGTAATCATCATGACCTAAGGGCAGAATAAGGGTTTTAACTCAAAGAATATCAAAAGATCTTCATTATTTAAAACAGAAAAATGTGAATCCAAAATTAACAACTCGTTAAGTTTGAGAGGTTGAGGAGAAGAAAACGACACATTTGTCTGTGTCAGCTAGAAACAGCAAAATTCATTGTTGTATATCAAATA